ACGATGGCCCCTGCGGGGTGGCCTGCCTCTGCCTGTCATTTTGTTGGGATTAGTGGTACTATGCGTGCAAGCTACTGTGAGACCAGATATGAGTGGCAATGTGCACTGGCACAGTTGTGCAGAGCACAGGCTGTAGGCCTGACACCTGCTTTAAGGACACTGACTGCTATTCAATCTATAACAGTGAATTAATTTTTTTGTTTTTAAATGCAAGCTATTATGACACCAGATCTAAGCGGTGGCACTGACTGGGGAATCCTCCTCCTCCTCCTCCTCAATACTTCAATAGAACCTTTAACATACACATTTTTCAAAGGAAAAATACAGAATGTCAGTTACAGATGAATTACTTTTGGACCTGTCTGCATTTTAAGCAGACCTGTCAATTGGGAGTTTGCTTTTTCAGAACCCGAAAACACAGACATAAGAGGGCCATTTGATAGTGGCACCTGCTTGGAAAAAAGAACAGTTAAACTCACCCACCTCCAGTTCAGCCTTCATTTGCACGGCTTCACATGCCACGGTTATGTACTCCACATCAGGAAAGGTGTCTTTGCAAAACAGTGCTAACAAAAACAAGGGTATTAAAAGTGTACAAGAAGAAGAAAACTGCTCTCATATTTTGGTGGGAAAGCAATACAAACTTCAATATTACTTTCACTTTTATATAGAAAAATGAAACATTGTGCTTTTACCATAATCAGCTGTGTGCAGTTTAAAGGAACACTAAAGCATTACGAATACATATTTGTCTTCCTCTCCCTACATCTAGTGGGCTCAGTAAAGTGAAGCACAGTTCAGAATGAGAGCCAACAGTATACAATCCAATACAGAAAATGAGAGTATTTGAACTCTCTTTAGGAATCCTGTAAACAGAGTGTGCCGATTTTCTGTAACATACAATGTAATGATCAAAATGTATAATCCAGATAACTAAAAAAAAAAAAAAAATTAACAAAAAAAAAAAAAAAAAGAGAAAAAAAAAGAAGTAAAAACCTCTTACTGGTTTGGGGAGGCTAACCTAAATTATTAAACACTGTGGTGTTAGGAAGGAAATAGAATAGATATATACACCGTAGAGGTTATATGCTTAATTAATGATCTCAAACGCTTTAGATTAATCTCTAAATTATGTTGCGTTAAATAGCAGCACCATCAAAGAAATAGACAACACTTTTATAGTCCGCAAGGAACAGAGTAAAATCAGATGTATTACATCTTAACATGTTAACAATTGATTTACATTTCATTGTATGGGATTATATACACATTACTTTACAGCAATTTACAGTATATATGGCATCAAACAAAAAATAGTAGTAGTTTAAATAAAGCATTAAAGAACAAGGTGGAAGGCGTTGAGACTGCTTTGTAATAATGGCACATCATAAACAAGCTGGCAATATACAAAAACTGTCCGTTAGACCATCAAGACAAGAGAATATGATGAAATCACCAATTGGCATTTGCTTAAAAAGAAAAGACACCTACGGAGACATTTACAATTATGCAGCTTTTGTAATAGTTTTCTGTTGACAGACACGTACAGTGAATTCTTTAATGTGAATTCCCTGCATTTAAAGGGAGGCTATGACACCTGAACTGAAAGTAGTTTTTAAAATGCTAAACAGCAGCTGCAGCTATCCAGCTGTTACACAACAAGCCATCTGTCAATGGATGAAGGTGACAGGAACAGTACACCAGATGGAGGGCTACTACAGGTGGTTCCTGGTTTAATACCGATACAACATTATCAGGCTAGGGTTATTATAATAATAAACAGATCCTCGAACACATGGTTACGTGGAGGATTTTTACTATACAGGCAATTCAAGCTGACTAAAGCAGTTAATCAAAATTCATTGACAATTTCCTCCCACAAGGAAATATTTAACTAAGTAAATGCTTATCATTTTTTAAGGTTATGTAGTTTTAGATTTCAATGGTGGAATCCAGTCTTGCGTGATCTAAATAAGAAGGGGGCTGCATAGTAGACCAAAACAGCTCTGTTTAGCATGGAGTACATACCAGATTATCAAATAAGTAAAAAAAAATAAAAGTATGATCGTAAAAATTAATAAAATAATAAAATTTTACATTTTATTATACTTAAAAGAAAAGATTACCTGGATCTAACCCCTTACTGTATTATAAGTCAATGCTAATGTGCACATCTTGGCTTATTATTGCTCCTTGGGAGCCAACACATTGACGTGCTCTTTGTTAGACTTTATCACTTATCCAAAAACAGACTTTGTGCAATCGGAATGCTGAAACGGTCTCAGAGTGCAATTTTTACATGTCCAGCACTTGCACATGACATGCGGCTAAGTGAACGCACACTAGATCTCAACTCAATGCAGTTTGCCCACTGCAACAAACCTACGACTATCACCCAAGGGTGGGTGGATAATGCAAGTGTTCCCTTTTGCATTATTTGATTCACTGCAGTAAGCCAGACTTTAGGTGCCAAAAAGAACTTCACATGGATTAAGTTTCAACGTTCTTTCTTTAGAGGGTTACTCCAAGCATCCTACTGTAATGCTTATGGGAGCATCATGGCCCAATTTCCTTGTAATGCTACAAACCGTTTTGTAATGTTTACCCCTTTTACCGTGGTCCCGGAGACACTAGATGAAGCCCGGAATTCTTGCTCTGGTCTGGACAATTACACCCAAATACACTGCCAGAGGTAGAGTTACACCTATGGCAGCAGAGAGGTAAAACATAGCATACGCAGTGCTTCAGAGTGAAATACTGCAGACAGACTCCACACATTGTGACCACTTCAAATCACTGAAGTGGTGATGGAAGTAACCCTTTAACGATGGTCATCCTCACTGAGCCAAAGTTAAACTAGGATACACATGGATATCCATGTACTTATACATTTGTATGAATAACTTTGCATGCGTAATCTTTCATTTAAATAATAAAAAAAAAAATTATTTTTTTTTTTTACATTCAATCTTTTACACATTTCAAAGCCAGATTGCTTGCAAGTCCCACTCTCCCCATGTTCACAATGTATAAAATAAAATTAGAAAAATGCTTTTTAAACAGTATGTACGTTAATGTGGCAATTCAGCGTATGCCAAGATACTACACAATATCTGTTAAAATGGTTGAATGTCATGCATTCACTAAGTAAAGAAGAGAGAGGTTTGAAATGTAAACCATTTTATTAACCTCACTAGCAGCTATTTGGTACATTAGTCCTCTGCAGTGCAATGAGTTGCAAATCCCAAAACATTACCGGGAATGGTTCTATCCTATAAGCAAGGAAAGGATAAGTGCTGTTACTCTACAGAAATCAGTGGCTGGACTAGTGAACATAGATTTGTCTATAACTCTAGGCAGTATATCTGAGGCAGGTATACTGACAGGCAGGACAGGTGATTAAGCACACGCAAGCATGTGTAGATTATGGATATGACAATGTAAGAGCTATTGGTATGATAGTGCTCTGAATAAGACATTTAACAAATACTAGTGGTAAGGAAATGAAAGTATATTTAACGGGCTGTTTTGCAAGCATATTGACATACAATAGAACACATAAGTAACCCAACAGCTGTAGGTTAAATTTATCATAGGCCTTGCAGCCTAACTGACCACCCACTGGCATATAAGTGCTCTTAAGATTAGGGAATAAGGAGGAGTGGGGGGAAAGATAGTATTAGGGAACTGTTTGGGTTAGGTAATGTCATGAATTTAGGGATCTGAATGACCTGCTTTAAAGGGTGGATAGTTTACTCCAGCACACCTGCATTTGTCCTCAATCTTTGTTGTGTCACTCAATTGCTTTCAGTAGGAACAAAGTCAATGACAGTAATCAATATCTATTTAACACATGGGTTTGCAAGCATACTGCTATAAAACTTAACACAATTACCCAATCTGGTGCACTCAAGCTACTCTCATAAGCCCATAGGCAGTCCAAGAATTAGGATTCTGAAGTTAGACCAATCCTTGGCTGGCATAAAACGTTTAATCGTTGCTAGATTTACAGATAATACTTTGTGTGCCTTGGATAATTAAATACAAATTGGGCCAAATGCTAAATGCATTTAAAGATCAGTGCATGTATGTTACCTGACATTTAAAGGTTTCTGTTTAACTGAAAACAATCCAGAATGGTGTTGCATTATTTACAGCAAATCCACAAAGCGGTAGTATACTAGATGGAGAAATAAATGTACATGTCCATATCCCTACCTTAAAAAAAATTATAATGTAACCCTCACTGAGGGTTGAGTTTTTCCCCTTAACAGGACTTTGGGAAACAAGCACCATTCTGAAGCAACAAGCAGGTCTTAATGTGTATGTACATTTCACATACACATTAGCACTTTAAATAGGACAGGAGGATAGGGTTTAGATTCCCTATATTTGACTTTAAATTTGTTTTCTACAACCAACGCATGCTATTCAGAAATATATCAGGATATAGTGATGTGTGAGGTGATAAGTCATGCACATGTTCATTTCCTCCATACTTCTACATAGTTGAGAATTCACTCATGATTAACATGCATGAGTAAATTAGTTGTTTAGCGATTCCTTTTTTCAGTGTATATTGAAAATATTTGTTTATGGTGATAGAGTGCAATTTGTGCTGCTGCCATTCATCAGCTTCCAGTAGACATTAAATACTAGAATGCAGGTAGGTGGTTAATTTGCTTCATATCGGTCAGCTTAACATTTAAAGTGCCCTTTGCAAATTAAGTGGTTTAGTTGCAAAATCTAATATTACAGCCCTGTAGGTTTTCCCCAAACACAACAGGCATGTAGTTTAGTCTAACCCAAGCTGGCTTTCCGCCAAATCCAATATCTGGACATACATTCTGTGACGCAGAGTCAAACAAGACTAACTGTCCCCACAAGTTCCTGTTTGGGACATTCCTACACCATGAACATCTCACCCAGCAGTTCAATGACTAGGTAGCTTCTTTGTAGCATCAACACCGTGAGAGTCCTTAGAACATACACTTGCTTCACTACCACCACGAGAAGAAAGGCTTTCTGCTTTGGAAGCTTTGTGTGTATGATTCACTGCTGCTCTTCTGATGTGATCGAGCAGTTTCTACAATAACTGGTGGGGTTTGGACAAGTTGCAGAGGACTCTTCCCATCTTTAAGTACCTGAACCAAATTTAGGATCTGGAATACAGATGAAAGATCATTGATTAAACAAATATACACAGAAGGAGTCTTTTTAGCAAGCGATGAAGGTGAAAAATAATAGAGTATAGCAGTATTTTGTAATATTAATATTCCATAACAAAAAATTTAAAAAATAAGAAACCGCATTCTAAAGAGTAGAGAAATTAATTGCAAATGAAATGAAATCTGAATACATTAACTTTAAAAAAAAAAAATGTATTCATAAAGCAATATTCTGCATAAATTGTCAATGAAAGCATGTGCAGTTGGACATTTAGCCACTAGATGTCACCGCACAGCAAATTCTGATCCTTAAAGGGACACTAGTTACCAGAACCACTACAGCGTAATGTACGGTTTCTGGTGTCTATGTCATGTCCCTGCAGGCTTTTTAATGTAAACACTGCTGCCTAGGAACACCTATAGTTGCCGTTAATCAGATGGTCACTAGAGGTGCTTCCTGTGTCACGGATTCACAATGTGCAGCACCTATGTTCAACGTCTCTACGCTCTGCATGGAGGTCCTATGGAAAGGAATTGAACTGGCTGAGAAAGGAATTGGGCCAGTTGCAGTGAGACCGGCGCTGCATGGCAGAAAAGGAGAGTTTAAACTCCCTATTTTTTTTTTTTTTACACCTGGGGGGCAGGATACCTAATAACTATGTTAACACTATAATGTCAGGAATAAGTTTGTTTATTTTATCTGCACTACATGTTTTGTTTTGATACATCTCTCATTATTCCAAAACATTGCAAAACTATCAGGGTTCACTAAACTGAATTGTAGGTTATCAAAAATGAGGCTAAAATAAAAAAGCAGTGACAATAGTCAAGTCCACTATCCTAAAATTTGCTATGGATTTTATTCACTACAAATCATAGTATATGTATATAGTATTGAATAAAATTAGGATTATTATCTTCTGGATGACTTTTTATTCTTCAATCGTTGGGTGTACACTGATCAGTCACAATATTAAAACCAACAGGTGAAGTGGAGAACATTGATTGTATTGTTACAATGGCAGCTGTCAAAGGGTGGGATATATTAGGCAGCTAGTGAACAGTCACTTGTTGAATTTCATGTGTTGGAAGCAGGAAAAAAAATGGGTGAGTAAAAAGATCTGAGTTTGACTCAAGCCAAATAGTGATGGCGGCTAGAGGGCTGGGTCAAAGTTAATGTCGTGTGTAATCCGTGTAGATTGTAATTCTAACGGAGAAGTAATAAAAGGAATGCTTTTGATCGGTTATATGGAGCAGTGTTCTCTTTAGAAACACATTTACATTTGTTTGACCTTTGTTCATGCAGTACAATGGTTAATAGGAAAGATTTTACAAGTCATGACAAACAAAACACTTATTTTAAATCTAAATATTGTACAAGTTAATGTTTGGTGCACTAATCATCAAACTTTAAAGCAGGAGAGGTTAATATTTTGCCTAACTTTCCATATAGCAGCAAAGCAACAAAGTAACAAAGAGCCTTACAGCCACACCCCGAATAACATCCCTCCTCTATATTTGCTGCTCATCCTCCAGGTCAGAGTATCCATTTTGCTGCTCCCCGTGTATTCCCTTATTTATGTTCTATATGTAATTGAGTTTGGAGTTTGCCAACTTAAGTGACATTCTACGTTCAGCAATTTAGATTTCATTTCACTGGAATTCACCGTTTGACAGTTTCACATACATGCACACTTCCAAATCTAGCTATACTTTTAATGTCCCAGCATGCTATGCAATCTGTTACTGGTTTGCCTCTTGGATATAGTGTGGTGGAATAAGCGTCACATGCAAATACAAACACAATCCAAGTAACTAGACATGGTAGCAGTGTAAAATGTGTATTACATTAAATTGTATTATAGGAGGGATGTTAAAGGACCACTATACTAGTTTGTTTTCCTGGCACTTTGGTGCCCTGAAGGTGCCCCCACCCTCATGGCCCCCCTCCCGCCGGGCTGAAGTTGGAGGAAGGGGTTAAACACTTACCTTTCTCCAGCGCCGGGCTCCGTCGGCGCTGGGAACTCTCCTCCTCCTTCGGTCGTCAGCGGCTGAACGCGCATGTGCGCAACAGCCGTGCGCGCATTCAGTCCATAGGAAAGCATTCTCAATGCTTTCCTACGGACGCTGGCATCTTCTCACTGTGAAAATCAAAGTGAGAAGCGCAAAAGCGCCTCTAGCGGCTGTCAATGAGACAGCAACTAGAGGCTGGATTAACCCATATGTAAACATAGCAGTTTCTCTGAAACTGCTATGTTTACAGCAGGCAGGGTTAAACCTAGATGGACCTGGCACCCAGACCACTTCATTAAGCTGAAGTGGTCTGGGTGCCTATAGTGGTCCTTTAATAATAACTCATTCCTGCAACATTTTCCTTCTTACGATCACACAAGCCCCAGGCCACTGGCAAGCTGCACCACTTTATGGCATAACAGAAATCACGATTACTGCTCAGGTCAGGATTACCAGAAAGTAACACTCCAGATGGCTAAGTACAAATCCCATGATGCCCTGCTATAGACTGGTATGTAGTGAATCATGAAGTTCAGGGATATCTAAAGAGTTACAAGGATAGCTAGACTTATCGGTTAGCTGTACCTTTTTATATTGAAGTTTGCAATTTGTAATGAAACCTTTTGCTCATCTCTTGAATTGCGTTTGGAATGACCTTCAAGCTCAATTCAAGTCTGTGAACAGAATTACAAAATTAATTAACATTTACCTGTCCTCTCATAACTGCAATCTGTTTGTGAAATTGTCCTCTATCGAACCCAGGATCTTTCTATGGAGAAAAGAAAAAATCTATATACACAATCAAAATTAAACAGTATGCAGTGTGTTTGTATGTATGTATGTATGTATGTATGTATGTATGTATGTATATATATATATATATATATATATATATATTATAAAAAAATGTAAAAAAAAAAAATTAAAAAACACCAACAGAAAAAAAAAAATATTAAAAGCAAATGTTAACTTTTGGATGAAAGCAAAATAATATGCAGATCAGGAACAAATTTTGTAACAGTAGTTATTAAAGGGACAGTCTAAACTCCAAAATCACTTCACCATAATTAAGTAATTTCGGGCACAGATGTTCCCCCTGCAGCCTTGCAAATGAAAAAAGCGCAGTTTATAGGAGACAGCACTATTTACACATTGTGCATTTTCTACACCAGGCTTCCCCAAACTCTGGTCCTTCAGATGTTGCTGAACTACAATTCCCATGATTCTCAGCCTATTTCATTCATAGAATCATGGGAGTTGTAGTTCAGCAACATCTGGAGGGCCGGAGTTTGGGGAAGCGTGTTCTACGCCTACTACTGGCTGTAATTCATATCCATACAGTCACTATAGCAGAGTTGATTGAGTTTTTACAAATTAATTTTTTGTTACAATTAATTTCAATTTTGAGTGCAAACTCAAGTGTTCTTGTGTTTATCCACTGGACGCAGTGGGCAATGAACAATAAACGAACACTGCAGCATTACTAATAAAAACCTTTTGCGCTCTATTGGTCGCCCATCACAAGCATGCCGTGTGTGCTGATGAGGGCGCAATCTATATACAGAACTGATGTCAGCCAAGTTCTGCATCTCAGTATAGTGAAATGCAGTACATTGAGACTCCAAACAACATGGCCACATCAAAGCACTGAAGTGGTTGTGGTGCTTGGAGTAACCATTTTAGATAGCTTACCTTAAAAAGTTCATAGAGATCTTCCTCTAAATCTTTAACAAAATTGGGATCTGAGATTTTTGGGAGGATGAGATCTTTGATTTCTTGTGAGAAAGGAACTTTGGCTTGTGGTAACCATGCCCAGTAAAACGGATCTGAGGACAAAACATACTATCAGAAAGTGTGCTGACACAAGTAGGTAAACAAAAGAAGAAAAAAAAAAAATTCAAAACGAAAAATGTATGCTAGGCCCGGTCTTCTCCATCCCAACAATCACCACTTTACAACAACTACATCATCTTTTTATCCATCCACAAGAGAACTGTGAGCTTGGTAATGGCATGGGTTACAGAATGGGCTACTTTTAATTACCGGTAAACTATTTGAGCTATTTACAGAGCTGGGAGTTGCAGAGACTTGCAAATATATACACCGAAACACATAACTGAGCATCTTTTTTGGCAATTTGCAAGTCCATTCACAGATTAATGACGTGTGAGTGCCAATATAATAACCAAACTAATGTATCAGTAGTTTTTCTTTTAGTCATCATAAATATTGAACAGCAATGTGGAAATCTATAGCACTGAGGACAGAGGGAGGACGAGCAGCAATGGCTGTACTGTACCCATCAGATGCTTTTAATAGAGCAACATTGAATCCAGTAATACTCTATGAGTAGCATGAGCACGATATTTCCAAATTTAAATTACCTTTGATTTTCAAAGGTCTTCTTTAGGAAGAAACTATTGCTGCCGTCAAAGGGGGAACCACTACACGGGTGGTATGAGGAAAAACTTAAACATTGTTGTTTCTCTGACATGGCAATGTTTTACATTGCCTGAAAAGAGGGACAGCAAATATGCACCAAAACCACATCACTGCCTAAAATGTCCCTTTAGGTGAAATACTCCTCTGGCATTGAAAAGGGCGAGTGTCTTCAAATTTCCTAAAGTGTTAATTTATGGGTAAAACGTGTTACCATTCCAAGTCTACATGATGCCAAACTCTCTGTGGATATACAATGAAAGCTACAACTGAAAAGCTAGAATTATTCAGATTACAGTAGAAACTCACATGCTCTCCATGAGTCTGGGTGCTTTAGTGGGAAAGCAAGACCATTGTCTATAGCAGCGATCTTGATGACAGGCTCCCTTACCAAGACCCAGTCGGAGTCCTGAGGAAAGCAAGTAGATCAAAAACAAACTCAAAATCATGTCAAGACTAATAGGTTAATTTAGATGAACAATTACCAGTCAATACAACAAAACAGAAAATTTAACATGCATTACTGAGCTCAAACCTTTTGTATATTAGACATTGTCTCCCCAAAGAATGGTTCTTATCTATGCATCACAGTGTAGATGTCCAAATACTGTTGCTGGTTAGAGCAGATAGCTACTGGCGTTTCACACTGCCTCGGTACAGCTGCTGGCTTAGTCCCAAGCATTTCCTTCCACCAGGCAGCTAATGCAACAGCACTTAAAATGTATTTATTTAGAGCACAGAGACTTGCACAGGAATATGCAGTATGTGTGCATTGATTTAGGATGATCTGGTAGTAGGTATAATGTTTTATACGTGCCATATACACTAATCAACCAAAACATTAAAACTACTGCACAAAATGTTCAGAAATGGCTTGTGGAACATAGCAAAGAGTTCAAGGTGTTGCCATGGCCTCCAAATTCCCCAGATCTCAGTCCGATAGCACATCTGTGGGATGTGCTGGAACCAAAAAATCCGATCCATTAAGGCACCACCTCACAACTTGCAAGACTTAAAGGATCTGCTGCTAAAGTCTTGGTGCCAGGTACTACAGGACACGTTTAGAGGTCTTGTGGAGTCCATGCCTCGAAGCATCAGAGCTGTTTTGGCAGCAGGAAGGGGCCTACACTATATTAGGCAGGTGGTTTTAATGTAGTGTCTGATCAGTGTACATACAGTATGTATTTAGGCTGTCCTGTTTCCTTTTCTTTTGAGTGTCATTCGAGTGCTATATGCGATGTGTACTTTGTGTAATACAAGAGAAACAGTACTTTGTTAGATTCATGTAGTACTGATTAATAATTGGTAGAATTATGGCACCTGATATCTGTTCAACAAGTTTGGTCTGACTCCTAAATCAGGCAAGATTTAAAAAAATAAATAAATAAAAATAATGTCCTCTCATATATGTATTTCCGATTTAATTTTTTTGTACAACTTTGCAAGGGAACCCACAGTCTATAACGAACACACACAATCTTTGGACAGTCTCACCCTTTGCTGGCAATGCCTACATTTAAAATAGAGGCTGAAATGTTTTGCTTAAGCGATATCAGTCCGGTCCCATGCAGTGTGATAAGAATAGAGATCTAGTGACCAAACTGTCCTAGTTTCAAGGTACTCCTATAATTTAAAAACACTACTGCAGTACATATCATATTTGTATATCTCAATCAAAATATATCTACCAAAGCATGTGTATATCTATACTCACTCGTGCATTTCCAGTGTCCATTGGACAGTCATACTTTATAAGCCAATTGTCATTGCCTCTGTCTGGGGATAGGGAAAAAAAAAAAGTCACGTTAAAAGTCAACTGCATATAGGTTAAAGAGACTACACATATGTATGGACAATGTGTATATTTAACAGCCAGCAGGGCCAAAAACTGCACTTAGCACATATATCCTCATATGGACAAATCCATACCTAGCAGTGAAGTATAAAGTGAAAACGTTTTGTCGTGTAAAATGGGTAAACTGTTAAAAGAATCTGTTTTTGTCTTCATATTCTCTGCTATATAAAATGGACTTTATTTTAAAACAATGACTTTATATGGTCCCCTGTGATAATGGTGAAATAAAAAAAATTAAAAAAATTCACAAAGGGTTATTCAATAAAATGAAAACTGCAGGGAATTCAAAGTGTACTTCACAATTTAGACCAAAATTGACAGATTGATAACAAAATTGACATGGAGAATTTCTCCAGTTTGGATACTTTGGCCTACAATTTGAAAATCAATTTGAATTCCCAGCAAATCTCATTTTAGTGAAAAATTGCAAGTGTGCACGTGAAGTATTGAGTGTCTGTACTGTGGATTCCACTTTTCAAAACATGTATGAAGAAGACTTCTACTAAGATTAAGTATTTATATTTGTTGTAGATTGTGAAAAAGGTATACACAGATCAATTTATTTTATTTTTATTAACTGTGCTGCTTATTTACAAATGTGCATATCACAAGTACAAACAAGTCATAAAATGTAATCCGTAGTTAAATACAAAAATGACTATTTACAGTAAATAGTTTTCGCTTTAAATTTTGCTTCTTGCTCTGGTCAGTGAGATGCACAGATACACACACGTATCCAATGGCTTTCATTTAATATTTCTGGATAAGCTTTGCAAATTCTTTAATATTTTTGCAAAAACTTATTTTCTTTTCCAAATATTAAAATATCAAAAATTAGATTGTATCATATCAATAAATATCAAAATATATTTTTCAAAATAAAAAAATAAATAAAGGCAGGCTAGCAGAAGATGCAGATTTTGATACAAATTAAAATTGCCTGGGTTAATAACTTCTGACTAGTAAAAGCTTAAATTATTCTGTATGTTGTTGCGGTTGTGAATACGTGCCAGTGTTTCGGATGATGTAGTCTAAAACAACCAGCCTTTCAAATTGTAACTGAAGTTGTCGATTAGTGTTTTCAGGAAGAGGCTCTGCTTCAAACCTTCGTAGCCAATAATCTGCATCCTTGTAACCTTTAACAAACAACTGAAAGGAGCCAACCTACAATTTGAAACAAAAAAAGAAGAGTAAATATGCAAAGTTTGTTTATGGTTTTTAATGTTGACATTTTAATATTAAAAAGGACACTCCACTACCCAAAATAGAAATGTTCACTGTTTAACAGATATACCCTCAAGGTAACCATGCATTCATTGAATTATGCATTTTTTGTCATTGGAGTATAAAAACAGCTTCCAAAAGCTGCAGATCTCTTGTCTGCAGCCTTTGCAAGCTTCTCCCTTCTAACTCGCTCATACTTTCTGTGGCTGTCCAATCAGACTTCCCAATTCAGTTTAATGAGAAGTCTTTGAATTTAGTTTTACTTTTTTTTTTTTTTTTAAACCCTTCAGTAGAATTCAGTGCATACAACACCATATACAAGATGGCAGACAGAATAGAGCAGTTTAAAAAATATTTTTATACAGCCTGTGACAAAATTTAAAATTGTTATCAACAAATTATATCAATATTATATCATTATAGTAATGTTTTGACACAACGGATTCATAGTACACATTTGTAGTGGGATACATTTTCTACATAAACCCACACACCTAATGTATCAAAAGTATACCACTTTTCCTAATGAAACACTTACATTCATAATCCCAACCATTATGTAGATAAGATTAACCTATGTACTTATCTGATTTGCATTTTGGAAACATCTAGTGGATGTGTAAATATATTACTCTCTGGAGAGCTGTAGTGTGCAGCTTTATGCCAGGAGTACAGATGTATGAAAGGTTTAATCTTCAAAATTGAATAACAAATCATAGATCTTAAATTACATTTCTCTCAAGAATTTCAGTGCATATGCATATAAAATGTTCAGGAAAACAATTGAATTCACATTCGCACCATAGGGTCTCTAGGCCCCCCTCCACCCCCCACCCTTAGGGTCCCCCTCCCGCCAGGCTCTAGGGTGAGGAAGGGGTTAATCCCTTACCTTTCTTCCAGCACCAGGCTCCCTCGGCGCTGTGGACTCTCCTCCTTTCCCAGTCATCGCCTAAATGCCTCCTCCTTTCCCAGTCATGGACTTCTCAATGCTTTCCTATGGATGCTGGCGTCTTCTCACTGTGAAAATCACAGCTAGAGGCGCGGAAGCGCCTCTAGCGGCTGTCAATGAGACCACCACTAGAGGCTGGATTAACCCATAGGTAAACATAGCAGTTTCTGTGAAACTGCTATGTTTACAGCAGAAAGGTTTAATCCTAGATAGACCTGGCACCCAGACCACTTCATTAAGCTGAAGTGGTCTGGGTGCCCGTAGTGGTCCTTTAATTGTTATTACTTAAACAGCTTTGGCAGAAAACATACTCTGAATTTGTATTCACGCAGTATTACTTTAAAGACTCTCATACCTTGGGAGGCAATCCAATCCTGTTAAACCTTTGACCAACTTTTGGTACTTTTTCCAGTGCCAATCTCTTCCCTCTTGATTTCACTCTGTCGATGGCACTGTAATTAAACGTTTCACTGGAAAGATATACAACCTGCAAACACACAAACACGGGTAATATTAGAAACCTGGGAATAAAATCATTAAATTCCTTAATTCCTCTTCAGACCTACCTTAATAATATCAGTATGCAAGATGACAGAGCGAACCTAGTTCTATACTTGTGTGTTTAATATGGAATTTACGCCATACCGAATTATGCATACACACTATTCAAGAACCTACACTTGCATTTACAGTGATTGATCTGTTACAGTTCAAAACACAAAATTCTCTATTATTCAAAATGTGTTAAGGTAATGTTTTAATTGGAGTATTAACCAATTTGACAGACATTATACATTTACTGATTCACTATCTGCAGAGCAAATTCCTCAGTTGCTAAATAAGCATGTATCAGTTAATGGGCAAAGCTACTCAGCATTACACAATCAAAACAGTGAATAGAATGTATAACTTGATTTATCAGTGTGCCTAGCAGATCCCTATCCAGAATAGTCTGTGAGCTTGTCACTCAAGTAGAATTATCTAGACATTTCCAACAATAATGAGAGGACAGCTATTAAGACAGTAGTATAATTGATCCACTAATTAATAACTTACCATATAGTTTCCTTTTATGGTTTTGTATGGCGTAAAATAGTGCTAAATATAGTGTAAAATGCATATATTTTATTCATTTATGACAGCATGCGCGGTTACATACAGAGGGGTGTCCCAAAACCATTGTTTAAATAAGCAGGTAAAGTTTAATGTATCCGTGACAACGCCACCACACATAAAAGGAAAGCAATTGTACCAACTTTTTACAAGTCAAAGGATGGCAGAATTACAAAGGATTCACATATAACTTGAAGAGTCCTACCCTCATGTATGAAGAATTCATAAGCAGCAAAAGAGAAATCAATTTATTAAAACACTTAACGAGGCATCCCTTCTTGATTAAAGGATTGCTCAAACCCTTCTTAGGTGGTGGATCTTTTCTGTGTAATATGCCACAAAGCTTAACTTGCCTGGAATGCAGCTCAGGAAAGAGATCCCAGAGCTGATGTTTAACAAACTATCCAACATCACAGGGGCTTCGCATGGTCCAATCATAGGTATCTCACATTGAACCGTATCTCTGGCTCAGAGCGCATGGGCCGATGAGGGAGGTGTAGTAGGAATGAGAAAGGTTTTTGTTTTTTTTTAAAACAATGTTGTTTAAATGAAGGGAGGTAAGAGGGAATGCAGAGTGGGTGGGTAAATGGCTGGGAGGGAAAACAAATCCTACCTTTGCAGATTTTCACATCCGTCACATTTGACTTTTTTTTTTTTTAATAAATACACAGAACTGACATTGGCTACCTGAACAAAGTTATGTGTCACATGTGCTCGGGGTGCAACTATCCCCCAGCATAGAATTAACAATATCTCCGGGTGTGCAATTTTCAAGATGAATCACTGCAAATACATACTCACTCCTACCACCATGACCATTCAAATCACCAAAGTGGTCATAGTGGCTGGAGTAACTGTTTAAGCATCTGATCTGCAGTATATTGATTAAATATACAACATTTTGTATGCATTTCCCAAAAGGATGAAGAACTAGTGTATGTCTGGTACTCATCTTGTCAGTTATGTGTGGTCTAGATATGGAAAGACCACATGAAACAGGTGCCGATGAAGGATACCAAACATTAAAATGTAAACAAGTTAATCTAAAAGAAGAAAAATACCCACATTTAACATTTGTGTTTTGCCTATGTGTTTCATTAACCTTTAATGCACACGGTGAGTATCATTTCATATTAAATGTTTCTGAAGGATTTAGCAACTGGCCTCACAATCCAGTTCAGTATATGCAGACAGGGCTTTGGGAGAGAAACAGCACAGTTTATAACATTGACAGGGAACTAAGACACTCAATTACAAAATAAAGCAATATGGATTTCATTACATTCATTATTGTTATCTCCTAGACCTTGCAAACACATTTGTTAAACATATAAATGCCAAGATTTAATGGCTCTCCTTAAGGATAATAAATGTATCTTCTCAGTAGCATATAACAGCACTTGAAGTCTGGGTCATATGACTGTTCATCAACCTGCCTCGAGCTTACATTAGTAAGCGCCCATGAGTTCAGCAAGTCATGTGATACTGTACTTTCCAACTGCCTTGAGCAATTCAATGCAGAGTGTTTTAATAAAACTTGCATGGGTAGACCACTTGAATCAACAGGTCACATTCCTTAATTGTTTCCAGGATTTAACAAATAAAGTCTAAAACCATTTTGTTTAACTGTGCACAATTAGATCTATCCCTTCACAAGGACTCATGAAATGTCAAGCACTATGTTACTAGCCATGTCTAAAGATTACCTGTAACTGTAAGCCTGGAGGGTTTAGGCTACATTTACAAGGGGTGATTTTTTCTAGCCAAGACTGAATTTTCACTGCCCTAGAGATAGTTTTATTTCACAAATATTTAGCATTAAAGGGACACTATAGTCACCTGAACAACTTTAGCTTAATGAAGCAGTTTTGGTGTATAGAACATGCCCCTGCAGCCTCACTGCTCAATCCTCTGCCATTTAGGATTTAATTCCTTTGTTTATGAACCCTAGTCACACCTCTCTGCATGTGACTTGCACAGCCTTCCATAAACACTTCCTCTTTATTGCAAGTTCTGTTTAATTAAGATTTTCTTATCCCCTGCTATATTAATAGCTTGCTAGGCCCTGCAAGAGCCCCCTGTATGTGATTAAAGTTCAATTTAGAGTTTGAGATACAATTATTTAAGGTAAATTACATAAATTACATCTGTTTTAAAGTGAAACCAGTTTGTTTTTCATGCAGGCTCTGTCAATCATAGCCAGGGGAGGTGTGGCTAGGGCTGCATAAACAGAAACAAAGTGATTTAACTCCTAAATGACAGTGAATTGAGCAGTGAAATTGCTGGGGAATGAGCTATACACTAAAACTGCTTTATTTAGCTAAAGTAATTTAGGTGACTATAGTGTTCCTTTAAGTAAATACAGATAAGGCTAATTGGAAGTCTATGATTGAGGCAAAACAGTCATAAAATTATTTTCCAAAATATGCAACATTGTCAAACGTTGTAAGCCGATTAACTCACCACAATATTTTAGAATATAAAAACAACAAATTGGTAGTATTTTACCTTAGTTCTTGGAACAATGTTAAGCTCTAGTTTTTGGTCCACCAGACTTGCCCCGGCTTCTGATAGATATCCCTGGTTTAAAACTAGACAGTCCCTTCCAAAACAGCACGGGCAGCACAGCTTCTGGAGCCACTTTGTCCATTTCGGGTTAAGCTGTCCGTAAGGTTCCTCGTTTTTTGGTTTAAAAACAGCAATGATTTCCTAAAGTAGAAGAAAGTAAAAATGGTTAAAAACAGAATTCACGTGGTTGAGTTTAATGCTTATATACCGTATGTCTAATTTTGAAGGGCTCGCATATCCCGGTCATTTTTTTGAGGGAACCTGGACATTTTGCAACAAACAAATAAGCAAAGAAAATAAAAAGCACTGCAGACCTGTGTGGCGCTAAATGACAATAATTTAAAAAAAATATTAATTTATATATTTTTTTGTACAAAAAGAAGTGTCCGCATTTACAGTAAAATTCTAGGCTTTAGAGCAGGGGTAGTCAACCTTTTTCTACCTACCGCCCACTAATGCATCTTTCTTGATGGAAAAATTTCCTTACCGCCCACCAGTTTTCGCGCAAGTGCAGAATATTTTTTAGAAAGGAGGGTGTTTTAAAAAAAAAAATAAAAAAAAAATGTACATACATTTATCTTTTTATTTCTACTTTATGCATGTTTATAATGTTAACTTTATAAAATATAATGAGAAAATAAAGTAAATTTAAATTACCTTTTACTCTCCACCTTTTTTTTCCCCCTTTTCCCTAATTTTTAACCTTCGTTATAGCAATGCCCAGCAGGAAGGCTGAGCTAGGTAGCCCACTTATTATTATTATTATTATTATTATTATATTAGCCAACAACAATTTTCTCCTTTTTCTTTTTCTTCTTTCTCCTTTTTTACAAGTACTCTGCTCTTTCTTTCTCCAATGCTACAAGTACTCTGTTCCTTCTTTCTCCAATGCTACAAGTACTCTGCTCCTTCGTTCTCCTTTTTTTACAAGTACTCTCCTCCTTTATTTTATCCCCTTTTTTTCTATTTTTCTTCCTTCCTTTTTTTTTTTTATCTTTTCCTTTTTATCTCCTTTTTTATGCTTTTCTTTTACATTCCAATGAACAAAAGTAAGGCTGATGTATAGTGGGTAGGGGGTCTGTGAGGTTGGTAGGGGGGCTCTATAATGGGTGGGGGGCTGTGAGGTGGGTAGGGGGGCTCTATAGTGGCTAGGGGGGCTCTATAGTGGGATGGGGCAGTGAGGTGGGTAGGGGGGCTCTATAGTGGGTAGGGGGCAGTATAGTGGGTAGGGGGCAGGGGGGCTGTGAGGTGGGTAGGGCTGCAATATAGTGGGTAGGGGGGCTCTATAGGTGTAGGGGGGCTGTGAGATGGGTAGGGGGGCTGTGAGGTGGGTATGGGGCTGAATAGTGGCTAGGGGGCTGTGGAGGTGGCTAGGGGGGCTGTATAGTGGGGCAGTATAGTGGGAAGGGGGGCTGAGGTGGGTAGGGGGGTATAGTGGGTAGGGAGGCTGTGAGGTGGGTAGTGGGCAGTATAGTGGGTAGGGGGGTCTGAGGTGGGTAGGGGGCCCCATAGTAGGTGGTGGGCTGTGAGGTGGGTAGGGGGCTCATAGGTGGGCAGTGGGGGCAGGTGGGGGGCTCTATAGTGGGTAGGGGGGGTATAGTGGGTAGGGGGCAGGGGGGCTGTGAGGTGGGTAGGGGGCAGTATAGTGGGTAGGGGGGCAGTGAGGTGGGTAAGGGGGCTGTATAGTGGGTAGGGGGTCTGTGAGGTGGGTAGGGGGCTGTGAGGTGGGTAGGGGGCTGAATAGTGGCTAGGGGGGCTGTGAGGTGGCTAGGGGGGCTCTATAGTGGGTTAGGGGGCAATATAGTGGGTAGGGGGGCTGTAAAAAAGTAAATACCTTTCGTGTCCTCTTGGTCCGGTGGGCAGCTTCCCAGTAACGTGCATGGGGGCGGAGCTTTGAGCGGGAGGCGGAGTATGCGGCTATAATGATTTCAGACTGTGCAGGGAGACTGACAGGTCTCCCTGCAGCTGCTGGCAGCCACACCAGCCCCCAGCTCCTCCCTCCTTCCTCCCCTCGGACTGACAGGCTGGCACAGTCCGAGGGGAGGATTTATCAGAATGATCATTAAGGCGGTCAGCCCAGCCCCAGCTGGGCCAGTCCGGGCCTGCCACCCACTCTCTCAAACGGGGGATTTAGCTGTCCAAATCCCTACCGCCCACCAGGAATCCTGAAACGCCCACTAGTGGGCGGTAGGGACCAGGTTGACGACCCATGCTTTAGAGCTTCGATAGTGACTATTCATCTTCCTTTAAAGCGGCTCTGTGTATAATTTTCAAACACCTCCAAATCGCTGCTGGGGTACGATGGGGGAATGACAATCTTGACAAAAGGTAACTGCCCGGTTTGTCGAGCATAGGAAAAATACTGAGACAAAGTAATCAGTATATCTTTTGAGTGGGTTGGAATTTCAGTAAAATTCCAAAACAGTCAGGGTGAGTATTTCACAAAGATTTTATCTTCATTTTGGATACAGTTAAAACAGAGCCTCTAACTTTCTATTACAGTGCAGTACTTAACCCCTAGACAGATGTAGTTGAGACTTCTATGGTAGACCAAAAAAAAAAAAAAAACCTACAATGCATAGGAATCGTTCATGTGCATCATTTACAGCTGTACTATTGCAGCGATCAAACTAAACCCTGAAGGTTAGGGAGAAACCCTTTTATTTTAAACAAAGATTTTTCTTATTGCAGCATACAAATACTACATACTAAGCAGCAGCACTTTTCATGTACCACGCAACTGCATAAAGTGTTGTGAACAAAAGTAAGTGGAGTCTGTTGCAACCTGAGCTATAACCACAGTATATGAAATAGCATCTTCCCTAGTCAGATACACTGTTACAATCTCTAAAACAAAAGGGTCTACAAAGTCTACTGTAAATCAGATTCCATTCTGTCAGGTCTGACAACTAAAAAAATACAATAAAACATTTACCAAGAAATGATCAGGGAATATATAGCCATGGTGGAAATGTAGCAGAGTTAGATTTTTTTTAGTTTTGTATTTGGTCAATGTTAACTTCCTATGTCAATTACCAGCTAAATCCAGCTAATTGTAGAATGACTACATTTCATTAACACGTTCCTCTTACAGAATAATGGCAGTCACGTACCAGATCAATATCACATATATATGTGGAATGTGTCAGTAGAAACCCTAGTTTATTGAAGTAGTTTTCTGAAAATAAACACGAGGCATACTTCCACAACATCGAATAGGTGTTTTTCACTTTTACAAATATAGAATGAGCTTTTAGAATACAGTATGTGCCGTGCAATCCATAGGATAACAGGAATACAATCAAATGTATAAAGACTTATCTGTACTCTCTACAGCTAGGATGCAAGCCAGAAAAATAGGCTTGGTAACTTGTGAAACCTATCAGCACAACGACGCTAACATAGAAATAGACTCCAATCAGCCAATATAACAACATCCAACCAATGTTGGCTAATCCAGATGAGAACCTGAGGCCACAATCGATTTATATACAAATTTAACATTTTAAATAGATGAAACAGACAGACCTATAGTATGAATTATTTTTACACCCTCAAAATGCTGGCAATAGCACCGAGCTGCAGGTTTATCATCACTGACACACACTTGTTACAGATAATGAAGATATGTTAATGGAAATATTTCAGATAATGTGATCAAGTGCTTCACATATGATTGTGATATCTGTTCTCATGGACACGGGATTTCATAGCAGAAAACAAGCATTCGTCATGTAGACAAGTGTGCTAGCGTTACTTCAAGATATGTTTGTAAGTATCTTTGTAAATGCTACAGCAATGCAAGTTTAAATATAGCACAGATTCATTTAACCAATAATAAAAAGTGTAATATGCAATTTACCAAAGAATATGATTTAAAAAAAAAAAAGAAAAGATTTTTTAAAATTTAGCTTTGTGTTCTAGCACATACAGTTGGTAAAACCAACGATAGCGTGTTGTAGTGGTTATGGCGCAAAGAATCCCTGGGTGTCATCCACCAGTAAACCGTCATACCATTTGCATATGTTATGACACTTACCTCAGGGGCGTTTTAGCCGCGAGGCAAACAAGGCATTTGCCTTGGGCGGCATTTAGTGTGTGTGTGTCTGTCTGTGTCTGTTAGTGTGTGTGTGTGTCAGTTTGTGTCTGACTGTGTGTATGTGTCTGTTAGTGAGTGTGTGTGTGTGTATGCGTGTCTGCGTATCTGTTAGTGAATGTGTGTGTGTGTATTTAGAAGGCGGGGGGAAGGCACCTGAGTTTTGTCCTGCCTAGGGCAGCACAAAACCAGGATACACCACTGACTTACCTTGCTGTGATGAAAGCAAATCTGGGGATGTCACACTATACAGCCATACTGCTCATCACCGCTTGAGAACTAGCCCAATGCTGGGCTTAAAGTGGCATGTCGTGAAAGATGCAAAAATAAATTAAAAAAACTTTACTTGTCTGGAATCAAAAGGCGAGCGAAGCTCCCGTTGCTCACTTCCACAACCCCTTCTGACATCAGAGAAGCCTGTGATTGGACCGTTTTTACCGTTTAGAGCACATATGCGCAATCTGAGTTGGCGTGGGGAGGATAAAATGGAGGGCAGGGAATTTCGGGCGGGGGCACGGGAACACTGTCTTCCCTTTGCAGGCGCTCTGCCTGCATGGGAAAAGATCATATAAGCAGGTTGTAGTGGTTCCAGTGTTTGGAGTGGTCTTCATGGTTGATTTCATGTTCTGGGTGCTGAGATCTAATCTAGCACGAGAGAGAGAATGTGCAGGGCTTTTTTCCCCCAACAATAAAAGACAAGTATTAAATTAAAGCACACCCTTATTTTCCTCAATTCCAAACCGAACATGATTTAAACATGCTCATGGCTTGCATTTGCTTTAAAGGGACACTATAGTCACCAAAACAACTTTAGCTTAACAAAGCAGTTTTAATGTATAGATCATGATCCTGCAGTCTCACTGCAATTTAGGAGTTAAATCCCATTTGTCTCTGTCCATGCAGCCCTAGCCACACCAAGCATGGAAAAAAAAAAAAAATGGTTTTACTTTCAATTAGATTAAATCATACACAGGAGCAGCTTCTGTGGGGTCTAGCAAGCTATCAACAGTGCAGGGGATAATACATTTTAAATTAAATAGAATTTGCAAAGAGGGAAGTATAAACATTAACTGACGCTTTACAGGAAGTGTTTTGGAAGGCTGTGCAAGTCACATGCAGAGAGGTGTGACTAAGGTGCATAAACAAATTGATTTAACTCCTAAATGGCAGAGAATTGAGCAGTGACACTGCAGGAAAATGATTAATACACCAAAACTGCTTTAATAAGCTAAAGTTGTTTTGGTGACTATGGTGTCCCTTTAAGTTAAAGGCAGAAAAGCCTAGACAATGGGTAACAGTAGAACTATGAGCAAAAGGGGGAACAAATATCTAAATATATGAAATTAAAGTTTAACTGTTGAGTGTCACCTATATATCATAAGACACACTGTCAATAGACAATAGATAGTGTGAAGATGGGGAGCTGTGCCTGAAGGAACCCATAAGTCGAACCGTACAATAGGGAGGCACCAGGGCACTCATGATGTCATAACTACTACTTTGAGCTGTAGTTGCTATGGTACCTCCTTTATACTGGGCTTGGTGAAAAGTTTACCATGAGCACAATAATTCCATGAAATCCAGTTTGGGACAGTTTTATCAGAATTCTCAGCTTGATATGTAAATGTGCACAAGCAGGAAGCATGTATCAGATATTATCCTACATTTTACTCCTGTCAACGGAGAACAGTTTAAAACACAGCTTTTTAAACACAAGAATGCAATATGAACAATAACATATATATATATCTCTCTATCTAAGCAAGATGCCGATTAAGGTAACACTATGAAACAAGAAGCAGGTAAGGTGAGTATTAAGATGGGAACCTGATCTGGAGAAAGTAAGACAGGAAGGGAATTTTTTCAGTCACTCAAATTACAAGAGAGTGAACTTGGATTTACAGTTAAAATAAATAAACAGTTAAAAGCAATGACACAGATTATAGATTCATAGCATTATCCTCTTTAAATAATGGCTCTTAGAGGTATCCATGTGTAAGGTTTGCAAATGTCTGGGGGTCTATTAATGGTGATACCCCCCAAAATATATTGTACATATTTTAACTTATTTTATTTGAAGTGACACACTCAAACCAGCATTAATTGAAAAGGGATATTGTGCTCTTTCAAACAGGGACTATTTAAGGTCTGTAGTCCACTTGCTTCTGATTTCTCCAATGTAGTGCTGGCAAGACGCCCTTCGTGAAAGTAGCACCTTGCACAATTTGGTATATATTTTATGTCAAGATATTGTCGCACGTCTCCCATTTCTGACAAAGCGTTCCACCCCTCAAACACATAAGACACTTAGATTAGAAAGCGCAGAAAGTAAGAAAAAAAAAAAAAAGTCAGTTAAAAAAAATATAGCCATGTATACTACAGTGCATCTGCACTAAAAAAAAAGGAACTGAATAGTAGAATTGGAAACTTTTTTCCTGATTTAGTAACAAAGCAAAAAAACTATACATAATCTAGGCTAGGCCATGAATCATGCTCCTGCACTTAGCATACCTAAAATTTCTACTAACGTGTCAAGATGTCTGTCTCAATAGTTTACCGCATTCAAAAATTCTGTTATACACAATTCTTTCTCAATCTATGAATACAGATATGCCACTAAACAGGAAGAGTCTTTGCCTATTACATATCTTGGCATATTTTGGCATGCCTGCATTGCGTGCACTGGATGGGGTGCGGGAGCTATCGACCTGTAGCTGTCCATTGCCGGTAATACCATTTGAGGACCTTATTTAGCACATGGCGCTTCATTTACCAAGAACATCCATGATTCAAGTACTTTCACACATTCACAACAGTACAATGCAACAGTATAATCCCCAAGGCCCTTGGATCTTATTAATAACTTATGGTGGGGGAGTTGCCTTGTGTTAATGAGAGCTCGACATTACCATATGACTAAGTGTTCACTGATTTCCTATTATAACTTTTGCGTTTGAAGAAAAAAAAAAAAAAAGTTTGAGTTTTGATGCAGTTGAAAAACTCCATAAATTCCAATGCAGACACCATGATCACTTCATGACAGAACCACATTATTATTGTGGAAAAGAAACTGCCAGACGTAGCCTCTTGCTCTTTATAATTAAGATCGGAGTACAGGAACAAAATTGTGTAGACTAGCTGGCTATAAAAGAGTAAAAAAAGAAAAAAAAAGCTTTCTGATTCTCTAACTGCTTAACATCCTCCTTTTCTGAAGAGACTGTGTGGCATGTCCCCTTCCTGCAACACTCGCACTACCTCTTTCTCTGTCCCAGGCTGCCTGCTAGTAAGAAGGATGGGGAGTGGGGACAAGTAAATCCTGGGGAGAGAGGATTCAGAGTTTGTGATTAGTTAGAGAGAGGAGTGAGAGCTGTGGGGCTTGCAAGCTGGAAAGGTAGACTGGCATAAGGTATGTCTATTCTCACAAATGCATCCTGTGAGTTTCCCTCTAGCACTACCTCCTCCTCTTGGGGATGTATGACTGTTATAGTGCTATTAAAAAACAAAACGTAATATACTCATAATCGTCAGTATCAGGCTCAATAGGCTAATTACACAATTCTTGAAGCACATGCTTCTGGTGTAAAGTGAACTTCTTTCCAGGTCCTGCAATGTGTTCTCACTAAATCAAGAAGTAATTCAGCCAATCAAATTAACATACTATAGCATTGCCAAGCTCATCCCAAATACCACACAAATCGATCAAAGGATTTCTTGAAGAAATTGTAGAAATCGAACAGCTGAACTACGATTTTGTTTTAAATTAGAATTTAGGAGTGCAGAAAATGATATTTTCCACTAATGATATCTGCATGTCATGTGAACTTGCATCACATTTGTTCCATTAGAGAAGAACTAAGCTAACCATGTCATACTATTCAGCATTCCATGACAAGATCACTGAGCATTTACCATCAGATAGCCAAACCGCAAGCTGGGACAGAGTAGAACCCCTATGTATACACCCTAGTAATCGATTCGTAGTGTCAGCTCAACACATAGTGTAAAGGGAGTACTGGTACCCTAAGGGCCAACTATTGCACCTCAAAAACTGAACTACAATTCACTTGATTTTCTGTCATGTATTCGGATTTTTGCAAAACTCGTGCAACATAATCTGCTTTAGTACAATAGGAGTTGTGATCCAAAACGATTGCTCATTTCTGTCCAGATTGTAGGTTAACAGCTGAAATTATGACAACGTAATATTTAGAACAGATCTCGAACACGGACTGTATTTTCAAGAATGTTTTATCAGATGTACTGAGATGCTAATTAAGTATACAAATCAACACGTTAAAACATAAAACATATATTAAAGAGCCAAAAAAAAAAAAAAAACTCATCACCTGCTGTTTTGCCAGATTCTGATTCTAAACAGACACTGGAGAGGAGGTATTTAACTTGGCAAAATACTTCTCTCCAGTAACCGAATCCAACTGAAGATTGAATTTGCTTCAAATACTAAATGGAAATGTCTTTTATTCAGGCTGATCGAGTTAGGTGCATACACCTTCTTAAAGTATAATGATCATATAATGATGATAATGAATGAGTATACACTCAGAAATAACACTAGACTAGTGTAAGATAAAACCAGTCAGCAGTGATAGCATTAGGAAAGCAATGTGCTATAGTCTGATTAAAAAGATAATATTCTTACACAAAAGATTATATTGGATGCGGTACAGTGGTTTAGTTTTGATGCCTGTAGCAATTGCTACATAGATTTTTTTTTTTTTTTTATTTGGCTTCTGGTAAAAAGTAACAACTTGCTATAAATTTGTGATTTGGTTAGAATGCATTATTCTGTACACAAATATTTGCTTTTAATAAGCGGTCAATATGTTAAAAGTTATGTAATTTGGAACAGTTACTGTGAGGATTTGGAAACCTGAATAGGTGTCAATGTCGGCGAAAAACTGAATTCAGCAGGGAATTTTACGTAAAATATTGAAGTTTAAAACAGCTGATTTTGAGAATTTTCCCTAAAACTTGCAATTGCAAGGTGAATACTGGACTATCTGTGGTTTAGTAAATAACTCTGGGATGGTTACTAACCGGGCAAAATAAATAAATATAATCACATTTGAAATGTATTCAAATTGTTACTTCTTCTAATTCGGTAAACACACAAAATATTTTTGGGGTGTTTTCAGACCCCCTTCTTATTATGGACTATAAAGCCTCCCCTAGACCATAAGAAAATATTTTTTGACATATCTTCACCTGCCAAGTCTTCAGTCAAACATATTATTATATTTTGTTTATTTTATTTTTGCATGTGCTGCTATCCTGCCTATGTATCACGGCTTTTAAAGGGTAAGATACCCAATTTTTCACTTCACTTTTTATAGGAGTTTTTCATTTATATGTACATTAGCTCACCTGTCTTTGTAAGTTTAAGTTCTCCTATTTTGTTTGTGCCATGTATTGAATATAACATTGTTCTACTATTTACACTCTCATGCCATGTTCTACAGCAGGGTTGCCCAAAAGGTATATCCCCAGATGTTTCCATGATGCTTTGTCTTTATAGAGCATGCAAAGCATCATGGAAGTTGCAGTTCTACAACATCTGTGGATCTACCTTTTGGGCACCCCCTGTTCTAAAGAATGTTTCTGGTCTTTGCACTCCTCTTTTTGTTGAGTGGTATAATGACTATTAAACTACTTGACTACCTACCACATTCAGAGGGTGCCAAGTAACTCATACAGCGCACTGTGGTGGTTATGGTGCTTGGAGTGTTCCTCTACATTCTCTTTGACGTGCAAAATTGTAAACAACCTGCTAGAAGTATGAAAGGAGTCTAATTTTTGGCATGGGGGCACCCCAAACCACTACAGTCCCCCTATTGTATTCTCTCTTGAGGGTCAGGAGGCAGATAAAATGAAATGTCCAGTGCCTAAGTTACAACTTTACCCCTTGTGATTCTCTCAGACAGAGGGCAGACAACCGACATGTCCCCCTCCCGCTATGTTCCCTAGCCCCCGACGCGTCCCTCCCCCCATACCCCTAAATCTGATACCCCTCCTCTCCCCTCCCCCCCATACCCCTAAATCTGATAATTCTCCTCTCCCTTCCCCTATACCTCTAAATCTGATAATTCTCTCTCCCTCCTCCATACCCCTAAATCTGATACCCTCCTCTCCCCTCTATACCCCTAAATCTATACTCCTCCTTCCCCTATACCCCTAAATCTGATAATTCTCCTCTCCCCCTATATACCCCTAAATCTGATACCTCCTCTCCCCATACCCCCTAAATCTGATAACAATTCCTAAATTCCATACCTCCTCCTCCCTCCTCCCTAAATTCTGATACCCTACCTCTCCCCCATACCCCTAAATCTGATACCCTACCTTCCCCATACCTCAAATCTGATACCCTACCTTCCCCATACCCCCTAAATCTGATACTCCTACCTTCCCCTATACCCCTAAATCTGATACCTCTACCTTCCCCTATACCCTAAATCTGATACCTCTCCTCCCTCCCCATACCCTAAATCTGATACCCTCCTCTCCCCCCATACTCTAAACGCCCCCTGCCCGGTCCTGCTCACCTCCTGCTCATCTTTGACGAAGTAGCTGCTGCTGATCCTGGTAGATCCTTCTCTGAAGATTTCTGCTCTATCGCCTCTGCCCTTCTTTCACTACCTCGGCGAACTCTGGGTCATCTGGGAATCGGTTGTGGTGCCGGGCCTGAGCGCCTGCACGCCGCCGCTCCCGGTCGCTGGGGAGCCGGGGAGGGGTCTTGGGCGGAGGCCTGCAGGGGAGGGGCGGCGGAGGCTGATCCGGATCACCACACCGGGAGCCGTAGCGGGAGGAGGGCGGGCTGGGCTGCGGGGCCGGGAACGTGTAGTCGGTGTGCTCCCGCACCGGGGATACCAGGGGGCTGGTCTCATCCATAGCCCGGTAACAGGGCGGGAACCGACCGACCGGCCGACCGACTGACAGCTGACTCACAGCACCCGCTACCGACACTTCCGGTATCCTCCAGCCAATCACAGAGGGAGGAGCGAGCGCGTGCGGCCACGCCCACTGTCACCTCTTCACAACAACGGAGCTGGAGGAGCGCGTGACGTGCCCAGCCCCGCCCAGTGCGTCACTCACCGCGATTCCACCAATGGAATCTGTCCCCGCCCAGTGTTACTACTGAGCGAGCGTGCCAGGCACGTGTGACGTACTGCCCCTCTCCAACATGGCCGCCGCGGCTTCATAGGGGAAAGGAAAGTCTCAGCGGCCCCAATTAATTTTTTTTTTATTAGAAAGCTGGCTCCAGAAAGATTGCATTCAGAATCTAAACATCATGACAAATAAATAACCCGATTATAACTCCTATCAGACAGGGCTCTGAGGGCATGTGTGGGCATTCCACCACAAGGATTTTGTATAGAAAAAAAAAGCATTTATTGTTTTATTGATGCAAAATGGCATCAAATTAAATAGAGATGGGTTTAACACGGATTAAATGATCCTCCTGTAGTGATGACGTCATGGGAGGTGCACCCCATTTTTTTATTAAATTAAATTTCCCATAATGCTCAGCCAGCCTTCAATCAGACCAGGTTTATCCCTCAGCTGGCCGCGTTAGACTCTGTTATTGGCACGGGATAATATGGGGGGCCGTTGCCCTCAGTTAAGATGGCGGCCGCTGGGGACCAATAGGAGCCAGCGATATTCTCTGTAGCCATAACAACCGGCAGGGCAGCCTGCTGTCTGGGGAATGAGCCAGGACGGGAGTGCGGTGAGCTGAGAGTGGGGACCGACCTGCTGTGGGACATGACCGGGTAAGCAGCATGTTTATCATCCCCCTGGCTCACTGACAGCCCGGCCACTATCCACATCCATCACACAGCATCACTAGCCAGCCTGGGCAACCAGCATCACTAGCCAGCCTGGGCAACCAGCCTCACTAGCCAGCCTGGGCAATCAGCCTCACTAGCCAGCCTGGGCAGTCAGCCTCACTAGCCAGCCTGGGCAGTCAGCCTCACTAGCCAGCCTGGGCAACCAGCATCACTAGCCAGCCTGGGCAGTCAGCCTCACTAGCCAGCCTGGGCAGTCAGCATCACTAGCCAGCCTGGGCAACCAGCCTCACTAGCCAGCCTGGGCAATCAGCCTCACTAGCCAGCCTGGGCAACCAGCCTCACTAGCCAGCCTGGGCAACCAGCCTCACTAGCCAGCCTGGGCAGTCAGCCTCACTAGCCAGCCTGGGCAGTCAGCCTCACTAGCCAGCCTGGGCAGCCAGCCTCACTAGCCAGCCTGGGCAGCCAGCCTCACTAGCCAGCCTGGGCAACCAGCATCACTAGCCAGCCTGGGCAACCAGCATCACTAGCCAGCCTGGGCAACCAGCCTCACTAGCCAGCCTGGGCAACCAGCCTCACTAGCCAGCCTGGGCAACCAGCCTCACTAGCCAGCCTGGGCAACCAGCCTCACTAGCCAGCCTGGGCAGCCAGCCTCACTAGCCAGCCTGGGCAGCCAGCCTCGCCAGCCAGCCTCACCAGCCAGCCTGGGCAGCCAGCCTCACTAGCCAGCCTGGGCAGCCAGCCTCACTAGCCAGCCTGGGCAGCCAGCCTCACTAGCCAGCCTGGGCAGCCAGCCTCACTAGCCAGCCTGGGCAGTCAGCCTCACTAGCCAGCCTGGGCAGTCAGCATACTAGCCAGCCTGGGCAATCAGCACATCACTAGCCAGCCTGGGCAATCCATACTAGCCAGGCTGGGCAGCCAGCATCACTATCCAGCCTGGGCAACCAACATCACTATCCAACCTGGGCAGTCAGCCTCACTAGCCAGCCTGGGCAGCCAGCCTCACTAGCCAGCCTGGGCAGCCAGCCTCACTAGCCAGCCTGGGCAGCCAGCCTCACTAGCCAGCCTGGGCACCAGCCTCACTAGCCAGCCTGGGCAACCAGCCTCACTAGCCAGCCTGGGCAACCAGCCTCACTAGCCAGCCTGGGCAACCAGCCTCACTAGCCAGCCTGGGCAATCAGACACCTGGCCAGGAGACCCCACAGCATCACTAGCCAGCCTGGGCAATCAGACACCTGGCCAGCAGACCTCACAGCATCACTAGCCAGCCTGGGCAATCAGACACCTGGCCAGCAGACCTCACAGCATCACTAGCCAGCCTGGGCAATCAGACACCTGGCCAGCAGACCTCACAGCATCACTAGCCAGCCTGGGCAAGCAGACACCTGGCCAGCAGACCTCACAGCATCACTAGCCAGCCTGGGCAAGCAGACACCTGGCCAGGAGACCCCACAGCATCACTAGCCAGCCTGGGCAATCAGACACCTGGCCAGGAGACCTCACAGCATTACTAGCCAGCCTGGGCAGTCAGACAGGGCTGGGGGACACCTGGCCAGGAGACCTCACAGCAGGACAAATAAATTAATGTTTACATGGGAAACTTACAGGGAATTGTGGAGTGGTGACCAAAGATTTCAAAATATTAAACCAAAATATCCAAATATATATATATATATATATATATATATATATATATATATATATATATATATATATATATATATATTTAAAATTCATTAATCTATTTATTTCATGTTTAGTGGAAAAAAACAAACCCTATACGATTTAAGCTACCTATTGTTCCTGTAATTGTTTCATTTACTGTTAAATCTCCCTTTTTATAATATCGTAAAGTGTTGCGGATTAAATTGCGCTATATAAATAGCAATAATATTAATAATACGATTTACATTCACAAGGTCATTCACAATTTACATGATCATTTTATTCTAAATTCCACATTGCTTTACATTAAGTGGAGTGTGACATAGACCACTGTTTCTCCAGCATTTTACATGTGAATACCCTTTCTAAAACACCCTAGAATCACTAGGGATTGTATTAGTAACCTCTTTTTATTACTAACCTCTGATGGTTAATATTTACTAAAGTTATTAAAATAATTTAGAGGTTAATAAATTTAAAATATAAGTAAATTTCATATTTTTATTGTAGTCTTGAATCTTTATAAAAGACAGTGTGCTCAAGCATTTAATGAGCTTCCTGTGGTATTGCCCTTTAAAGCTTATTTACTTAAGTATGAATTGAAAGTGAATTTTTCATTTTATGACACTGGGAATTTTTATAAAGTTTGCTGTATGGTTAATCTATTTTGGTCTACAATTTGAACAATGTTTTATAGGTTGTGTTTTTTTTTGTTGTTTTTTTGTTTTTGTTTTTTCACTAAAAATACTTCCTGAAATAGCCAAGCAGCTGTGTTTAGTGAATAAATCTGTATAAACTTAGTACAGCATATAAGTACAGCAGACAATGTAATAGAGCAGCAGGAAATGCTAGCAGAATGCTTGGTTGTATAGGGAGAGGTATTAGCAGTAGAAAGAGGGAAGTGCTCATGCCATTGTACAGAACACTGGTGAGACCTCACTTGGGGTATTGTACACAGTACTGGAGACCGTATCTTCAGAAGGATATTGATACCTTAGAGAGGGTTCAGAGAAGGGCTACTAAACTGGTTCATGGATTGCGGGATAAAACTTACCAGGAAAGGTTAAAGGATCTTAACATGTATAGCTTGGAGGAAAGACGAGACAGGGGGGATATGATAGAAACATTTAAATATATAAAGGGAATCAACACAGTAAAGGAGGAGACTATATTTAAAAGAAGAAAAACTACCACAACAAGAGGACATAGTCTTAAATTAGAGGGACAAAGGTTTAAAAATAATATCAGGAAGTATTACTTTACTGAGAGGGTAGTGGATGCATGGAATAGCCTTCCAGCTGAAGTGGTAGAGGTTAACACAGTAAAGGAGTTTTAGCATGCATGGGATAGGCATAAGGCTATCCTAACTATAAGATAAGGCTAGGGACTAATGAAAGTATTTAGAAAATTGGGCAGACTAGATGGGCCGAATGGTTCTTATCTGCCGTCACATTCTATGTTTCTATGTTTCTATAATTTCAGGATGCGTACAAACAATACATACATCAGAGCTTTTCTTTATGATAATCAACCTGTTCCCATAGGAGTTCTTCAATAAAATCATGACTGTGCCACACTAATTTAGGACAAGAGAACACATCTGGCCATGGAGTCCATTTGTCAAAACAAGGGAGTCTGTTAATACACGTTTGACCCCTGTAACACAGAAATTGGTAGATTTAGGGTAATATTGCTTTTCTCTGAGGAATTAAAAATAATATCCTGGCTGTAATATATAGGGATAAATATTATTTTTACCATTTACTAATGTGACGCAAGATTTAGAAATGTAGATTACACCTTGATTTGTTAGCCTGTGATGTGGTAGGGGCACTCCTTGTGCGCGTGCGCATGCGCATTTAATAAGAATTAGTTTAACCCCTTAAGGACACAATACATGTGTGACATGTCATGATTCCCTTTTATTCCAGAAGTTTGGTCCTTAAGGGGTTAAAGCTGTTTCATGGCAATATATATTGAGATATTTGATGTATTTCGTTTTAAGATGCCTTTTCTAGTGATACTGGTTGCGGAAACCTAAGAATTTATTCACTAAACAGTTTATTGTAGAGAATTGGCAAGTGAATAGCGAGTGACTAGGTCACAATATGGAAAAAAATAGCTAATTTGAAAAATGTTGATCAAATTCTACTTTCATTTTTCTTTTGCGCTAAATATTACAAGTATTATAGATATCCGACCATATCATTCTACTGACATATGTGAACTGTATGATACCCATATCGCACCTTTAGGGACACATGGTAAATCTACACTGCAGTATTACAATTCTTGCTGTTTTCCATGCAGCGTTCTTAAGTGTCCTTGAGTCGGTGTTTGAAGAGGAATTCTGGTGCTCGTCCAATACCAATATTTACATTCTGCCTTATCATATAGCAGTTTTTAGGCTTCTCTTAAATGACACTGACTGAGTTATTTAATCCTTTTAAACCCAACTCCTCTTTAGTAATTGCCTTTCTAGTCCCAGTCTGCCTGTCACATGTGCTAATTAGATTGCTGAGAGCAGTTCTAAGACCATACACTTCAGGTGGAGCATTCATCAGACATACTCCATTGGTATGCACCATAAGTACTTGGGCTTTAATTTATGCCAACATACTCTGCCAATGAATGCCACTCAAATGTGGACGGAATTCATATTGCTAATGCGGGAAATGTAAAATGCCAAGCTAGGGAGGGACTATTATAATGGGAACTAGAGAAGCTCTCCATGTTTGTCAGACCGTTTAAAAATGGTTTTACACAAAACTGGAGGATGCACCATAGTCATGCTGGCACCATAGCCACTTCAGCAGGCTGTGGTGATTACGGTGCTCTTTTAAAGGACATACTCGTTTTCCTGGCACTATAGTGCCCTGAGGGTGCCCCTACCCTCAGGGCCTCACTCCTGTGGCGTTGAAGGGGTTAATCCCTTACCTTTTGTCCAGCGCCGGGCTCCCTCGGCGCTAGGACTCTTCTTCCGTCATCGGCTGAATGCGCATGCGCGGCAAGAGCCGCGCGTGTTCAGCCAGTCCATAGGAAAGCATTATCAATGCTTTCCTATGGATGCTGTCGTCTTCTCACTGTGAAAATCACAGTGAGAAGCGCCTCTAGCGGCTCTCAATGAGACAGCCACTAGAGGCTGGATTAACCCTAAAGTAAACATAGCAGTTTCTATGAAACTGCTATGTTTACAGCAAAAACGGTTAAACCTGGCACCCAGACCACTTCATTAAGCTGAAGTGGTCTGGGTGCCTATAGTGGTCCTTTAAATGAGAGATTTTTATTTCATTTAGCGAATAAGCTGCGCCTTGAGTAAGTTGATACATTGTAAGAAAGGGTGGTTGGCTCTTCTAACTTCACAGATTGATATATGGAGACATTCTCTTTCCTGTCACATTTTTTTTTTTAAGGATCACATTGTTTGTTTAGCAATACATTACACTGGATTTGTGGTGAAGTTCTAGAATCATCTGATGATCATTGCTAAATCTATCTAGACTGCTTGGCTTTTTCCAAATGTTGTGTTTTTTTTTTTTTTTGTTTGTTTTTTAACCCACTGCATATATAAATACTTTTTTGAACATCATATTATTGTTGCACTTGTTTTTTGTTTTTTGTACATTCATTATGTAATGTTTCTAGATATATCTTGTACGATCTGCTTTAGTAATGCCTCTTTCACTGTATGTTTTCTTTTTTTGTGTAACAGATCACATCTATATTTATTAAACCTGTCTCTCCTCATTCAGACTATCTGCCATCTACCTTCTTTCCATTCTCACCCAGATATATATTGTCTTTCTCTTCCTATAATTTTAATGTCACTCTCAGATATGACTTTGTTGCTGCTATTACTTAGTTTGTTGCCTATATTTATACTAATATAAAAACCACAACGACAACAAAAGTGTATTGGTACTGCTATAAATACGTAGTTGCTGTAGCAAAAAAGTATGCAATACTAATACCAGACATGTAGTGATTTCATTGTGCAGTTTAGTAATAACTAACTATAATGGCTAGTTAGAGAAGTGGTATCATCACTGCCTCTGACTGGGAAACTGAGGTTTCAATCCCAGTCAGACCAACTCACCAGTTAGTGTCCGTGTGAAATACACCTTATGATATATCCGACTAACACAAATTCTCATAGATTGTAAGCTCATTTGAGCAGAGCCTTTAGATATACCTTTTTTTTTTTTTTTTTTTTAATTGTAAAGTCCTGCAGATTAAGTTGGTGTTATAAAAATGCTGATAATAATATATAATAACTACAGTATATTTTTAAACATTTTTTGTCCATCTGACATTTATCATTCAGAATTAGTTACTAAAGTTAGATTTTGTTAGGAATTCAAAGATAAAGGAACACTATACTGTTCCTATTCCTATTTAGGAATTGTCCATCTGTGAGGGTTTTAAAGATGAGCGTTACTTACCTTTCTACCATTGCCGCAGCCACTCGAAACCTCCTTGGCTGAGATCATCAAGATTGATGATGTCAGCCAATCCAATAGTTCCACATAGGTAAGCCTTGGTAGTCTAGTGCACATGCGTAACATATCTCTGTGCTGCACCAATTAAATCCAAAAACAGCTTAGTAAAACACTGTTATTTTGAGGTTCAAGTAACCCTTAAAAATACCATCATGAAAAATGAATTTTGAACATCAAGATGCAGCTTCACTTCCTGGATGAAACTTTCAGAGAACCCAGCTCACTAAACAAAATTAAACACATTTTCAGTTTTATTACTTTCTCCATAATTATAAACCAAAACCTTTACGAAATGCTCTCCCATTTTGACGTTATAGAGATGTATATTTATTCAAGATAAAACATTTTTTTATTTTAGTGAAACAGGTAGAACAGCAATTTTCTCATGCTAATTTGTTCCCCTTTTTAGAAAGTTACTTTCTGACTTAAATATTTGCTTACTACCCGAAAACTGTCTCTGTTCCATGTCTTTATGTTCAATGTCTGGGAGGGCGGTAATGGAGTGAAAGAGCAGGTTACATGTTCTATTACACTTATTAAGACAAGTGGTATCATGGGAATTCTAAGACCGTCCCTTTCTAACATCAATTATGAGCAGAAGGCAGGAGTACCCATTAGACTATTAAATCATCTGATCCTGCTGTCTAGAACTAATAACACTTGAGGACTTGTTTTATGAAAGCGTTATTTAAACCCTGTAGAGGAGAAGACACCATAAATGTTTCTCATCTTTATTTTTGGGCTGAACATGTAGGTCTGTTTATGGTTTTTACCCATTTTGACCCGGATAACCTTTTATACATATTCTGAATGAAATATATACCACTGATTAATTGCATAGTAGCCTTTTCAATTTGTCCTTATGTTCTTGGCTTTTATTGTATTGTGTTGTAGTCTGATTTACTTTGTGTTTCATATATTATGTCGGTTTTATTTATATTGAGCCTTCAAGCTAGGGTTGGCAAATGTTGGCTCCCAAATAACAGTTTGAGCGGCTGGAAAACATAGACAAACATTAGCCTGAAGGCTGTTGGCACATATCACCCCGATTTTCGTATGTTTAGTGCATGCTATACAAGAAGCGACTTAATTCTCATCTACCTGTCATCTGATCACTTACGTTCAGTGCTGGAAATCAGCACTTTGTGTTTATTGGTTGCCTCATCATGATGGGAATTACAGTCCACACAGGCCGTAGTGTATTTAGTAAGAAACGGACAGGTACGCAGCCCACATTTTGGGACAATCTTCATAATTTGCAATTTATACAACCTTTTATATTTAGTGTGATTTTTGTATTTTTTTATTTTTTTATTTTTTTTTAGTAAAAGTAACATTTAGAACATGTTTGCATGCAAATGACAGATTAAGCAGTTTATATCTATCAGTTTTTAAATTTGTTGTTCAACATGCCTTGTGCCAGTCTGTGTCGACAGTGCATAAATATAATCCATTTTGAGTCATCCTGTACAAATTTAAATGCTATCATTACAGATGATCTCAAATTTAATATGTTTCTCCGGCTAGACAGTAGTTATCTATATTTCTGTTCAGTCAGTCATGGGGTTGCAATTAAATTATGTTTAATGGATTTAGGCATCTCCAGTACTATCGTGTCTGTACTTATCCATGCTAGAGAGACACTCATATAAAAGAGCTAATGTCATTTTATTAGTAGGGTATGGAGCTCCTGGTCGCAAATTGATATTGTTTAAAACCAAATAGGTTTCTGTTTTTGTTGGGTGAATAAATGTATCCATGTGTGTTTAGGTCGATATATTATATTGATTGCGATCACCCTGTTACTTTTTAATGGTGAGCTAGTGGAGGCGAAGGGGGAGGGGTTAAAGCCATCACAGAGGTAACGTCATCAAGGGTTTAGAATCTCCATAGCAAGTGACCTGTGAGCAAAGATCAGTTATCAGGCTGATAGGGATCTACTTCTTCTCTCCCCTTGACAAGCAGTCTCATGCTTTATGATCTCTCCAGAACTCCTTAATTCACGTTTCCCATTCCCGAATTAAAATATTTTGCAGGCATTTATCACAACTCTCTAACTGAAAATGACCGGAAATCCTAATACAGCTTGCAAATTGTATTATGTGAACTTTCTTGTAGGAGACCATAAAACTCCCTTGAAAAATTACAGTTGTTTGTCGCAAATGGCTATTTGTTTAAATTAGGGAGATCATTGTTTACTTATGTATATAATGGGACGTTTGATCCTTTTAGCAAATACAGGGTTAAAGTCCAACAAGCATTAGCCTTGTATTTGCAGAATGGAAAGTTTCTATTATCATTATTTTTACATGTTGTTTGTTTACTATTTGTCTCATGCTTTGTGTTCTGTCATTGTGTTTTGTAGATGCCTCAGCAGGTTTAACCATTTTCCGTAGCGATTGGAAGTATGACGCTGATTAAAGGTTCCTTTACCTATTCCAGCGGAGAGGAATACCACGGAGAATGGAAGGAAGGTTAGTACCACGGAATCGCTGCCTTGCGCATTATCTCAAACGGGCATGTCACAAACAATACGGCGAAGAATGCATTTACCTTGAAGCCGGCAAAGCATCATGGGAGATGTAGTCCACAGCATCTGGAGTGCCAAAGGTTTCCTAACCCTGTGATAGAGTATCAGGCAAAAAAATCATTCTTATGGTTACTAAAACTTATTCTGTTATTTTATGTCTGTAGATCTCTGTGAATTCATTGCCTCATTTAAAAATAGCCCCTTTGTGTTTAATACCATATCCTGTAGTGTTCTAATATTTCATGATATTACACTGCCTTGTTCATTTGGGGAGCAGACCTTGTCACAAAGCAGATTGTTTACCAAGATGAACATGTCATTAAAGTATTAAATGAGCATCATTATTGTGTTCTTCTGCAGGCCGAAGGCATGGAATGGGCCAGCTATTATTTGCTGATGGGAGTATCTATATAGGCCAGTTTGAAAATGGACTTTTCAGCGGTTATGGAGTGCTGACCTTTCCAGATGGATCAAGGTTGGTAAAAAAATATATATAATCTAATACATGGTGGATTGATTAGTTTGGTTTAGGTATGTATCTTGCCCGATTTTTGTCATGTGGAGTGATAATATAGAAGTATTTAGATTCATCTCTTAAATTGTAATAACCCAGTAAAATGCAATGAAACCTTTTCTTTGTTTTTAAGAAGTCACGGTCCATGTAAATAGTCTATTCCTGCAACCCTCCCCATTTACCGAAATCTGATGCAAAGTCCTATTTAGAGCTCGTTTTGGAACTCGTAGACCGCTACCTTAACATGTTGCACGCATGTTCTCTTTAGGTACGAAGGCGAGTTTCTTCAAGGAAAATTCCACGGTGCTGGTGTTTTTACCCGTTACGACAACATGAAATTTGAAGGAGAATTTAAAGGTGGTCGGGTAGAGGGTTATGGTAAGTTGTAACATTTTAATTTTTTACCTCCATTAAAAATGATTTGTATTTATTTCAGGCCTTTGGCCTAATTTTATAATCCTGTGGTTAGATCTCGTGAACTCATGTACCCATTGCGCATCTTTTTTTTTTTTTTTTGGTATTCTTAACCCCTCCATGACAAATGATACACGGATTCACTCAGTATTACAATTGTCATGTCTTCCGATATAAAAGGGTTAAGCAGAAATTGTACAATTCTATCATTCAAAGATAGCCTTTTTGTTTATCTGTTGCACTTCATTATTTATTTACACATATCAAATATTCAGTTACTAATATTAGAAGTAGATCGATGCTGTAATTCAGTAAACCAAAGTTGCCAATCATAATACTTTTATACAAAGTGCTTAGCATGCTGATCCATGAGGCTACAATCTAAAAGATATAATGAGGAGCAAGACAAAGGGTGGGTACTTAAAATCTATAAGATATTAACAGCAGCTGTCACCAAACACCAGGAATTCTGATGTAAGACATGTATTAAAGTAACGGTTACATATGGCCAGCGATCTTATTGTGGAATTCTGCAAGATATTAAACGTAGGAAATCACCACACATAGTCAGCCTTCATGGCTGCTGCAAGATCATTTAATATTTAAAAACAGTCTGTACCTATGACTAAATGACCTGTTAAATATACACTTGAAAAAATGACATTACTTCCTCTTTAATTGCTTTCTTTCATAAGATTGGTGGGCCTCATATAATATCCCTAGTTTAAAGAGACACTGTAACTTTTAACATATCCCAATGTGAATCAGACCTCCTTTTGTTTGCATTGATGCAGTGGCTTTGGATGAAGTGGATTTGCTTTTGGAAGTAGAGGATGGATGCTGCTCGTTCTTTATAGCTACTTTTGTAGACATCATGGTCATCATAACACGATTCTTGCATATGAAAAATATATAACATGATTCAGCAATGATATATTTTAATATATTTTTTCTTTGTACATGCACAGGCATGTTGACCTTTTCAGATGGTTCCCATGGCATTCCAAGAAACGAAGGCCTGTTTGAGAATAATAAACTGATAAAGCAAGACAAATGTCAAGCGGTGGTCCAGAGGGCACTAAGTGCATCTAAGGCTGCTTGCTGTCTCGCAGGACACCCCATGTGAAGGGAAAATCTCATTCTTTCCAGACAGCTAAGTCTATTGTTGCATCCTCTAAAGTGCACTCACTTGTTTATTTTCTTGGTTTGTTTACACTGCTTGCTGGTTAAAGCAGAGCAAAAAAACAGCTGTTTCGCAAAACTGTTTTATGCTTTTTTGTCTTCTATCATACAATATATTCTTGTCAGAAAAACTAAGAATAGGAACACAGAAGGTATACCAGGAACCAAACCACTACTTTGTCTGTGGAACACAGTGCCTCGAAGGAAATCGCTCTCTCATCTGAATTAAAATTCTTTACAAATTTACGCAAATATTTATCCACATCTCACGTTTATATTGGCTTTCTTTTCCAATTAATATTTGTCTTATTAGTTGTTTGGTTTTTTTTTTTGTTTTTGTTTTTTACCGCTTTACAAATTTGCATTTTCTCGCTGATAATAGAAACATTTTAAAATGAAGATGGCAAATAACTCAGTTACCTGAATGCAAGAAGCTATAGTTTTAAAAAAACATTGTTTCACTGTAGATGCCTCATCACAGAAATCACTGGCCAAAGGAATTGTATCTGGTACATCAAATTTATTCCTGGAAGCATTGAAGACAACTCATTCTCCCATGTTTGTAAACATTTCCCATGTACATCATGGGAAATGTAGTTCATATAACTGGGCTCCCAAGGTATTTCATCAATCAGGTAATGTGCTTTGTTTAAACAGGTGCTTCTATCTGGCACTGATCCAATTATTTAGCATTTTCGAATATAGAAAAACAACCAATCCAACATAATTAAAAGGTTAAAAAAAAAAAATTATATATATATATATATATTTAAAAAAATAAATATATATATATATATATATATATATATATATATATATACTCATGTTTGAAGATGCTGCAACAGCATTAAATTCCCGAGCTTTAAATATACTGCAGGTTTTCAGTTGGTGCCTGGATGGTCATTTTAACCCCTTAAGGACCAAACTTTTGGAATAAAAGGGAATCATGACATGTCACACATGAGGTGCTACAGGCCAGTTTTGGGGAAACGGTGATAGACAGGAGAGATCTATGTTTTTGGTTTACATAAGATATTTTTTTTGTTTTTGGAGTGGTTATTTAATTTTCTCCCACACAGTTCCAGAAGCAGAACAGTCTGTATGTCTGCACTTTTAGTCATTAACTAAAAGTCATCTTATGGGTTGTGATCATGTCGCACATGTACATACACTCGGGTACATGTACATGTGCGACCGTATGAAAGCACTCGTGCACAGAGCTACCTGTGGAGGAAAACACTTACCTATATTACTGTGTTCACGTTTACTATTTTGGTTTTATATTTCCACGTAAAGCTAATCTAATCTAATTTTTGCAAGACGGTTTGAATGTGTAATATTTGCCTCCAGTCACGCCCTGCAATCACAAATATCTATTCCATGTTTGATTATAAACTACTATACCTCCCGACTCAAGGTATTGGTAATTGGAGACCAGTAGCTGGAATTCTACTGTGTTCACAAGTCCACTTTATAATTTACTCACCTCGATGAATAACAGAAAATCCACTGTGTTTCTGTAATTCTAGTGTATCATTCATCTATCCATCTATTTGACTCTTTGCAAACTCATGCTTGTATTGCATAACTAATCTTCTACCTGTAGGTGCTATGATACAGCTGCAGAACTATGACGTAGCCAGGGATTTTTGTAATTTGTCAAGTATTGGTTATTCTCCCGGTTATTTTTCTAGATTAATATTTTGTAAATCCACGTATTTTAAGCTGTATACCACTACACCGTTTTGTGTTTAATATAAATGATTGTCCAGATACCTTTACTGGAATATGACTTTCAAATTCCCACCTCCCCAGTGGACAAAAAGGTGAATTGCGTTTCATTTAAAAAATTTGAGTATTTGTGTGACAAATCCCCATTTTGTAACCAAGGAATTGGTTTAAACATATCCTAAATGTGTAGTGAACTTCTGATCCATATACACAATATTTTTCTTTCTAGACACTTCGCAATGTTATAGGCCAGTATGTAAAAATGCTGACCTACAGTATGTAGAATTCATATGCTGCAGAATATGTTCCACATTAGGTGATATACATTCTATAGATAGGTCAACTTTTTTATGAATTGGCTTGCACCATGGAGATGGAATGTTTGTTCAGGAAATCATGGTACAAGCTGGTCCAAGTTTATCCAACACACTGCCATCGCGTGTGTAAATTACTGTATATACTCGAGTATAAGTCGAGTTTTTCTGCACATTTTTTGTTCTGAAAACCCCCCACTCGGCTTATACTTGAGTTAATGTCTGTATTATGGCAACTTACATTGCCATAATACAGACAAGGATGAGCCTGGCGGTCCTGTTGGGGGCTGGCAAAGAGCTGTTACTTACCTTTCCTGCAGCTCCTGTTAGCTCCTTTCTCTCTCCTCCATTCCGGTCAGCTCCACTGTAAATCTTGCGAGAGCCGCGTGGAACGCTCCGTGCGGCCGCGAGACTTACAGTGGAGGAGGCTGACAGGAGCTGCAGGAAAGGTAAGTAACAACTCTCTGCCAGCCCCCCTCCTGCACAGCCCATCCACTGGACCACCAGGGAATGAGAGCCCCCCTCCCTGGCCAGCTAACAAGCAGGGAGGGGGGATGAAAATAAATATAAATAAAAAAATTAATAATATAATAAAAATTAATACATATTAAAAATAATAATTAAAAAAAAAATGCCCCTACACATACTTATTCTTTATAATATATATTCCAAATAAGCACTTTCACCATCTGGGAGAGTCTCCATAGACAGGGCGAATTCCCTGCAGCCATCACTTGACGTGACGTCTGGGGTAATTGACACTTCTAAACCTCGGTAGCTCTGCCCAGTTTCTAGAAGTATCAGGCATAGGAAAAATAGAGACAAAGTAGTCCCTATTTTGTCTCAGTATTTCTCTTGACTGTGTTGGAATTTCAGTGAATTTCAGATTCTATCTTCATGAAATACAAATTTTTCGGGTGGAGTGGTGACAGTGCCTCTTTAATTGGTTACATTTTCCGTCTACCAAATAATATTGACATGTTTAAATTTGAAATTGTATGTCAATAATTTTAGATTAGCAAACCGCTTGCAAAGTATTTTAAGATACATTAACCAAAACTGTAACATGTTATAGGTGTGCATATATAATAAAGTATTTATTTCTGAGTCATAATCCCCAATTCCAACATGGGACGCTTTATGAAAACATCCAAATCATATTTAAAAAAAAAAAAAAAAACATCTTTTTATTCCATATTACAAGTGAAATTTTAATCGCTCTGCTGGGAACACTAAGAATGTATTAAAAATAGAGTATCTTTTTACATTTTCTTTATTTGAAGTGCTCACTAACCTACCTTTCAAAGATGGTAATGTTTGCTTACTTATGTCATACATTTTTATTTTACATAGTCATTTCCACTTTAAAGGCGTTGTCGGCAGTTACTATTTTACGTTATTAATTTTTTTTTTCCCCCCATCTTAGACCAATTGAAAATTAGGCTCATGGCGTTGAGCTGTTCACTCAGTGAGACAAGCCGACATTTACTTCAAATCGCTTTAAGAAAACTATTACTGGTTTGTTAACCGCAACAAAATACATCAACTGCATGGTCTTAGACCACACGGCACTACTTGTCTCTAGTACAGAAGTGTTTAATCACAAACACTCAGGACATACCAAATGATGATTTGATGCTATTCGTAATCTTGTTTCCAACGAAATATTACGAGGTGTGTTTTAATAAAAAAAATTTCTACTTTATGAGCAACCGTTAAATGTCAGAAAATAAAATAACTGTGTATTATACAGAGACTTACAGGGTAGTAGTCATTGTGTTCTTCCGTTTAGGAAATTCACAATTTTATCTTGCAAAAATGCTTGTGTACACTGTTGCATTTATAATTTGCTCATAGTTAAGGGATCAGCTGTTTTTAGAGGCAGTTATCCATTTAAAGTGGTCCACATTTACTCAATTTTCCCCATTAATTTCACATTTTAGCACACTAGGAATTAAAGCGTGCTGTCTTCTTACTTTACAGCTCTAGCAACTTCTCGGTATTATTTAAAGAACACACCAAGTACCATAACCACTATAGTTTATTGCGGGGGCTGCAGTGTGCTAGACACTAAGTGCATTCTCTCTCTTCTTCAGTCAGTCTGATAAATAGCAGACATTTCCTGACACCTTAGGCACGCCCCTTTAACTTTGGCATTATAGTAAAGAATCTCACTTTCCCATCCAGATTTGTGTATGACCTGACCCTATTTTATGTAAGAGACTTAGAGTTCTGCAACATAGAATATCTGACTTTGCCAAAAAGACTGTGGCACTTTATAAGTGGCTGAATCACCTTACGGACCTTTTTGGCTTCTCTCAAATGACACAAGAATCAGGTCACCCATGCTAAATGTGCTACATTTACTCGAATCCTTCCGTAATCCTGACTTTCTAAGCCTCTCATTGTATCATCCACTTTACAAGTGTGTATGAATATTGCGCTAATAAGATGGTTATGGTGTGTGGAGTGTCCTTTTAAGAAACTTGAGAAAGTTTTAGAAAGAACCTATGTGTTTGCCTTGTTTAACGGTTTTATTTGTTATTGCATTCTCTACTATTCACTTTGTAGTGTGGATCTTATGTAGTATTAATATTGTTTATTGTGCATTGCACAAAGTTGGGTAGCAGGCTATGGGCCTAGATTCTACCCCAATTTATATCCTTTATCCTAAAATCTAAACTTCCTTTATATTGTTTAAATGTACATGATCCATTCCTTTGGGAACCTAAACAGTTTTCTCTATGTCCTGAATGTTTAGGCTACAATGAGAGGCATTGTATCTGAATTTCTTTACCAAACTCACCCTCTTGCTGACTACCTTGGTTACAGTATGTATTATATTTCTCATTATCTATAAGATTGCGTTTGCCGATGTGACAACTTTTTATGCCTTGCTACCTACGCAATTTTTTGCTTGTTTTGCAAACTGGTTTGTTTACATTGTGTTAACATGATTATGTATCATTGTGATTTAAGTTGCCGTGCCTTTTAAATGAAAGATCGAGTGCACAAAATAATTATTTTGTGTATTGTACATAAATATAGATTGCGAAGGCCAACAACCTGTCAGCAAATATCTACTGTCTAATAGACTGCCTTCCCAAAAAATGTTGATTTCTTTATCATATACGCTTTTAATACTTCCACTGGAATGCTATTCTGCATATCTACTACTATTTAATTATGCAGTTCTTCAATAAGATTTATCATCCTGTAAAAAGTCCTTTTGTAAACCAAAAGCCTGCAGTGTTTCAAATGCAATTTTAAAATTGCAGAGAAGGGCACAAAAGGTGTATACCCTGTTTAGATTCCTTACCTAATTCTGTATAAGTTGCTTATTTGCACATTTTTTATGTTTAAACACTGTTTTTAAGCATGACACAGGGTGGAAATGCATGAGCCTAAATGCTATATGCAATGTCTCCATACGTATATGATGTGTAAATAGGCTTTGTAAGACTTTTTTTGTTCTGTTGTACTTCTTTGTCCTGTATTAATTTATCGTTCTTTAGAATTGTGACATAATGCATGATAGCAAGATTATGTCTGGGCTATAAAGCCAGAACAGACTGTGGAAAATACGGCTAGATCATAGGTAAATCTGTTAATTTCACTGATCCATATTAGCTCAAGCCAGGGGTATACCAAAATCTAGGCCTGTTGGCAGTTTCACACCCCAGCAGAAAAAGAAGAAAGATTCTTTCTTTTTTTTTTTTTTTTTTTTAAAGGATGTTACAAAACAAAAAATCATAATATAGATGATAAAATTGTCCATTTAAATGAGTTTTCCTGGTTATGTTTTATCAATGTGTCTAAATGCAATTTAACTTTTTAACAGAATAATGAACTCATTTCTGATTTATGTAAAATATTTAACCGCCTTATGTAAGTAAATGTGATCACATATAATGAATGTGCTTAATGTGATATAATGAATTAATTCACAAAGATGTATTATGTCATTTTTATTTAAGTGGTATTTAAAATGTCAAATTAAGATTGTCTGACTACTGTGTTTACACACAAAAAAAAACCTCGTAAAATGAAAGCATGCACTGTTATAATACAGGTTTGGAAAGCTCATGTGCTTCCAATGAGGAACGTTTTAGTCCTATACTGAAGGGTCCTTTAAATTAAACTCGTTTTGGGAATATTTTACAAGAATTTAGTAAATAGGTTTTTAAAGTTCACCATTGAACTAAATATCCAAAGCAATACTTTTCATGTAAAATACCATAAAATGTCACCCATAATATCTCACAGAATTTAAAGGAATATATATTCTATCTCTACGCTTATCACAGAAACCGTTTGTATTCTTATTAAAACCCTGGTTTTAGCATTGCACTAAACTTGTGACGCAGGATTTGTTTATTGTGTTTATGTATTAAGAGCGATAAATGTGATGTTTACTGCACACTGTGGTCAGTCCTCCCTTTTAATGTGGTATGACTTTATCCTTCGGCATAAAATTCACTCAAAGGTAATGAATGTCTATCATACAGTAAAAGCATATGTACGTTTTGAGAATTGTGCCTTGGCTTTCATAATATGTCTTAATTCTGCTATACTTGAAATAATAAAGATATACTGATAAACTAATTCTCTTTTTGGTTGTCTTTCTGGATCACACAATCTGTAGACCTATTCACCTTGTAAGGTGTTCATTATTTGGATGACCCGATCCAGGTGTGTTGCTTGGGTTTAAAAACAACTGGGACTTGAACTCTACATTAAAGCCTAAATACTGGCTACTTGAGGTGCTTCCTGGAGCAGAGCTGCACAGTGTGCAGCACTGACATTCATGGTCACCACCCTTTGCATGGAGACTCTGAACTTTCCTCATAGAGATGCATGGATTCAATGCATCTCTCTGAGGAGTTGCTGATTGGTCAGGGACACCTCCAGTAGCCACTCCTCAAATGGCTACTGGAGGTGCTTCCTGGGGCAGAGCTGCATGGTGTGCAGCACTGACATTCATGGTCACCACCCTTTGCATGGAGACGCTGAACTTTCCTTATAGAGATTGCACTATGGTTTTTATTATTTATTTTTACAGAAGTTACCATCAATACATGTGAGGAGCCAATATTTCCACCTATACTTGTAAATTCAACCTTGAGATTTGTTCCTTTGGCTGTAGTTACTGTATTACACTATTTGGCTCTTGTTTTTTATTTTTTAGTAATTATGACCGGAACCAACAAGCTGGAACTATGTTGGCATGAGGGAGGTGGTATAGAGTAGGCAATAAGATGCCTTTATTTATAATATATAAATTCTGTTCATTGCAAAAACACAGGTCATCATTTTAGGCCAAAGTAATGAAATGCTTAAAATGTTGTGTTGGTGCATGGATTGTCTCTTTAAATGGTTTTCCAGTAACTTGTATAAATAATTACATCAATTCCAAATGACTATTTTTTTTTTTTTTATCTATAGTGAAGGATTTGCCTAGAAAACACGTGTCATAAGCCTGTTCTGGGAGTATCAACTATTTCATCACCAGCTTCTTGTCTGACAAACATAACATAAATCATGCTGCAGGAATCTTATGTGGAGTAAGTTAATATGTCGCCCAAATGTGAGACGGAGTGCATGTGCTGGCAGAAAGCAGAGGCTAATTCTAGAATCATTTAATGGTAATCCTTTTGGCTGTAATGTAATAATTACCCAACTTCGACATTTAGTAGTTTGTATGCAATGAATACTGCGTTTAGAATCTTAATGTGATCATGCCCAAAGGATTCAAGAAAGTATTTTTTTTATGCTTCATATTTCATTCATACAGCATTTAACATTTAAGAATTTGCTATTGTCTCGGTTTAAACAAAACAGAAATTATAACAGCTCTTTAAGCAATATACCTCCAGATTTTCCAACAAAAGTGATGATGTCCAAGAAGAAGGGTGTTGATTAAACCCTCATCAAAGAGACGACTAATTGTCAGACTGTGAGCTCTGATGAGACAAGCCACGTCGGTTTATTGCCATGGCTAACACTGCCTCTTTTGAACATGTCACTGTGGATGTTCGGTGATCGAGCATGTTGAATTTTGTTACCAGGCAAGTGAAGGGTTTAACGCAGGGATAGGCAACTTTCAACACCCCAGATGTTGTGGACTTAAATTCCCTTGATGCTTTGCCAGCATTTTGGCTTTAAGAGCATTTTGGGAGATGCAGTCCAAAACATCTGGAGTGTCGAAGGTTGCCTGCCCCAGGTTTAACGGAATTGAAAGGTTAACCCTGGTCAACCTCAAATTTTCCAGCTGTCACATGATGACTTGTCCGTGGGGGAATTTAGGGCAACTCGAAAATGATTTGCCAAGTTAATAAAATATTGCCGTTCTAGTTAAAAGTTTATAAGTAAACATTGAATAATAAAACATAAATTGCATTGTACGTGCTTCTTTAATAGTTACATTCTGAAACTATAGTAAAGTGCTGCCATATGGTATGAAGAATTTATATGCGGCAGGATTCATTTTTAATTAATGGCTTGGTTTCCTACCTGCAGCATTTGAATGCTGCATACCAAGAGTGTGTACTTTGCTCGTTTTTGGTCACCAATATGTCCAGAATCGTGGTGGAACCGACAAACCTAGGTGTAAGTCTGTGTTAGTTTGATTATATTAGTATCTGTCCAACAAAGTGCCCCAGATGTAAATGTGTTGTAAGACTTCTAGGAAATTGTGCCACTCTTGACAAAAAAACATTTTTAGGGTCTTCATGTAAATGGGCACATTTTCAGAGATTAGGGCACAGATCTCAAATATTTTTTAAAGTTCATTTAAAAGTTCCTATTTATTTATAATTAAACACAAAATACCTAGTCCACACTCCTCTTGGAATGTGAATGTTATTTTGCCAAGTGAGTCACTCTGCAAGATTTTGACCCTAAATAGAGCTTTGTTTGACGCGGCTTAACGAAGGCCATCTAGAGTAAATGTTGCAAAGTCAGTAACCCAGGCTGAATAAATGCCACATTCTATACTATATACAGACTGAGTTATTTGTGTTACTGGAAGTGAAAGCTTTAATTTCTTATAGCCTCACTTACAGTTCGATTATTGTCACCTGTTAGTCTTCTCAGTCCATTTTGCTGGATAAATTGCAATAAAATGGGTAAGAGCTGGTGGATAGTGCCTCTGTAAAATAACTTATTCTGTTCATTTTTTGTTTTTTTTTGCTACTCTGAAATGTGTGTGGAGGGCTTCCAGGATTGTTGTGAGTACTGCTCATATTTAGCTCAACAAGTGACGTGCTTGAAAACCATTGTGGTTGGATTTAGTATGTGTTTTGCAAGGTGTGGAGAACACATCCAAACGTAAATCTCATTTCTTTTGCACAAAAACAAGATTTGAAATGTATTCACAATGAAGCTGGCAGGATGCCTGGTCCACTATCTTCTCCTAGACACATTACTTCTTCACGCTCAAGGCATACACAATGCTGCCCTGAGCATGCTACAGGAAGCCAGTTGATGGACTAATCAAAGCTGTTCCTTGCAGGGTTCTTCATGATTTGAGTTGATTTCCTTCTGTAGAATCAGTTTTCATGGTAGACATGTTATGCGTCAAGGTAAGCATAAGCAGGCCATCAGCTATTCACAGTAAAACTTATATTTATTTATATTTATATATATATATATCGCCACACAACCTTAAGTGCTCTTGACTATAATTTTGCATATTAAATCATGATCAACTCTATAGTAGTACCAGAGTTTTCAGAGTTTCATGTGAAGGTTCAGCATCTTCAAAGACAGACAAAATATCACTGTTAATGTAAACGGAGTACAACCGTTCACATCCTGAATCTACATTATTAAAAGGCTACTTAAAACATCGTAACCACTACAGTCCACTATGCTGGTTATAATGCTTGGGAGTACCCTCTTTCCCCTGTATTGCAGAACACATTTTGAAACATTTTTGACATCTTACCTGGGTCCCAAAGGACACTGAAGGTCCCACGATGGCAGCTTTTAACCTCATCCAGCTTTTGCACAAATGCATCCTGACCCTCATTCATCGTCAGCTTAGCAACCTCAGCCAATGAATGACTGTCTGGTCTGTGTATAGGATAGGCAAAATAATAAAAATTAGCCAGTCTAGAATCCTAGTTGCAGGCTGCCTAACAATTCCCCAATGATGCTGCTAAAGGTGGAGTTACACCACCGGGAGCAATATAAAACATGTCTGTCTGTCTGTCTAACAATTCATATTGAAGTGGTCATGGTGCTTGGAGTAACCCTTTAACTCCAAGAACCAAAGGTTTTCCCCTTTCTGCATTTCATTTTGTAAACCTTCATTTAAATAATGAAACCTTCAATTAAATAATTTAATTAAATATTTTTTTTTTGTTATAGAACAGATATAGAAGGGAAAATATACCCAATTCAATAACAATGTAATGCAATTTGTTCTATTACCACTAGAGAGCAATGGAGAGTGAGCTGTAACTACCACCAGCTCAGTGTACATATTATGTAGCAGAGAAATACCAATAAACAGTAAAGTAAATAATAAACAACTCCAGGTATACTGTGCTGATATTTTGAGTTAAATCCGAGCAGCACTTTATAACAAGTAAACGATAGATTTAAAGATAAACCAGAGTTTTTGCATAGGGCAGGTCAAACAACTATCGCCTCTTCCGTACGTAGTAGAATGCTGGGAAATTAGTTGTCCATCCTATTTAATTCCAGGTTCTGATTGGTGTTTGACATGACTTGTCTCCGCAACTAATTAACTTTTGAGCAATTACGGTCACCGAGGGTGCAATTATGATGTAAACTTTCTAACGCTTGGCTAGATAAAATATCTATTGGCAATACTGTTGTGAGCGAATTATTTAAAAGGATGGATTTTATAGAACGGGTCTGGTTTAATGCATTTCTGATCTCAGAGACCCCATATTTCATTAAAGAAACCGTATGATAGTACAGTCCATTTATATTAAACTAAAAACGGGAAAAATCTTCTGAAAGGACACAGAAAGCAAACGAACATGTTCATAGTTAAATAAGGTAACGTTTACCTAGTGTGAATCTGTGTACAGGTAGTTTTTATATTTTCTGTGTTCTTGCCCCTTGATTGGGGTTTTTCTTGTTTTGTGGTTTTAAATAAAAGTGGCTTTTACTGCCGTGATTCTGGATGAACAGTGTCAGCGTTATTAAAGTGAAAATTTATATTTTAAGGTCAAAATTGCCAAATTGAAAACATTCTAAATTTTAGCTATGCTTCAAGTCTGACAACTTTGGCCTAAATTTTAAAAATTGTTTCTCCCTTTAGTAAATAACCCTGTGATTCTTTAATAAAAGTTAGGTTTCCCCGAGACCCTGTAAGCAGTTACCCATGGATCTGGGTATACACATATTAGATGGAGGCTCAAGACCAGTGTGGAGAACTGGATGTTTAAAGGGACACTATAGTCACCTAAACAACTTTAAGTTTAAGACGGAAAAGCCTAGACACTGGGTAACAGTATTTTAAAGTAAATTGGATGCTTTAATACATTAAAGATTCATGATTTGATTAGAAATGAAAGAAGACAATTATGCCAAATCCAGCTAAATTCGTCAAATTCCATTGAACCTATATTTAAAAAAAATCTTGCATTTTTAGTAATCGTTTATTTTCATATTTAAATGGCAATGATCAACTTGTCACAAATTATATAACAGGGTACGGCTTTGTCAAAATATATCAAAGTGTTATATAGAATTGGAGTTTAATCTGAAGTGAAAATTATCAGGGAAAATATTTATTGTAAATATTAGTTGCCAGAATGCACGGTTTGTCTTAGAATGTAAACTGGAAAAATAAATCTGAAAATTCCAGATTAGAACTAATTTCTCACAATGAAACATGAGATAAAGTTTTATAGATATAAAATCTGTTTTAGTTTGGTTTAACAACTCGTCTTGGTTCTGCCAGGTCACTTATGACTGCATCCCTGCATCAGGTCTTCTCCTACAGGAGCATTCACTTTGCTCTATCATGCAATGCCAACGAGTGTGGTCATGCGTCGGCCTTGATCTAATTTGCAGAGATATTTGGCTTCTCCTACAAAAGAAGAATCGATGTAGTACAAGTGTCTGGGAGACCCAGGTAAGTTGTCAAACTTCCTTAACAAACAGTTTGATTACTTACCGTGGGACAGCGACGGCACTCTAGGCACCATAACTACTACAACTTTAGCTTAAATATTAAAAATATATTCTTAGATTATCAAAATTCACTGTGTGGTGAATAAACCCTAAAATTATGTTCTTTAGCTTCTATTTAGAAATAAGCTGATCAAAATAAATTTTGAAAAGCATCTAGGTAGAGGAGAAAGCAGGATATGCATACGTATCAACATACGCCTTGGGTTGAATAAGCAAAACCAATATTTCTCTGCAATAAAACAAATTTATGTATATGTGTGTTCTTTATTTTGACTCTGGTAAAAGCCAGCCATTTGCTATGAAATCTCTTCTCAGTTCTTTTACTTCTGGATCAGTCAGAGGAGGAAGAGGAGAACGGCAAAGCCCTCCATGGTAACCAAACCACTCCATAGCCTGCTTCACACCAGGAACCCCAAACTTCTGTGTTACCTGGAAAACAAAACATAAAATGATCTGTGGTTCACACAGTAAATGGCAATAAACAGGACACATGGGGCTGGATTCTATAACCAAAGATGTAGGCACCCAGACCATTTCAGCTCATTGAAGTGGTCTGGGTGCAATGTCCCATGTCACTTAAAGGACCACTCTAGGCACTCAGACCACTTCAGCTTAATGAAGTGGTCTGGGTGCCAGGTCCAGCTAGGGTTAACCCATTTTTTTATAAACATAGCAGTTTCAGAGACACTGCAATGTTTATAAATGGGTTAAGCCTTCCCCCAAAGCCTCTAGCGGCTGTCTCATTGACAGCCGCTAGAGGCGCTTGCGTGATTCTCACTGTGAAAATCACAGTGAGAGCACGCAAGCGTCCATAGGAAAGCACTGATAATGCTTTCCTATGCGACCGGCTGAATGCACGCGCAGCTCTTGCCGCGCGTGCGCATACAGCCGACGGGGAGGAGAATCGGAGGAGGAGAGCTCCCCGCCCAGCGCTGGAAAAAGGTAAGTTTTTACCCCTTCCAGAGCCGGGCGGGGGCACCCTCAGGGCACAATAGTGCCAGGAAAACAAGTATGTTTTCCTGGCACTATAGTGGTCCTTTAACCCTACAGTGGTAATTATTGCAGTTTCTGAGAAACTACGCTGGACGTCCTCTCACTATGCATGAGAACTTCCGGCGTTCCTATGGGAAAATCCTAATGTGAGCGTGGGCGGAGCCTGACCCATCTCCGAGAGACATCGGCGCTGGATTCAGGTAAGTGATGTGGGGCGGGAGGGAGGGGGGCACTGTAAGATTCTACAGCGCCAGGAAAACAGGTTGGAAATACAGAATAATAGTTCTCCTGCTTACCTCTATGAGAAAAACGCTGTTCAACAAGAAGAGATAATAGATGTGTAATATATTGCTGTATATTTTCTATATAGCAACACATGCTCTTTGCCTATATTATACTGGCACCTTTTTTGATAAGACCTTTTTGGGAGAAACAAGAATATAGAAGTTAGAAACTACGAGTATCCTATATGCAAAGGCCAACAACAACTTGAATTTAACCATCAAACAAAATGTGCAAAAATAATCTCAGAACTTGTTGAAGGAATTGTTTTAAAAGATTGGTAGACGAATATAAACCAATTCTAAGGGCTGTGTCCCTTATTTAAATAGCTGTGAAGCCAAGGATTTGAGCCTCTTCAGTTAATTACCGTTAGTCATGTCCTATAAATACTCTAGAACAATTGATGAGTGTCCTAAGATCGTTGAAATGCAGTTAAGGTTTTAGCAGGGTACATTATGTTGTGTCCACGAAGGGCCTTCAATGCCACGTTAATGTCACAGTAATGGGATTGACATACCACTGTCCATGTTTTCTAAAGTGTTGAACAGGAGCTCACTAACATCCGAACAGCTGATCTTCCATATTAGCTAACCCATGTATGGCACGACAGCGTATGTCTCATATATACGCCCTATGTTGCTTGAAAATAAAGTCTGAACTACATAATAGACATTTTATGCCAAAGTGTACATGTAACATTTTTAGTTAGTCCTTAAGAAGTTTTTATTTTTAAGTTAACCTGCTTAGCTTTTCTTTTTCTCTCCCCCCCCTCCTTTTCTTTTACTTCTTTTTTTCACATATGCACAACAGTCAGCTGTGTTCTAAATGTATCATATTTGAGCTTTTTGAAATGTACCGTTTAGTGAACTTTCCAATTTCTTCTGACTAGCAACACATTTTTTTTTTAATTGGATGTTCTTTTCTTTATTTACATACAGGAGCTTAGCTCTAATGATCTTTTTAAGTTTTGGCTTAATTCAGGCTTCAATTTATAGGAGGGAATGTACTTCTGCACCGAGTGAAATGTCTTTTCTGAATATGGGTGCTTTTACTGAAGGGGCCCCTTTTCCTTTATCTCTTTCCCTCCCTTCTCCTCTGTTTTTTTTGCTTTATTACCCCTCTCTTCTCCTCCTGTTTTACCTGCCCTTTTGCTTTCTATCCCCTTTATCTTCTTCATCGCTTTCCTTCCCTTTTTTTATTTTTTTATTTTTTATTTATGTTTGAAACTCACTGCGTTAAGCACGCAGGGCCTGATATACAGCTGGATACTCAAGTTGCACTGAGCGATTGTAACCTTTGTGCTGCTTTAAACGTTTGCACTCCATGCCGCTTGGGTCCTATTTTTCACAGTCTTATGTCCGTCGCCAAGCCTGCCCCTTCAATTGTTGTTTCGCAGCGGTCGTGTTCTGCCCTTCCTGCGTTTCTCCCAAAACTCCAATCTTTCACATCGGTCTCTGTTCTCTTGCTCCCGCCCTGCCATTTTCTGCCTGTTCTCGCGCCAAACCAGCTTTCCCCGCCTCTCGCAGCGTGCACGTCTACGTCATCACGCTGCCGGTGAAAAACTGCTTAGCTTTTAAAGTGCTGTATTTTTTAACCTGGGCCTTGGGAGTTGCCAATTTATTTAAATTTAACCATCATGCAAACGGAGATGGTTCTTCATCTAAAAACTTGTGGGGTTGGGAGTGAACAATTAGACCTGTTATAAAGTATTAAAGTTGGACATCATAAGATACATACACAAACTCCTAGACACAAGCGCATGCACACACACAAATACATAATCCTAGACTAAACACATACGGATACTGTAGCGGACCACGGTTAACCCAACTGGTTACCTCTGCGATTACCTTCCTTCAGCCCCTCTGGAACAATCAGCACAAGTAAATACCCATTCCCACAGTAACCAGAAAAAACATAGTCCTGGGAGCCCAGCTGAACTGAACTGTTTAATGGGACAGGGTACAGCCAATTTATCCACAGACCCCCAGCAAGGGTTCTCCGTACAGTTACACAAAACTTTCACCAATAGGAATACAGAGCAGGTCACAGAGAAAGAACTTCAAATCAACAAAGTGATTCCTCACACTAGTTACCACCTCCCCGTGTGCCAACACCCCATGACAACAAAAGGTTATCTTGGTTGGACCCCCTGTCCCTTCAGAGCAAACTCTGGTTACATCAACACAGCCCTTTGCTATAATAGATGGACTTGCTGACTCCCACAGCAAGTGGTCACTCACAGTGCAGCATTGAACTTGATTAACACACAGAATACCTTTCACACATAACTATACTTTATAGAGCTACTGCCCCTCCCTCTGTTGACCCACAGCTGCATTTACAGACACACACCGCTCTATGTAGAATACAGGTACAAAATACAGCGATATCTAGATACATGGAAATCCATCACAAAAATGGCCATCCATCACATATCTCCCCCCATACAAATAGACAGACTTGTGGCCAGACCCAAAACGGGGCTGCAACAAGTCTGTTGGACCACCCTGAGTCCACAGTCCAAGTCCTTGGGGGTCAATATGACTGGGCACGTGTGGGCATGGTATGCAGTGACAGCGTTCTGTCACAGATACTCTCCCAGACACTCAGATAAATACAGAAATGCATAATCCCAGACACACAAAGACTTTTAGAGACAAATAGCCAGATATACACACTAACATACACACACAAACTCCCAGGCATTCACATGCAGATGCAAATTCACAGATACAATCTCCTAAGCATATATAGTCAGACAGATACACACAGCCTGTGCTTCTAAATATATAGGAATACACATGCTTTATTTTGCCTCCCTCCTGTTAGTCCTACCATCTGTCCACAGGAGGGTAGCATCCCTGGTGTCTACGGTGAGCAGACGGCAACAGCTTGAGATCTACCTCATCAGGAGAAAGTGATAGGACATCACATCCTCCCAATTCTGCCAAGCACAAGTGCAATTTGATACAACACATGCTGCTTTACAGTGTCTACATTGTGACATTCTCCTGTATGATGGAAAGAAAAGCGAAATAGACTCTACAAGGCCAGTTACTCTCTAATAATTAAAAGGAAGGTTAAGGTACTCAACACTAGTAGAAGACAAAGTTCTGATGCTATCCTATGCTATAAAAGACATGGCCATGGTTTTGGTATTCTCCTATACTAGGAGGGGTAAATACATTGTCACTCTCAGAGACAGTGGAAGTAAAGTGTTCTGTTACTCTTCCATACCGTTGGAACAGTATGTTCTGTTACTCAGCCATACCAGTGGGATAAAATATTTCTTTATGCTGTCATACAAGGGGTAGAAAACAAATTGCCATTTTCTTCAACTAAGGGGAGAACCAAATGTTATTCAACTCTTCTATACTTCTGTTCTAGGAAGAAACTTGTGATTGCAAGACTAGGAGTCTTTATCAGCACTGACGGTCTGTCCCCTCTGTTCCTGCCAAGCTGAAATGGTCTGGGTGCCTAGAGTGGTCTTTAAAACAGAAGCTCCATGTCCAAGGGGTGGGTGGAGGTGAAAATGTCTGTATGATTATTATAACTTGTCTTTATGAACCTCCAAAAAACCTGAATCACTACCAGGGTTGGGAATTCAAAGTGAACTTCAAATTTAAGGTCAAAGTAGCCGAATTGGAAGTATAACTGAGAAGTTTTGCACTTCAGCTATTTTCACCTTTATTTTGGTATTCCCAACAATTCTCAAATTAGTAAATAACCCTGTATGTTTGAAACTTCCTTATACCAGTGAGACCGGTGTAATGATGTTTAACTGGAAGCTAGCCAAGAGGGCAGCTGCATAAGCCATTACTAAGCGAAATCCCAGCTGTGACAGTCCTAGGTGCAGTTCTGTCTGGACCTTTTTCTTTTTTTCCCCCAACCAAGTGTGAGATACATAATCTAAACTCAGCGTACACTAATGTTCTATAATAAATAAACCAATTCTAAAATTAATTTTTTGCCCAGAAATTTGAAATGATGACGATGCAGGAGACAAAGTGCACCTGTCACTGTACGGCTGTAGTCAAACACGCCAACATGTCATCTATACTTCGTATCGGTTAATTATTAGCAAACATATGGCTCAAATAATATTAATAGCTAAAAATATGTCTAGAGCTGACAACAGATTTAATGGATGATTTCTGGGGCAGCAAGAATTAAGCTTTAGAAGACGATGGACCGACAATTCATAACGTATTATTTACAAACCGGCAATTCATTGGTCGTTGACAAAAGGTTTGATAAATATATATCTTTACGTATTTGTCAAGAACATTATTTAAATCATTGCTTCTAAATGAAAAAGATCTGTTTTGTCTTTGAAGGCAAGCCTGATAGTCCATACACATCTTTCAATATGAAGATAAATTATTGGTTTAATCAGGAACACATAAAATAATGTCTTCTTCGGGGGTATAATAAAATGTAGACAGCATTCTTCTAAGTTTATTACTTTACAAGCATCCATTAGCGCTGTGGTCACCTAAGGGTATTGGGAAAATCAATTAATAAAGTTCAGGGCCTAAATGCATGAATTGAAAAGGGACATTTCCCAGCTGTAAAACAGCCAATCTAAATCATCAGCTGTTAAAGGATTATTCACGGCAAAGAAGAAAAGGTTCTCACAGCATCACTGAGATCAGGATTCCAAAAAGGAAGAGGGCAGGGGCGCCTTTGTTTCTTCCAGCAGTGTATATCCACAGGAGTCCACGTTTACAAAATGCTTACACACAATAACTACTTATGTAAAGAACAGGAATACAATAAACCTGACTTTACAATCAGCTGTTATGTTGTGTAGAGCTTAGTGTGCAGAGAGCCGCAGCGAACAGAGGAGATTGGATAATGGAAAGTCACGTCAGGCAATCCAAGGCCAGGCAGTGGTTGGAAGTCCGGGTTAAGCCAAGGTTACAGTATAGTATGACAGTATCAGAATGGGGTAAGGCATGTTGTGGTAGTAACACACCAAGTGCAGCTCTCAATATATCTGAGCACAGTTTGAGATGCTCAGAGAGTCTATATATAGAAAACTGGATGAAAGCCATGCTCACTGGAACAGGGTTAGCGCTGATCACACAATTTAGCAGTTGGGCCCCTTTAAGACAAAGTGGCAACCTCAGGCGCACATGACTTAGCCCTGCCACCCTTGTTCTTTCAAGACCCTGCGTGGTCCCGGGATATTAGCAGAGCTCCGGGACGGTAGAATACTTGTCTCTGCAGAGGGACACCAAGTGTGCGTCCATGACCTGTGCCAACGAATCAGCCTTAAGGGACATGCCAGACCAGAAGGGACTCTTCTTAGGGGAGTGTCCCTGCGACAATTTGTCCTGAGATTGGCTATATTGAGTTATGTTTCCTTTACACTTGTTCAAATGTTTTATAGTTGGTATATTTTGATTCTAGTATAGGCTAGATATTAACAAATAATCATCAGAAAGAGCTTTATTGTGCTTGTAAATGGTCACACTGTGACAATATCCTAGTGTCCCCATAAACCCCATAAACACTGAGTATCTTACGGCAGCGTTTGGTTCGATGAGTCGGTGCTGTAACTGCTTTGCGTCTTCCCATTGAGCATTCAGGCACATCTTTTCCAGAGCACACAGCTGAGTCCCCAGGACATTCCCCAGAGCACAGACACCCCCAACTGTACCTATGGATCAATAAAGGAGAGACTCAACTGGGACATTTGTAAGACGTAAAACATTGAAAAACATTTTTTCCTTTGACAGTGCTTCAAATCACATGTTTATTTTGTGGAATAAACAATGTGGCTTTGGCATATGATAAAAGACTTCTAGAGAGAACACGAATGTTTAGAACGCACTCACGCCTTCAAAATCTGTCATGCAACTAACTGTTCTTTGAAATTGCAAAGAAAATACACATTACCTGTAATCTAAATGTTGTGCCAATCATATTCCACCAACATAGATCAAAAGATATTTGGTTTTAGGGCATTCTAAAATCTGGCAAAGCATCATGGGAGATGTATTTTGCTCCTAAATCCTACATCCATTTGAGCATTCCTGTTCTAGGGGATTTTATTAGCATCGTCGCAGCTACCAGTTACAGTGGTTTTGGTTAAATGGACTTTCTCCCAAGCATCGGAAAAATGTCCGATCATGTATCTCTTACATGATTACATTTGACAACACTATAAAGAATATCTTCCAACAATGTGAACATGTCTGTCATAATGCATTCTGCAAATGAATATCACACAATTTAGCAGTTGGGCCCCTTTAAGACAAAGTGGCAACCTCGGGCACACATGACTTAGCCCTGCCACCCTTGTTCTTTCAAGACCCAGCGTGGTCCCAGGATCTTAGCAGAGCTCCGGGACGGTAGAATACTTGTCTCTGCAGAGGGACACCAAGTGTGCGGCCACGACCTGTGCCAACGAACCAGCTTTAAGGGACATTCCAGACCAGAAGGGACTCTTCTTAGGGAATGTCCCTGCGACAATTTGTCCTGAGATTAGCTACATTGAGTTATGTATCCTTTACACTTGTTCAAATGGTTTATAGTTGGTATATTTTAATTCTAGTGTAGGTTAGATATTAACAAATAATCATCAAAAGAGCTTTATTGTGCTTGTAAATGGTCACACTGTGACAATATCCTAGTGTCCCCATAAACACTGAGTAATCTTACGGCAGCATTTGGTTCTATGAGTCAGTGCTTTAAAATTAAGAAAGACATCCTGAATTTTTAGCTATATTTATATAAAGTATGCACTTTGTATTTGATTAGTAGATCAAGTTATGGTTTAATTTTATAAGGCAACAGTAACATGTATTTCATTGTGGATTAAACCACTATTCCTTTTTTTTTTTCTCTCTTTCCATTTAAAAAACAAACAAACAAAACAAAAAACATGCCAATGTGGGCACTCAACGCGGATTTCTTTTGTACACTTACCTATTATCCCATTCATTATATTTTGTATTGTATTCTATTGATAACCAGGAAAATGCAATATTTCTCTACCGGATTATTATTCCTAACTCATGAAGAATTACCAACCATTAGCTAACATATGTATAGATCAAAACGTCACTGTGACATTTTTGGTTTGTTAATTTTTACGCACATTCTGCTGTCTCACATTGTGATTGTGTTTGAATCTTTGTAATACCTTTAGTGAGGAGAGGTAAGAGGGTCGAGTAGTTTACCTGTTCCTTGTTCTATTTTCCCAAAACATGTTTTTTTGGGATGTACATCTGGACTAAACTAAAAATAGTTATTGTCATCTTTTGTCCAACATAGGCAAGCAGTGCAACATGCATTTTTCCAGATCAGCTAGTTTGGCCTAGAATTTGTAATTCAACGGAAGTTAAGATGATCTTTCAGTTTGTTTGTTTTCTTCGCTATGGCAATAAATACATAACAATAAAAATATGACAAAGTCCAATTTTGAGTTGCCAAACTTCTCAGCGCCTCAAAAAACTTAAACTATGCAGCTCACGAAAGGGACACTGTAGTCACCCAGACCATGTCAGATAATTGAAGTAGTCTGGGTGCTGTGACACTTTTGCACTTAGTGCTGCAATGTAAAACATTACACTTCCAGAGAATTACAATGTTTACATTGCAGCTCTAAGTCTGCCTCTGTGGATGTCTACCAGACAGCCACTAGAGGGCTTCCGGAATCCAAGTAGATCTTTGGTCCGATATCTCACGCTAGACGTCCTCACGGACCTCCAGCATCAGATTTTCCCCACTGGAAAACATTGATATCAGGAAGTATTACTTTACTGAGAGGATAGTGGATGCATGGAATAGCCTTCCAGCTGAAGTGGTAGAGGTTAACACAGTAAAGGAGTTTAAGCATGCGTGGGATAGGCATAAGGCTATCCTAACTATAAGATAAGGCCAGGGACTAATGAAAGTATTTAAAAAATTGGGCAGACTAGATGGGCCGAATGGTTCTTATCTGCCGTCACATTGTATGTTTCTAGGTTTCCTATGGGGAAATCCTAATGCAAGCGCGGGCAAAGGGGGAGGAGCGTGGGCGGGGGATGATTCTGGTAAGTGACTGAGATGGTATTAAACCCTTCAGTGCCGATAGAAGGGGGGGGGGAGAGGGGCTTTGTTTTCCTGCCACAGCAGAATTCCTTTATGCAATTCATGCTGTCACAGTGTTTGAGACCAGACTGTGATAATGATAAAGGGTAGACTTGAAGATAAGCATAAGGCCGAGCTGCAATTCAGCTGAATTTGACCCAATCAGTTGAATGCCTGAACTCTGAGACAAAATGTAACCAAATCATGAACCAACCAAAATGCACAGTGGACAAGCAAGTTTGTTTCGATTCGGGATTCTGAGTTTCCTCCATGATGCCAAAAAAAAGAGAGAGGATTAATGGGGATAAAACATGATTGATGTCAAGGGGACAATCACTCAATGCTGAATTTATTCACAGCTCAAGAAAGAAGTGACCAATAGAGGTGAAAATAGAGGAGCAGTAAAAATAAAAATGTATAATTTACAAATTATAGCTTTAATAAATATCTAAAATATAGATTTTTACTGCTCCTCCTGTGTTTCCATCTATTCGTTAATTTTCCTCACTTGATCTGTGAACCAAATAGTGGGAAAATGCTGATATGTGTACTCCAAATACGGTATATGCATATTATAATATGATATAATGTATATATTTTGTAGCACACTGGCTCATTTTTTGCATTCTTTTCTATTTTAGTTCTTCTAATTCAGTTCCCAACTAGGAATCTCAGTTACCAAATTCTGCAAAGCTGAACCAACATTTGACTGTCCCGGAAACTGTTCTATCGCAGGAAACAATTGGCCAGACGATTCTAGTTCCTTAAGGAGTGAAGATATGCACCAAGTAACATGGCGACTGCAGAATTGTGTCTTCATTTTACTGATTGTACCGATTACAGTACTGAAATATATATTTCATATGGATTTCAAAAACTAAAAAACAAATATATTGCAATACCAACTAATAAAATAGCACAAATAGAAACCTGAATTAGAATAACAAAAACAACATAAATAATATTTTTTAAAAATATATAAAACAATCCTTTTATAAAAATGAAGCAGATGGTGCATATATCCTCCACTAAAAAATAAATCATTAAAATGCCTTTATTATTAGTCTGAACTATATGCCTTTTAGACTGGTACTACAAGTATTAAGGAGATAGGATTCCGGTTTGAGCATGTTGATCTTAGAACCCCCCCAGACAGCTTCATAGCATGCTTTTCATGTCACTGCTGGCTGCGTAGAGGTGACCCTGATTTCGTACAGGCTTTGAAAATTACTCCAAAGATGCCATTCCACAGATAGCATGCCCACATGCTATGCTCTGACATTGTGTCCTATGAAATCCATGCGGATCACATCTCCGACACGGGTAGAACGAAGGTTTTCCCTTACACAATGCCTTTCTCAGAAAGCCCAGAAAATCCAGAGAGCTTTACAGGGAACATAAAGTTCTCCTGTTTGCAACATTGACAATGATAATCCAGTTAGGTGCTGGGTGAATTGCAGTGGAATGCCTCGATCCCCTTGTAACGCCATGTAAATTCTAAGCAGCAGAATATTGCCATCACACAACAACCAGTGTATGCAAGTGGTTAAAATCAAAAGAAAACCAAAATTAATATCATTAAATATTTGTTTGCTTCTATACACTGGAGATAACTCTGAATAAATACTCTAGTCTTGGTAGCTTTGTAAATAGCATGTGGTGTTGGTAAAGACTGTTTAATTATGACAATGTATTGTTTTGCATTAAACTAAAGTGAGGATTCAAAGTAAAATTCAAATTCAAGGTCAAAATAGCTGAATCGTAAAAATTCTTCACATCTGCTGCGCTTACGGTTTGACCTAAAATTTGAAGTTGACATTGAATTCCCCACAATTTTCACTTTAGTGAATAACTATCTATATTTAACTCATTAAATATATACTTTTATCTTCAATAGCATGCCCTGCACTGGGGCAATTAGCCCTGCTTAGAAACACGTCCCCATGCTGGGAAACATTCATGACATTTTAGCTTCATTGCATGTCACCCCTCTATTGTGGCTGATTAGTGAATAGTAGTCATAAAGTCAGTCTTTGCTCAGTGCTTACCTACAGAGTATCCAGCCAGTAAGAAGCCTGCAGACCCACACAACACCTGGAACCCATGTTGTTTGGTTTTGTGAATAGTAAGACCAATCCGTGTCACCTGGAGAATGGAAGAAGAGGATCATGAGACAAAAAAATAAATAAAATAAAAAAAATAAAAATAAATAAATATATATATATATATATATATATATATATATATATATATATATATATATATATATATATATATATATCAGCCAGTGCTCATGGAGAAAATGATGGTAATTAATGCCTTTGTCATTTTAGTTCAGATCACTCAGTGTAGTCAGTGGCAGAGCTGTGTACATACATTTAATAAGGAAGTCTTTTTCTGGCACGAGGGTGTGTGGCTAAAGAGGCAGGCTTATGGTGCAGCATTCTACAAAACATTATTTTTTGTGTGTGCACGGACTATAAAGATTTAAAAAAAAAAAAAAGGAACATTTTATTGAGGCCAAACCCTGTCAAATGCCTTAAAGCTATATTGGTGCTCAGAGTGTCACTTTCAAACTTCATCTATTAACATTCCGAACACAAAGTTGGTTATGGATTCATTCTTCAGGGATGCCAATGTATTTAAACACTTTTTTTTACTAGCATTTTAAAAACCACAAAACAGATGGCTGATTTATGCAGCAGAATGCTTATTTGAAAACCAGGTAACGTTAATTATGCCCTTCCTGTTTAAACGTTGACAATAAAATTATTTGTGCAATATTAATATTAATAGTCTCAGGTGAAAGTTTATTAGCTACAAGCGTATTGTTTTATAATTTAAAAAGAAAAAAGAATACGCATTGTATACCAACTTATAATTCACATGACTTTTTCAAAAAAGTTAAATATAAAATAGAAGGCATGCTGTATATTATAAGTAAAATAAATCTCAATACTAGCAAACATTGACACTTTTTTTTATTAAAATTAAAAAAAAAAAATCAACCTGCCAAATACATCAGATTTCAGAAGTGTACCTGTCATCACAGGTTTATATTGACACATTATATTTTACAAAGACATTAATATATAATTTATTAAGATAATTTAAAGGAATACTATATAGTGTTAGGAATACAAACCTGTATTCTTTACGCTATAGTAGGAATACAAACCTGTATTCTTAACGCTATAGTGTCCCCTGCACTTGTAGTTTCATGCTTGCTAGGGAATAATCACAGCAACTGCAATGCATTTTGTGCAAGCACGGCAGTTGCTGTGAAGAACTGCCTAGGCCGCAGGGATAGGCAACCTTTGGCACTCCAGACTACATCCCCTATAATGCTCTTACACCATAATGCTGGCAAAGCATCATGGGAGGTGTAGTCCAAAACATCTGCAGTGCCGAAGGTTGCCTATGCCTGTCTAGGAGGTTCTTGTGCTCTTTACCGGTCAGTTGAGAAGTGTATGCTAATGTGGTTTATATTGTGCTACCCAAATTGCTTGCAAATCTATGCATTTGGGGGAATAAAATCTGGAAATTCTTTAAAAAGGAGAACGAGTCATATTAGGCATGAGTGTGCATTTTAACTTGAGGATCAAGTGGGAACAGTGCAATTAAGTTATCTTATGTGTTTAATCCTCTGCATATCTGTCACACTAAATGGTTAATGTTTATAAAATTTCAACCTGTTGACTTGTGACCACAAAGAGCAGACAGTTAATCATAAATTAAAGTTACAAGTAAAATGATCTGAAGCAGGCTGGCGATGAAGTGTACATCACCCAAAAAGTCAGATTAGTTCATGGAATTGCTCAAATGTTCTTGGCGATGATGTAAAATGCTGTAACTCGAAATGTAATCTGGCTTACAACCTACACTTTCCCCTCTCAGTTACATTCCCCCATCTGTCCGCATAGTCTATTGTCCATCACATAATATAAATAGAAATACATATAGCTGCAACTACTACCCAAAGCCTGCCCAGAGTCCCACTTCAACAAAAAGTGGAGAGTATATAACATAAGTAATTAACACAAATAAAAACGGTTTCTTAAAGTCAATAAAACCATCTCTGGAATGTTATGCAGCAATAAAAACATTGAAGCATTTGCCACCTTCTGGATTTTATTTTTGCAAACTTTGTCCCTCACAGCTGCCCCCATGTTCATCTGATGGATCCTCTTCAGCTCCTGACGTTTCATATGCCAGGAGCCCACATCAGTGCTACAACCTCGCGCATGCGTGCCTTTTTACTCACAGCCATCCCTAGCAAAGGCTAGTGAAAATTATAAAATTTTACAGCGATAGCTCTGCCTTTTATATAGCGCCAACAGATTCCGTAGCGCTTTACAATATTATAAGATGGGAGATTTAACTATAAATAGGACAACTACAAGAAAACGTACAGGAACGATAGGTTGAAGAGGACCCTGCTTAAACGAGCGTTCATTCTATAGGAAGTGGGGTGTAAAACACAATAGGACAGGAAATGGCAATCAAATAAGGTGGGAGTGAAGCAGAGCTGGAGGAGAGAGTAGAGTGCTACCCTTTTAGGAGAGAGCAAGAGACAGGTATGTGAGGAAGAGGTTACTTTAGGAGGCCATAAGCTTTCCTAGACAGATGGGTTTTAAGGCACTTGTTAAAAGATTGAAGGCTAGGGGAGAGTCTGATGGTGGAAGGCAGGCTATTCCATAGGAAGGGAGCCGCCCGTGAGAAGTCCTGCAAGCGTGAGTTGGCCGTACGGGTGCGAGCAGCGGACAGGAAAAGGTCATGGGCAGAGCGGAGGGCATAACTATGGATCTGTGAAGAGATATAAGAGGGGCTAGAATTGGTCAATGTTTTATAGATATCGGTTAGCACTTTTAATTGATTCCTATAGGATACAGGAAACCAATGTAAGAACTGACAGAGAGGTGAGGTGTGAGAGGAGCGACTAGAGAGGAAAATCAGTCCGGCGGCAGCATTCATTACAGACTGTAGCGGGGCAATGCAGTTTTTGGGAAAACCAATTAGGAGAGGGAAACAATAATCCATGCGGGAAATTACTAAAGCATGGACAAGCTCCTTAGTAGCATCTTGCATAAGAAAGGGGTGGATGCAGGCTATGTTTTTAAGATGGAATCTACAGAATTTGGTAACATACTGGATGTGAGGCTCAAAGGTGAGACCTGAATCAAGTATGACACCAAGAAAGCGCATTTGCAAGGATGGACTGATGTGGATACCACTAACTTGAAAGGAGAGCGAAAGAGGAGGATCAGTATTAGGAGGAGGAAAGACAAGGAGTTCAGTTTTAGAGATATTTAGTTTCAGAAAGCACGAGGACATCAAGTCAGAGATGGAAGAAAGGCAAGCAGTGACACGTTTCAGGAAGGCAGTGGAGAGGTCTGGGGAGGAGAGATATCTGGGTGTCATCAGTGTACAGCTGGTAGTGGAATCCAAATAAGGTAATAAGTTTGCCAAGAGAGGGAGTAACAAAGAGAAAATAGAACGGGACCAAGTACCGAGACTTGGGGGCCTCCAACAGAGACAAGACGAAGGGAGATTAGAAAAGGAGACACTGAATTAGCTTTGAGATAGAGAGATAGGAGGAAAACCATGAGAGAACAGAGTCACAGAGACTGAATGATTGAAGAGTTTGAAGAAGGAGAGCATGATCAACAGTGTCAAAGGCAGCAGAGAGGTCAAGAAGAATTAGTATGGAGTTGTGGCCTTTGGATTTAGCTACGATTAGGTCGTTAGTAACTTTATTAAGAGCAGTCAGTCATTCAGTCAGTAGAGTGGAGGTAGGGGGGAGCCAGATTGAAGAGGGTCAATGAGAGAGTTGGAATTGAGGAAGGGAGACATACGGGTAAAGACAAGTCTTTCCGGAAGCTTTGAGTAAAAGGGAGCAGGGATATGGGACGATAGTTAGAGGGGGAGGACAGGTCAAGGGATGTTTTTTTCAGGATAGGTACTACGTTGGCATGTTTAAGGTCAGCACGGACAATGCCAGAAGAGAGAGAGAGCAGTTGAAGATGTGTGTTAAGGAAGGCACAAGACGGGGAGAGAGATCTGATAACGTGAGATGGGACAGGATCAAGTGGGCAAGTGGTGGGGAAAGGAGCAGCGCAGCAACCTCTTGTTCAGTAGCTGGGGAGAAAGTCTGAAGGGTAGGAAAGGAATGGTCTACGTGTGGTTGAGAAAGAATGTCAGGGTGAGGAGAATTCTCTCCTTAGCTTTTCAATCTTGTCGGTAAAGTAGCATGCAAGGCTATTGGCTATCTTATGAGATCTTCTGACTGTGTTGAAATTTCAGTGAATTTTTTTTTTTTTTTTTTTAGGTCATTTGTTAAAGATAGTATAGTAAGATAACAGTCACTTTTTAATGCATGTTCCTCTCACAGAATCCAATCCAGAAACCAAAACTCAAGTAAAATAGTAATTAATACTATGAAATGACTGTATTTCTCTATATAGGTGTTTAGGTACACACTAGAGTGATTTTGTTCGTCCGTCCCCCTGATCCCCCTCATTAACTTTATTTGTGTACTTATTATTTGAGGGACACTGTAGGTACCCAGACCACTTCATCTTATTGCAGTGATCTGGGTGCAAACTCCCATCACCCTTAACCCGGACCCTTAAATAATGCTTTCCTATGGGTAAATACTAATGCGAGCGCGGCCTGGGAATGGGCGGAGCTGAGCCAGCGCTGAGGGACAATGGCGCTGGACCTAAGTAAGTGACAAAGGTTTTTTTTTTAAAGTTAGTTACTGACAAATTTAAAAGAGGATGCCACACTTGCACAGCAGATGACCATCAAAAGGCAAACTCGCCATTGAGAGTGATAGCTGGTGAAAAAGAATTTAAAGGGACACTATAGTCACCAGAACAAGGACAGTTTAATGTATTTGTTCTGGTGAGTAGAATCATTCCTTTCAGGCTAGGGATAACTCCACTGGCCACTAGAGGTGCTTCCTGGGGCAGTGCTGCACAGTGAGCAGTACTGCCATTCAGTGTCTCCTCCCTCTGCATGCAGACACCGAACTCTCCTCACAGAGATGCATTTAATCAATGCATCTCTATGAAGAGATGCTGATTGGCCAGGGCTGTGTTTGACTTGTGCTGGCTCTTCCCCTGATCTGCCTCCTTGACAGTCTCAGACAATACTATGGGGAAGCATTGTGATTGGTTCACACATACTTCTGATGAAGTCAGGCATGCAGGCAAATCAGGGTCAGAGCCAGCAGACTACAAAAAAACAAAAACGATACTATAAAATAAAATATGAGCATACCTCTATAATTCAATTTTCTTACATTCTGCCCAAATCTCTGGTGAACTGGTTATTTATACTGGGCATACATTGAATATCTACCTTTTATTTTCCCCTCTTTTTCCCAATCTTTGCTCTTAATTAGATGTCTTTAACTGGATTTATTTTAATAGCGTTTTCAGGTTATATTATTAATTTTGTGTATTTAGATTTTAAAATAACCATGTTTTATTTTCCTGATATATCATTAGTATGTCACAGTTCTCGTTACATAAAACTGCACGCAATATTTGTTTTCTTAGATCTATTCCAGTCCACTCTAAGTTGGCACCCAGAGCAGGCATGGGCATTTCAAGACATCTAAGAAGTAATAAAATTTATCTGTACCAGCGCAGACATTCCGACACGGCGCCAGTGAATTGGAGTCACAAGCTTGTATCCGATTCTAAAAGCACCCAGTGACTCCTGAGGTTTGTGTCATTCATTTTCGAAACATAGGTGTACAAACAAATGTTATTAATAAAAATTATGCCACTTTAACAAGTCAGTATGTTTCCAAAATAGTCATATTAACAAGGACAATGCATAGTACGGTTGACATACCAAATATACAATGATTACCAATTATTTGGGTAATAAAATCATCAGAGACTCCAGGACACTTAAAATCTAAAATACACTTTTTCTAGTTAAGTACTTTATTATTTGTTTGATAAACGTCACCTACACAAACAAGGCAATTTTAGATGGACAAAGGGCAGTATTTAAATAGAATTACAATTATATAGATACTTTCTTTCAGTTTGTAATATTATAGTATACAAATCAAACATGGTGTGAGACTCAGTTCTGTTCTCCTATTCCAACAGTAAATCAACTGGTAAATCAGGATACATCCATTAACGCTAGAAGCAGGTAAAATAATATCCTGCTAGGATTAATGCAACTATGATCGATCTAGTCTTCCGTTCTACTGTCCATCCAACTCTTCGAACCATCATGACTATATCTTCTATAGACTTAATTTGTCATTCATTATCTGTTTCCCTATACTTCCGGCCTCTTCATACTTTACATTCGCCTTGTCAGTTTCAAAAATAAAATTCAAAGTCCTAAACTTTGCCATCCGAATGCTAGTCCTAATGTAGTTAGTTTCCCAACTGCTTTCTTTGTTCTGCCCAGGGCTTGCGTCTTTCTTCTACTCCATTCCTTCTTCCCACTCCTAACTCCAAGACTTCGTTCATGCTTCTCCCTATCCTCTGTAATTTCTTACCTCACTTTGTCAGAATGTAGGTTCATGCTTTCCTAAGCTAAGCCCTGCCTTGCAGGCCTAGCTTGTTGGCTTAGAGCAAGGGTAGGCAACCTCGGCACTTCAGATGTCTTTGGACCACATCTCCCCTGACGCTTTGCCAGCATTATGGCAGCAAGAGCTTTTTGGGAGATGTAGTCCACAACATCTGGAGTGCTGAAGGTTGCCAACCCCTGGCTTAGAGCGTCAGCTAATTGCCCTCAGTCTGTGAACTAAGCCCTGCATTGCTAAGCTTAGCTCAGGCAGAGAGCTTTCAGCTATGAAAGACAGGGGGCCAGAGCCCGGAGGATCCCAGTTAAGAAGCCAGGAGGGTTCCAGTTAAGAAGTCAAACCGTTGGCAAATAGTTTTTTAGATTCCAATTGCAATTATCTGGTCAGTTCCCAGCATACACAGGGAGAAGTAATAAATAAACAAACAAACAAACAAAAAAAACAATCCCCTTCACATATAGGATACATTTTCATTTGCACTAAATGTTTCAAAAAAGAAATAATAATAAATGCTTGATGAGTATTAGCTTATCACTAGCTTATCAAATGAGAGTACTTGATTAATTTTTTCTACCAACTAACATTGAAAAGATAGACAAATAGGAATAAAGACAAAAGGAAATACTCAAGTTTCTTAAAAAAAACATAAAAAATAATTTTACAAAATAAAATTTAAAAAGTAGAAGACCAGATATCGTATCCCTTGAATTGATTAAAACATAGATTGAATGACCACAGGAAATGCAGTACATGGTTTTTACTCATATCAGCTCCATGTACACAGAAAAAATAATGATTATAAAAGCCTTAACTCTTAACATGCAATGGACGCATGTAGCAAAACATTAGAAAAATCAGCTTGTCTTTAACCCATTTATATTGTACAGCACTGCAGAATGAACTGTCACATTAATATTATTGTATACATGAGAAGTAAGGAAAGTGTAGGTCACTCACATCGCCTCCGCTATCCTTAATGCCAATAATGTTAGGATGCTGAGACAGTGTAACTATGGCATCGATTGGTAAATCCAGCCCGGTGTTACCAGGTACACTATAGAGAATAACAGGAACAGGGGAAGAATCTGCTACCTAAAAAAATAAATAAAATAACACAATAAGATAATTAAAAGGCATAGGAACTTAAATTTATAGTGAATATCTCATCAACAAAACCCCATTGGAATGCTACGATATAAGCACATTCTAAACACCTTGACTCAGAGCCACAAAACATATTAGCACTAGTATTTACATGCCAAGAACATATGTGTAATTATGGCAAATTAAATAGCTGTAGGCCAGGAAATTAAGTCCATGCCTTAAACTGCACTTTAAAAAAAACAAAAAAAAAAACACTTTTTTAAGCTGTTAAATTCAGGATTCTGACTGTAAATTGGTTATAAGTACTTTAAAGCATCTTTGTACATCTTTAGGCCCACTATTATATGTTTATGGTCTTCTCTATTCTAGGGGAACACTCCAATTTTGTTCCAAAGATTCTGGGTCTGACAGGTGTTCTTTGGGTCAAAAAGTCTGTTCAGAGCAAGGGGCAGGCTCTGCACTACCCACAGTCGGTCACCCACTTTTGTTTCTGTAAATAATCTTTACGGAAAGTTTTCAAACTAACAGCTTAACAAAATCAAACAAGGAACCACATAAAGGTGAGGACATACCACGCCACCATGGGAAACAAAAAGGACTTACAGTGAGGTAGACTTGCAGCCTTATCTCAAAAGGCCACGAAGAGAGTAAAAAAAGCTATGGGAAATATTGTGGAGCACAACTAGACACAACCAGCTCAGTTCTGAGTTTCCTATGGCCCTTCACACATCCCAAGAGTACCAGAAAAAGCAAGTAGTGAAAGAGCAGACCAGGAAAGGCTCAAACTGAAGTTATATGAATGGAAGGAAGATGGTTTCAGAGTTTGGGTCATCAAATTAAACATATGGGTATTTGCTAAGCCACTTATTGGTTTTGCTTTGCCCTCTTGGAGACCATCACTTTTTCTTTGGTAATACCCATTTCTTTCAAAAACAAACTTCTTTTAGAGGCTTCCAGTCAGTTTTGATCTTGCACCTTTTATTTACCAGGGGCCATTTTTTATTATTTCTGCTCGGAGGTACACCTTTCTCTGGTAATGATAATCTTGATGTTTGACTTGGCAAAATTCCTGGTTATGTACACCTCTCTACATCATGCGGATCCCTTGTATGAGTCATGCTGATATACTGTATTATTCTGTCTGTCACAATGATCTGTTATAACTTTTAATGCTTTGAAATCATTTCCATGTGTATTTTCCGAGCATTTCTAGACATGTGCCTTCAGATCTATCCTCGTGCAATATTCCTCCATATATCTGGATTACCTTCGTGTAATGATGAATAAGTGCATGACTGGTCATTCTGCCTCGGTAGTATGATGGGGTTACAACAAGGACCGCATCCGCTCCAGACAAAGACATCTCCTCGGTCATCTGGATTGTGGCTTGAGTGGCTTTAAGACAAAAACACAAATAAGGCACACAATAAAAGAAAAGGGCCGTGGATGTGGATCACAAACTAAGCGTGTGGCTTTTTTTTTTGTATTATAATACTCTTAAAGTGATTAAATACTATTCATTGTATTTAATTTTTTTCAAAAATATTTAGTTGTTTAAATACAAACTATAATGCTCAGAAAGATGTAAAATTTGTGTCTGTGTGTGCATTTTGATTGTAAATGGTTAGTTGGTAAACTACAACAAGGTAGAATTTTGGGCTTAATTAACAAAAACATGTCATGCAAGATAAAGGCCAAAATAAATGCCCCAACAATTTCTGTAAGTTAGTTCTACTACGTTTTTAACCAAGATTTCCTAATAAAGAAGATGCGATATTAAATAACCATTTGGTTTATTCCCGTTGGTGAGCGTCTGCCATACATTTAACTACTACTGCAATCACTCGGCGTGGAAGTGTATTTCAGACAGAATTTGGTTGATACTCAGTTGGCGTTCGACTACCCAACGTACGCAGGAATTGTCTGGTATCTGGTTGGCATTTGGCTGCCCATTACCGTATCTGTCTATTTAGTGAGACATATTTCATACCTTACATTCGCCTGATTTTTATCACACTAGATTATCATTTAATATCACATTCGTTTGTTGCATGAATCTAAAAAGAATGGGAAAAGACTGTCCTCTCTCTATTAAAAATAGTGTGAGATCTTTTTACATTATTTGCAGCAGGAGTACGGTATATTAGTTCAGTGTTGTATGTTATCGTTATCAGGCCTGTCACTCCTACCAGCTGTTGGCAAATTGTATTCTCCCATAAAGAGAGAGTCAAAATGTAATGCTTTTTAAACAAAGTTTCATTTTTTTTCCATCCCTCTTTCAGAACAAGCTTGGACATATAGTCTCATTATTCCTGGGTTTCTGTGTTCTATGCTTTTGGAACGTCTAATATGTATGAGGGGATCACAGAGCTATGCAGAAATAAAATTCACTGTTGGGGATTACGTACTAAGCTCTGGATTTTGGCAACATATCTGAGTAAAGAAATCAACACTTCACAGGCAATAAATGATCCTATAAAAACCCTTTCCAATAACAACTCCAATATTAATGTATCCCCAAATAAGAACCCCATGTGAACCATCTAAACTGGCCCAATATAAGAGACCAGAACAAACCCTAACGTGGGGCAGACTAGCGCAGAAATTGCTTAAGAACAAACTTTACCTATAAAATAAAACGGAATGAAAACGGAATTACAAAAAGTTATGTGCTGCCTGCTGTCTGGGTTCTTCAACTATTAGTTCCGTTACTGATCATAAAATGCAAAAAAATGAAATAATTAAAAAAAAATAATATTTTCATTGATGTCTAAGCTAGCGTTTTTTGATTAAAAATAGAGAAATTTAAAATGGGTCTACAGGACCACTTACAGTCTGAGTGTGGGTCACACCTTTAGTGCAAAGTGGTGCTGAAAACACTCTGGGCACTCTACCCAGGAATACAACATGGTACACACTAGCTCAGGGGTCAGCAACCTAGGACACGTGTGCCATGCACGGCACTCAAGCCTGCCAGGGCCAAACAGGCTCTGGCCTATCAGGAGTCCCAGTGGGACTTGAGAAATCTGCTAGTGCAAACTAAGCTGTGATAGCAGGTGGTCAGGGACAATCATCAATTTATGCAATGCAGTATTTACTGAATGTGATTTCAGATCACTTCCTCCACGCACATGTGAATGGGAAACTGCCCTGGAGTACAGCAGACAGCAGTAGCTATTGCAGCTCCTGCCCTTGACCTGTACCTGGCCATCCCACTCCCCAATGGACCACCGGGAAGGTACCCACACTGCTAGATATACACAGAGTTGCAGAATAAGCCTTCCTCTCATACAAATAATACAAACAGCTTACACACAGTCCCCACAAACACAAAACCACTGACAATTCACATACATGCACATAACCCCACAAGCAGCCTGTCACATGCAATACCACAAGTAGTCCCACATATACACACACACACACACACACACACCACCACACAAATATACACAAAGTGACATATTATCCTCACAGAATTACACAAGCAGCTCCATATATACACAAACACCCCATATACCACCACACAAACACACACACACAATGTGACATATTATCCACACAGAATTACAGAAGCAGCCCGCATACAAAAAGGTATAAACAATACCACAAACTACTCATGGACATATACAATATAACAGCCCACATGCGCACAAATACAACGCTACAAAGTAACTGCAGCACCCATAAATAACAACTGGATCACAGCAACATACACACCTTAATGTATTTATTTATTTATTTATTTATTTAAATAGGATCACCACACCAAGGGACTTTAAGATCTTGCTTTGGCACAGTGCTACTAAATGGTTACCTACCCCTGCACTAGCCGTCTATGCAAATGCCATGCATGGTTTCTTTTATGAGAACTTCAGAAATATGCTAACTGAACTTCCAAAACCTCCCCTCAATTACCCATTTCAGATGGAATTTGAGTGCAGTTGAAGTACAGGTTGTTGATTAATTCTCAGACATCATGTTAGAATTTGACTTATTGTCCACCAGGACCAAATCACCCACACGGCAGGTTGAGCAACATTTGCCAACTCAGCCTGCCTGATGTAAATGAAGCGTTTTTCCCCTCTAAATTCATCTATATTATCCAGTTTCTGCAAGCAGCATTCAAATTGGTTTCTAGCGATCAACCTTCAAATTATGCTTCAGAGAGTACATGGTTTTTATATACATAAAAATAGTGTGCCTAGTTGTGTTTTATACCAGGGATTTTAAACTCTGCTCCTTCAACTTCTCATACTAAAGTTAACAATTGCTAGCCCCAGGCTGCTTGATATTAACGGGAGTTGCAGTCCAACAACGGGCGAGGCTGCGGTTTCAAACTGTGGTTATATTGTATCTGCTTCTGGTAATGAAAAAAAAAAAAACACAAAAAACCCAACAAGACAGAATTCAGGTTGGTATGGGTTCAGATTGTAGATCACATTCTCCAGACACTAAAAACGAGAGTGTAATGAAGTACAGGGTCTGTTCCCCAAGATGATACATTTCTGGGAAAACTGTGAAGTTCCTTTTTTTTTTCCTTAACAATTCCCTTTGCAGATAAAAGGAACATATTGAAAAAAAAGCACATAATTTTCCTTATCTGTACATCTGCCACTCAAACTGTTTCGGTCAAACCATTACACTATTACATATTCTTGAACATGGGTCCTCTCAATAAACAGCAATGGGGACTGATTTCACAACGAACTTGCAAAATTAAGCTCAAAATAGAGCAGTAAAATTGAAAAAATATGTCCAACTCTAACCTATGGTTTGGAAATCAAGTCACATCTCTCACTATTTAGAGCATAAACCCAATAGAAGAGCATTTTAAAAATAGTGTGTGTCTCTTTAAGGTGGCTTGGCCCTTCTGCCTTGCACCTGCTCAAAAGCACAAAGCAAAAAAAGAAACCGAAAAAATAAATAAATCCATAATACATCACAAATCTAAAAACATAATCCATCTTCACCCAGCGAGGGCACCACGCAGACTAATTTTCACAGGGCGGGGACAGGCTTATAAAGCCTTCCCACACCCTGCAATTTGACTTCGAGCACTCTGATTGGTTGATTCCAAATCAACCAGAGTGCTCTGACAGATAAATGAAGAGAGGGACAGGTAAGTCTCGACATTTACCTGTCACATCACTCTGATTGGTTGTCTTGAAATCCACCAATCTGAGTGCTCTGAGTCATTTTACACAGCGTGGGAAAGTTCTTTGGAATCAACCAGAATGTCAAATTACACAGCATGGGAAAATTCCAAAGAACTTTCCCATGCTGTGTAAAATGAGGGGGGATAGAAGGGGGGCCAGTGCCAGATGCCCCCTTATTGCACTAGCGACTGGGCAACAATAGCTGCCCAGTCACTAGTAGTTTTAAATGACAGTGACCAGCCGCTGGCAGCTCGCTGTTTAGGAGACATGCCACGCGGGAGGATTTAACCTCCGTTTTATTAATATGGGGGTCAGAGTGACCTCCATACTGATTTATATTCAGTTTTAAATGACATGCAAGGAGGGAGCTGGTAGTGCTCCCAGCTCCCTCCTTACTTTAGTTTTGTTTTTTCCGCACATGCACAGTGTTATTTTCTCCGTGCTGTGGGAGTTAATTACCCTACAGCACAGAGTCTATTAAAAGAAAGAAACAAAACAAAAATGTAATACATTTGCCCTTTCTTTTCATTTATATTTCATATGTAGGGCTTTCGTTTACGTTTTAGTACACGAATACAAAAAAAACTGAATTTTCGGACAAAATCGTATTTGTACGAAAACAAATGCACGTCTAGTATGAGGTCATTACATAGCATTTTGACCGGTAATTGCCGTGTTTTACTTCAATTAATATGGCCTTGTGTCTTACATTCACATCCAGAGCCAGCTATAAGCAGCTTGTCCTTCGGCACCACCTTGCGGGCCCTGCGGACGACTTCCAGCCGCTCTTCTTTGGTCAGGTATGCGTATTCTCCAGTTGATCCTTGGACAACAATCCCTATGTGAGAAAGAAACAAAACAACATTATCACACTTCTATTATTACCAAAAATGCCACCATATATGTTTATCTACCACAGTGAAATAGGTCAGTCCGAGAATAGGAAAGTAGAAAAAATAATTTGGGGTTATGGATGATAAAGGTAGTTAATGCATTAGACTGAAGCACAATAGCCCCATTTGTATATAAAACATATGAACATTGGTGCTTCTTACACATTTGCTGGTACTGGTTACAGGTTTAATATTATTGTTTTTTTAATAAGAAAATAAATTGAATACATCAGGCCTTGACAAATCCCAGGCCCCAGGTCGCCATGGAGACTAGAAATTTTGCCCTGGCGCCTGGGATTTGTCAGCCTTTTACATAAAGTGGCCAGCTTCCCACCCGCAGGAGCATGGAGGCGGGTGGCTCAGGAAGCATGTAGCAGATCGCCCTGGAGAGCATAGAGGCGGTAAGCTGGGGCAGTGCGCAAGGAAGAAGTGATCTTCCTGCAGATCCTATCTTCTCCCTCACGCTGTGTAAAGATGCCGGGAGCCGGAATAGGACATCATACCGTCCCCAGCATTACTGCAGACAGTGCGAGGGAGCAGAGAGGAGCTTCTTTAGCCTAGACAGTAAGATATAGGACACCAGAATCACAGAATATTCTGTAATTAATTGTACAGAGCAAGAGAAGCCAACTCCTGGATACAAATTTCAATAGCAGCTACACTTGTGTGTTCCCCAGTTTAACGCTTTAAATAACGGTTGGACCAAAACAACATAAGCCTAAAGAAGCAGTTTTGGTGTATAGACCATGCGATCGCTACGCAATCCTCTATCATTTAAACACTTTTTCTAATGAAACCCTAGCTGCACCCTGGCTATGACTCACACAGCCTGGAAGAAAAAATTATTTTGTTTCCAATCAGGTCTTATAGCATAGTGTGTTTACTTTAGAAGTTCTTTCATCCAACTCTGTTAAAATAAAACGGTATTCCTAACACTTTAGTGTCCCTCTGCCCCTCCGTGGGGAAAAAAAAAAAAAAAAGGTTTAAAACCCCCTTTTATACGTACCTGATTCCAGCACCGAGGGTTGCTGGGTTGGACTTCTCCACCAATATTAGCCAATGGGGGGGAACCTAATGCACATGCACGTCGAGAGGCATGCGCACATCAGGCCTTTAGAAGATTTTGGACATCCTTGTGCAATGCATGATGACGTCCAACGTTGTTTCACAGAATCAAACTCGGTGAAAGTCCAAGAAGCGCGTCTAGTGGCTGTCTGGTAGATAGCCACCAGAGGCTGTGTTAACCCTGCAATGTAAACATTGACATTTCTCTAAAACTGCAATATTTTACATCTCAGGACTAAAATAACAGGGACAGTGCACCCAGACCACTTCAATCACATGAAGTGGTCTGAGTGCCTATAGTGTCCCTTTAAGATTTGCCACTTATTGAAGGAAAAATATTTTATTTAATCTGTGCTGATTTTGCCCACTAATCATCTTAGAAAAAAAAAAAAAAAAACATACAAAAAATGTGGCCACTGGCTAAATAAACTTGATGGTGGATGTAGCAAGGGTTGATGCATTAAATATTGAAATTTGCTATTATGTTCAATATTTTGCAAGTCTGGTTTCAATTTGCTATATTTCGGAGTTCGGTGAATAAATGCCCTATAGTTAACGTGTATTTACATACAGTAACATGAACGGTTTGTATTACTGCAAAGTGTGTTGTTTAGTTTGTTTTGTTGCAGATTTCAACTATTTATTTTTCTTTTATAATGAATTGCAAATTTGCTTTCAGCAGAACATCATTTTTTCCTCCCTATAAGACAATGGCAAAATCTATGTTTCGGTGGATTAATAACTACAGTAATTGGATCTGGTACAATATTTATGACTACGGTTTCAATATGATAAATATTAAACACATTATTAAGTAAATACTAGAAAACATAAAATACATTTATATATATCTTGCAGAAATGCTCCAGCCCTTTCATTATGATTTAAAGAAGTAATCGTATTAATATAATTACATTTATTTAATGTTATGTATTATGGTTGTCACAAACACCAAACTTTGTTTTAAAGACACATCACACTTTTTTTATGATATATTGATGTCACGTGTTTGTTTTTGGGGGCTATTGCACTTTAAAGAGTGCTGCTAATTAGAACTCTGTCAAAGTTGTTATAGTGTGCAATAATTATTTCTTATCACCTTGTATTTTTGGTTTTTAGTTTAATCTTTTATTCTTGTACCACAGATAGAAAACAAAAGCATGTTTAACCCTTGATTGATACACATGTAACTCCAGGCTGTGTTGGAACCTGCAAGTACCATGTAAGTGAATGTAGTCTTTAACTATGTAAATCTCAATAGGTGAGAGACCACTGAATAGCACAGCAGGTCTCTCCAGTAGTCTCACTGTATTAACCCTTGATATGTACTGAGCTCCAGGTGTCTCTCTGTATGTACTGAGCTCCAGGTGTCTCTCTGTATGTACTGAGCTCCAGGTGTCTCTCTGTATGTACTGAGCTCCAGGTGTCTCTCTGTATGTAAGTACCATGTAAGTGAATGTAGTCTTTAACTATGTAAATCTCAATAGGTGAGAGACCACTGATCCCCCAGCCTATAGCACAGCAGGTCTCTCCAGTAGTCTCACTGTATGGACTAATCTCCAGGTGTCTCTGTATGTACTGAGCTCCAGGTGTCTCTCTGTATGTACTGAGCTCCAGGTGTCTCTCTGTATGTACTGAGCTCCAGGTGTCTCTCTGTATGTACTGAGCTCCAGGTGTCTCTCTGTATGTACTGAGCTCCAGGTGTCTCTCTGTATGTACTGAGCTCCAGGTGTCTCTCTGTATGTACTGAGCTCCAGGTGTCTCTCTGTATGTACTGAGCTCCAGGTGTCTCTCTGTATGTACTGAGCTCCAGGTGTCTCTCTGTATGTACTGAGCTCCAGGTGTCTCTCTGTATGTACTGAGCTCCAGGTGTCTCTCTGTATGTACTGAGCTCCAGGTGTCTCTCTGTATGTACTGAGCTCCAGGTGTCTCACTGTATGTACTGAGCTCAAGGTGTCTCACTGTATGTACTGAGCTCCAGGTGTCTCTGTGTATGTACTGAGCTCCAGGTGTCTCTGTGTATGTACTGAGCTCCAGGTGTCTCACTGTATGTACTGAGCTCCAGGTGTCTCTCTGTATGTACTGAGCTCCAGGTGTCTCTCTGTATGTACTGAGCTCCAGGTGTCTCTCTGTATGTACTGAGCTCCAGGTGTCTCTCTGTATGTACTGAGCTCCAGGTGTCTCTCTGTATGTACTGAGCTCCAGGTGTCTCTCTGTATGTACTGAGCTCCAGGTGTCTCTCTGTATGTACTGAGCTCCAGGTGTCTCTCTGTATGTACTGAGCTCCAGGTGTCTCTCTGTATGTACTGAGCTCCAGGTGTCTCTCTGTATGTACTGAGCTCCAGGTGTCTCTCTGTATGTACTGAGCTCCAGGTGTCTCTCTGTATGTACTGAGCTCCAGGTGTCTCTCTGTATGTACTGAGCTCCAGGTGTCTCTCTGTATGTACTGAGCTCCAGGTGTCTCTCTGTGTGTACTGAGCTCCAGGTGTCTCTCTGTGTGTACTGAGCTCCATGTACTGAGCTCCAGGTGTCTCTGTATGTACTGAGCTCCAGGTGTCTCTCTGTATGTACTGAGCTCCAGGTGTCTCTCTGTATGTACTGAGCTCCAGGTGTCTCTCTGTATGTACTGAGCTCCAGGTGTCTCACTGTGTGTATGTACTCTCCTGTGTATGTACTGAGCTCCAGGTGTCTCACTGTATGTACTGAGCTCCAGGTGTCTCACTGTATGTACTGAGCTCCAGGTGTCTCACTGTATGTACTGAGCTCCAGGTGTCTCACTGTATGTACTGAGCTCCAGGTGTCTCTCTGTATGTACTGAGCTCCAGGTGTCTCTCTGTATGTACTGAGCTCCAGGTGTCTCACTGTATGTACTGAGCTCCAGGTGTCTCACTGTATGTACTGAGCTCCAGGTGTCTCTGTGTATGTACTGAGCTCCAGGTGTCTCTGTGTATGTACTGAGCTCCAGGTGTCTCCTGTATGTACTGAGCTCCAGGTGTCTCTGTGTATGTACTGAGCTCCAGGTGTCTCTGTGTATGTACTGAGCTCCAGGTGTCTCTGTGTATGTACTGAGCTCCAGGTGTCTCTGTGTATGTACTGAGCTCCAGGTGTCTCTGTGTATGTACTGAGCTCCAGGTGTCTCTCTGTATGTACTGAGCTCCAGGTGTCTCTCTGTATGTACTGAGCTCCAGGTGTCTCTCTGTATGTACTGAGCTCCAGGTGTCTCTCTGTATGTACTGAGCTCCAGGTGTCTCTCTGTATGTACTGAGCTCCAGGTGTCTCTCTGTATGTACTGAGCTCCAGGTGTCTCTCTGTATGTACTGAGCTCCAGGTGTCTCTCTGTATGTACTGAGCTCCAGGTGTCTCTCTGTATGTACTGAGCTCCAGGTGTCTCTCTGTATGTACTGAGCTCCAGGTGTCTCTCTGTATGTACTGAGCTCCAGGTGTCTCTCTGTATGTACTGAGCTCCAGTGTCTCTCTCTGTCTCTCTGTGTGTACTGAGCTCCAGGTGTCTCTGTATGTACTGAGCTCCAGGTGTCTCTCTGTATGTACTGAGCTCCAGGTGTCTCTCTGTATGTACTGAGCTCCAGGTGTCTCACTGTATGTACTGAGCTCCAGGTGTCTCTCTGTATGTACTGAGCTCCAGGTGTCTCTCTGTATGTACTGAGCTCCAGGTGTCTCTCTGTATGTACTGAGCTCCAGGTGTCTCTCTGTATGTACTGAGCTCCAGGTGTCTCTCTGTATGTACTGAGCTCCAGGTGTCTCTCTGTATGTACTGAGCTCCAGGTGTCTCTCTGTATGTACTGAGCTCCAGGTGTCTCTCTGTATGTACTGAGCTCCAGGTGTCTCTCTGTATGTACTGAGCTCCAGGTGTCTCTCTGTATGTACTGAGCTCCAGGTGTCTCTCTGTATGTACTGAGCTCCAGGTGTCTCTCTGTATGTACTGAGCTCCAGGTGTCTCTCTGTATGTACTGAGCTCCAGGTGTCTCTCTGTATGTACTGAGCTCCAGGTGTCTCTCTGTATGTACTGAGCTCCAGGTGTCTCTCTGTATGTACTGAGCTCCAGGTGTCTCTCTGTATGTACTGAGCTCCAGGTGTCTCTCTGTATGTACTGAGCTCCAGGTGTCTCTCTGTATGTACTGAGCTCCAGGTGTCTCTGTGTATGTACTGAGCTCCAGGTGTCTCTGTGTATGTACTGAGCTCCAGGTGTCTCACTGTATGTACTGAGCTCCAGGTGTGATCGTTGTCTGTTACAATGTTTAAACTAGTCTATTAATTGCTTACCACGGAAAGGGATGCTGGAGTATCTCTGGAGGTTTTCTTCCAGTTGATTATAGTCTACCTCTTGGTGTTTAGTGAAGGGGGTTGTTATAGGGGGGTAGATCCCCTTAATGTCCAGGACAGAGCGTGCATTGTGGCTCAGGCTCCTACACAGGGCTCTCCTGGCATTACCCAGGACACCGGGAGGGAGTAACATTGTGCTGAGCTCCCCAGGCTGACTCCCAGCACTGCCTGAGGACAGGATCCCACAGCAAGCTGCCTGATTGGGGGTCTGTTAATCATTAATGGAGGGCTCCCAGTCAAAGTCTACCAGGGCTCTAACTAACAAGATACAATGTCTCAAGGCAACTTCCGGTGTGTCATACAAATGGGAAGGGTTCACTGCTGAGCTGTGGGGGCTCCTGTCTGTCCAACTGATATTAACACTTTCATCTTGTGCAATGGTTCCTGCATGGAAAGATTAACTGTCACCACTGAGAATTTCTGCATGACCCACTGGCTAGAGGAAAGTTGTCTGTGAACTTTATTTATTGAATGTTCATTTTATATTGATCCTGTGCAGGATCCCAGGGTACAAACAGGCATATAATGGGAATCTCTGCTATATCTGATGCTGTGCGCATGCTCCACCAAAGGATGCTAAGAGTTTGTGAGTTTATTGTAACATGGCTTTAAGTTATTTACATTGTAAAACAAATTAAAGGAACATTATAGAATTAGGAATACAAATCTGTATGCCTAACGCCATAGTGTACCCTGCCTCTTGATCCACACAGGCCACCCTCTTCTTTCGCACTTAAATTTTTTTTTTAAATAATGTTTTACTTATGCCTTTGGCGCTGCTAACCTCTTCGCCTCTGGTGACATCACGGAGGAGGCGTGGTATTTACAGCCGATGTCTAATCTAATGCTCTTCAAAGGGGAGCATTGGGGACCTAATGCGCATGTGTGACAAGTGCTGCATGCGCATTCACATTTCCCCACTGGAAAACATTGAATCAATACATTTCTATGGGGGCTTCCACATCACGTGACAGTTTTACTTGGTCAGTGACGTGGAAGTGCCTCTAGTGGCTGTCATACTGACCGCCACTATAAATGGACTTTACCCTACAATGCAAAAAAATAACAAAATAAGCAATCAATCCAGGAGGAGACAGAGTCGCTTTAATGATTTTGTTATTACATAACAGAACAGAGATAGTTTAATCACCAGGGAAAGTTTTTCTTTGTGTTAATTACATGTGTTTTGTACCCTCCACTTTCTGTTGAAGTGGGACTCTGGGCAGATCTTTGACAGTAGCTTCAGTTCTAATAGGAATGTCTATTCATATTATGTGATGGACGTAATAGAAAAGAGGAACATTAGGATAGAAAAGAGAGACAGAGGGATTTGGCCCAAAATAGGGAGGGACTGTCCCTCCTAAAAAGGGACACTTGGAAGGTATGCAATATTTGAGGCATGTGCTAACCATTCATACCACCAGATCCAAGTGCTTAGTACTAATATTTCATTATCTTCAATCTATCGTTCCTGTAAGTTTTCTTATAATTGTCCAATTTATAGTTAAATCCCCCCTCTCATAATATTATAAAGTGCTATGGAATCTGTTGGCGCTATATAAATGGCAATAATAATAATAAAGATTTTCTCAAATAAATATTGTTACTTTAGAATAAGTAAATCACTATGACTTAGGGACTGACATTCCAAGTTAGAAAGCAAGATACTGAATGAATTTATCTATACACAAGGTCAGTTCTCTATTTACTACCATTTTCTCTAAATATGTATATATAATATTGAATAATACAATGATACATCCTATTTTACAGAAGTCTAGACAGTCTGCATTTAAAAAAATAAATAAAATACTTTACAGTCAATCACTTTCAGATGCTTCTTTTCCAGTGCTTAATATACTAAGGGGGTTTATTCTCTAAAATTGGGAACTGTGGGCATTTAAAAAAGTACTACGTGTTTTAGACCAAAATAGCTGAATTGGAAAAACCCAGCTCTTTTGGCTTAGAATTTGCAATTACTTCATGTGTTCCCACAATTCCCTGTTCAGTGAATTCACCCTCCGGGATTCACAGAGATTTTCACGGTTCCGCTTCACACTTCTTTTCCGTGCCTTTTTCTGTCCTCTTCGCCAGTGCCTCTTTTGTATCTGCTTGCCATTGTTGTACCAAATCTGTGGGCGTTTTGCCATTCTGCAATGGGCACAGAGATGCACATTAATAACATAATGTTTAGAGAATTATTCCTTAAAGCGGCACTGTCAAATTCACAAAGTCCCCCGGTGGTGACATCGCTGCTGGTGGTACGGTTGCGGGGGAGAGGGAAGGGGGCAGGTAAAAGTGAGTTAACTTACTTGAACCTGTCCCTCGCCGGTGCCTCCATCTTGACCCAGCGGGGTTCTCTTTTGCGCCAATGTCACTGCTGTACTCTGTGCATGTGCGAGAGTACAGAATTGAGGTCAATGGGGGAATCACGCGAGAATATAGCTCCGCCTTGTGTCAAAGAGGAGAAATAGAGAGACGAAGTAGTCCGTACCTTGTCTCTGTATAACTCCTGAATGAGTTGGAAATTCAATGAGATTCCATCACAGTCATGAGTATTTCATAGATTCTATCTTTATGAAATACTCATTTTATCAGGGGGTGACAGCGCTGCATTAACCATTGCTCTTTCTCAACAAAGTAAAAAAAATAATGCAAAAATAGAAAAAAAGCAAAACAAGCCTGTGGTGCTGGATTATCCTGGAATAGTAAGAATTAACTCTGCTTACTGAATTCCAGATTTCCCATAGACTTCAGTGGAGGAACTGCTTCTCAGTAAGTAGTGTAGACTTGTAATCCGCTAAGAGAATTCAGCCGCACCTTAACGTGTAATGGACCATGACACCCACTGGAAAATTTAAATGCCCAGGAAGATTTACAAACAAGTCTCTGCAGCAACGTAGTTAACGGATTTACCCAATCTATTTTACTTAAAGAGATACTACAAGCACCAAAACAAGTTTAGTTTAATGAAGCAGGTCCTGCAGTCTCATTGCTCAATTATCTGCCATTTAGTTAAATCATGTTTATAGAGTTCTAGTCACCCCCCGCCCCCACTGCATGTGAATTACACATTCTTCCTAAACACTTCCTGTAAAGTGAGATCTAATGTTTAACCTACCTTTATTGCACAGTCTGTTTACTCTAGAATTTATCATCTGCTCTGTTAATAGCCTTCTAGACCCTGCACAAGCCTCCTGTGTGTAATTAAAGTTCAATTTACAGAGCAGGATAAAAAAAATGTCTAAAGCAAGTAAACATCTGATTGAAAATTAAACAATTTTTCCCCCCCATGCAGGTGTTGTCAGCCATAGCCAGGGGAGGTGGGTCTAGGGCTGCATAAACAGAAGCAAAATTATTGTAACTCCCAAATGGTAGATAATTGAGCAGCGAGACTTCAGGGACATGATCTATACACAAAAACGGCTTCATTAAGCTAAAGTTGTTTTGATGCCCATATTATCCCTTTAAACTAAATGTAGCACATGAAACTTGTTTGCTTTATCTACAGTTTACAGCAGAGCCAACGGACATTTTTTAGGACCAGATTTAACAGTTCAGTGTACTCTTATCAGAATGTTGGTTCAGGGTGAATAAACCTCCTAATATGAATAAAGTACAATAACACAAAGGAAGCTCAACAGCAATATGGACCCTCAGTCAAAATAAGGTGTTTTTTTCACATAAATAATCCAGTTTGTGTGGTGACTGTGTTTGTCTCTGCCCTTCCCAGTGAAGGACCCACGGTCAGTGCCCAATAACCCTTGTGGTCAGTCTGCCTACAACTACACACACAGGATACGTACCATATTTTTGGTCATCATGTTTGCTCCATATAGAATAAGCATTTTGATAATTTTGTAGCGATTCAGTCTGACCGCATCATGGAGAGCAGTGTCACCTTCCTGTAAATACACAAATCTTCCATTAATTCAAAATCTACAGTAATGGCGCAAAATAGTAGAAGACAATCCTATGAATTTCTAGCATAATAAAAACGCAGATTAAATCTTTTTTTTTTTTTTTTTTTAAACTGTTTCCAAAGAGTTTAATAAGAACCAGGACATTCTCAAAGCCCACCCACTCCTGATATCACAATAAGTACATTTCCTTATTATCAGTACATAATATATGTAAAATGTAAAACCAGTGATTAGGCCACACATATAGGATGGAGGCTTGTTGTGGGCTTAAAAAGTAATGTGTTAAAATTAGAAGTTAACTCCAGACTGAAAACTCCCTTTAAATGGGAAGTTTCAAAACACAGTGTAAAATACTGTTGTAATAAAACCAAATGTGACGAGTAGCGGCAAAAATAGTTGATCTTGACTTTGAACACCAACCAGCCACATTACCCATGTTTTGACTCTGCCAGGTATAGAACCTACAGCTCTGAGGTTTCAATTGATGCTATATCTGGCACAGTAGCCAGCTTATCTATTTCTCTAGTTAACTTTACAGAAATGTTAACATCCCTGAATATCAATCTATGTATTAAACTACTGCTTTGTTCTCAATGTATGAGCTGGCAAAGTATGCTGCTTCAATAAAAATACACTTTCCATTTCATGACATATAAGGGATTTCTGGGGTATAGCTTTGTTTTTGGAGAGTGATTTAAAGGGAATCAGGAAGAAATTCTTAGCCGTACCCTGTCTTTGGAGTTTATATCCACTCCGGTTGCAATCAAGTGCTCCACAATGTCAGCACGACCGGTTCTTGTGGCAACATGTAAAGGAGTGCTTAGAAGCTAAAAAATAAAATCAAAATGGTTACAACAAAACAATAAATGCAGAATACAGCTTCAAGTTAAACACTGAGCGATGTGATAAGCAGAAAATACAAAATGTCTGGCTCTAAACCCCACCAATATACAACCTAGATTTGGGACAAAGAAATAATCAAAGGAAATTGTCTAGGCCTATATTTACAGTGATGTGCTAGCTAGCTACCCCTGTCCTCAATAATAATATAGTCATCTCCGATGTTCCATGGCAATTGTCACCAACAACAGTAAGTTGATTCTTAGCAAATTAGGGATGAGTCAAGAATTACTTGTGTCAAAATTCCAGCCATGGGCAAGAGCCCCTCTTTACCTGTCCATCAAACACCAATGCTCTTTGTGATATTGTGGTTATTCTGAATACATTTTATTTTACTCCTTAAATTCTACAGTGGATGGGATTTACTATCCTTTGTTGTCAATACAATGCATTCCTAAATTAAACATCAGGTATAGATCAATGGCATACTTCTTCGTCTGCTTCTTGCCCTATTTATGTGGGACGGTCCTTTGAAGCCTCTGACCCTCTTTTCTATCCTAGTATCCCAGTTTTCTTTGAGAACAGAGTGTTTGAAATATGTAAGTAGATTAGAGTTCTAAAGTAGTAAAACTAAAGTAACAATTCAAATGCAATAAATATGTTGTAAAGTTAATTTGACTATTTAAAATACTCGGGTTTTGTCTTCAGTGACTCCAGTAGGTCATAAAGTTAAATGCAATGTTTTCGAATAGTCCGTTTCCGTCCCCTGTCCACTCCTTCAGCCACAGTCTTGTAAACACAATATTAATCTAGTATTTCCATATTAATTTAGTTAAGTTAAGCCACTATGGTGCAAAAGATTAAAATCTACAGAGTGAATTAAATGTCAGGAACTTCCCAAATATCTGGAAAATGTTGTTGTTTTTTTGTCATTTAATCTCATATGTTTTTCTTATAGAAACTGACTCACGCTATAAATATGACTTGTAACGTTTTTATAACTGGTCAAATATTTAATGTATGTTAGCTTTGGTGCACTTTTATTGATATTGATATGGCTCTTACCTTATCTTTAAGATTAATTTCAGCTCCACTATCCTGAAGAAGTTTCACCACTTCCACTTTGCCCCCACGACAAGCCCAATGGATGGCTGTGCAATCCAGCTACAAAAAGGGAGACATTCAATTCTCTTTTTACTTATCATCACCAATCATTGACGATGTTCGCTTTTTTTTTTGTCAATCTGTCTTTTATTTAGGAATTAAAAAGTACAGGACATAAAAATGATCAGGGTATGCTTTTCAGGTTTGAAGACAATGGCAAACAGGGGGAAATAATATTGCCCCAACGAAGACCAATCAGTGGAGATCTGCATCAGAGGTATGCTAAGTTACTTCTTATTAAGGTAACAAACTAGTGTTGATCGGATGTCTGAAATGGGTTGACGAGTCCCACAGTTCTCGGCATAATAAATTGGTGACATTATTGGAACAGCGTGAAGGGAAACTTGAAATTAAGGCATTCCCGTGTCTGAAAATATGTTTAAAAACTATAAGTACAATAAGCGCACTATATCATGTTTTTATAATATACACTTTTAACAACTATTAGGGGATTTACCCATGAGAAGACTAACATTTGATCATCTTAGTTCTATGTTAGTGTTCTCCAGACGTGTTCCACTAGATCTTGTAGGATTAAGAGACAATTAGCTGTCGTAATTTGTGGAGCATTTTGGGACATAACTCCTCTCTGTATATATCTAGACAGAGCATGGACACAACACATAATGTCTCTAGGGGACTGCCAAGCTAGGTAGGGCGTAGCATTTCCAGCTAACTTACCTATTGTTATTGAATGATATAAAATACAAATACAAGAATAGAGATGGCTAGGGGTAAAATAAGGCGTTACTAGACAGTATGACCTTTTATATGACTGTTTGGCTTCTTGCATTTTTATATGACTGTTTGGCTTCTCTTGCATTCCAATTGGTAGGGATGGACCTTTCTGATGTATAAAACTGCAATATTTACCCCTATTTGATCAGAAAATAAAGGACCTCATTACCTATAACAGTAAGAGATGGGGTCAACATGCAATTAGAGAAGATTGAAAGGGAATAAAATGTATCAACGAAACAAACAAAAATTGAACAAATTACATTTTGTATCTCTACATAGCTTGTAGGTGGTCATTTCATCCTTACTATGGTAAGTCTATTTACAATTAAATTAAAAGGTGCAATGATATTGGGTTGCTTTTAAAGGAGGAGCACTATAGCACTAGGAATACAAACCTGTATTCCTATCAGTATAGCGTCTCTGTCCCATTGCATTGTGGTGTCCCTCCGCCCTTGTTTGGATTAAAATAAGATAAAAAGAAGCTTTACTTACCATTTGTCTCCTGCAATATAATGGAGAAGGCATGGCTTCCTCTGCGATGCTCGAATCCAGTGCTTCTCATAGAGGAGTATCGGTGACCTAATATGCATGGATGGTGAGTGCCACGCGCACATTCAAACTTCTCCATAGGAAAGCATTGAATTAATGATTTTCTATGGGGGCTTCCTTGTCTTGTGACCGAGTCATACTGACATTTATTAGAAGTGCTAATGGCTATGCAATGTAAACATTCGTTTCTAAAAAACCTCAATGTTTTATATTGCAGGGTTTCAGAGGACAAGGATACAGCAGTGCTTTGAGATGAAGTGGTCTGGGTGACCGTAGTGTCCTTGTAAAGAACTGCTTATATAGCGTAATGGGTTGTATTCGCCATATAATTAGTTGTCGGGAGTTTACAATCAATCTTGGTCTAAATTTTGCAAGCTGTTACAATTTTCTCCTTAGATTTTTTTCTTTTACATCACTGCTTCTTAAATCTGGTTTCATCTAAATGCATTTCCAACCTCTGTATTCTCAAACTACTTCTGCGATTGATATTCAATATACTTATAACACTAATCTCAGTGACAAAGTCTAACTTTCATTTTGGTCTTTGAATATGTCGTACCCTGTCTCTGAAGTTGACTGACGACCCGCTGTCTATTAGTTTCTTGATTATTTCTATGTGGCCTTCGAGTGATGCTCTGTGAAGTGCTGTCCTCTTGAACTATAAAACAAAATTAGTGGTTAGAATTCTTAATTCAAATATATTTATATTGATACAGTGTCGCTCTATACTGATGGCTGTTGTCAGAGGCGGCTCTCTAATTAGGCGGTTTAGGACTATAGTGTCCCTTTAAGTAAAGTTTATTTTGGTATCTACATATTGGGACAGATGATCTAATGTCCACCGTTTTATTGGACATCTGATAACACATTTACCCAACCTTGAAGTTCTAGTTTAAAACAAGGTATATTTTAGAAAAGATATATATATATTTTATGTTTGCTCAGCAAGTTTAAGTGTTTAGATTTAAGGCTGATAGAGTAACCGTCCTGAACATGCGGCACATGTTCAGCAAACTCCGTGATCTGACAATCCAGAGAAGCATGGAATTCAAAGTTTCTTTATGAGAAGCATTGCATGCTCACCCAGCTTCCAGTGTCAGCATAACTTGCATTCTAACACAAGACAAAATAGATTCAATTATTCAATCTATTTTAATCCAAAGCCTCTACTGGGTCTCTGATTGACAGCTACTAGGTCTGCGGGGATTGCAAAATGTAATCCGTTCCACTTCTCAGCAACTGTACTGCTTTCAAGTGCAAGGTTGCAAGGGTGGTATATATGTTCCAAAATCACTTCATTAAGATTAAGATAACTAGAATATCCTTTTAAACAAAAATACTCCTGCATTTAGAATCTTTGTATTAAGGTAACCCACTACAATTTAAAGGTGATTCATCTTTTTTTCCGCTTTTATATGCAGTGTGTGAGTGAGGTTGTCAAGGCTTAATTATTGTAGTAGGTTTAGTGACTTATCATTGCATCGTTTTGGTGTGTAAGTTAGGTCTCCGTCTATAATATTATCTAGCTTGTGTTCCTGTATCCCTACCAGTAGTAGGCATCCCATCACCGACATGTCTACTGCAATCCAGGTGCACGTGTCACCTGTGTTATACTAACATCTACTGATCCTTAAATTCAGTAATGTGGGGAGCATTTATAGCAATCTAGGTGTGGGCAGTGTCGTTAATGACATCTCTTTAGTGCGTGTGGCTGTTCCAAAGTCACTATTTTCTATATATGTTGGTGGCTATTAGTTGTGTTGGTGTTAAGCTATGCCACGTCTGCGGTGTGTGTTTCCCGGTTTCTCCCAGCTCCGCCTGCCCCAAAGAGTTTGAGAGGGGGACAAGAGGGAGTGAACTTTAGTGCGACAAAGATCGGGGATAGTACTTAGTAGGGAGATTTATCTTTTAGTATGTTGCAACATATATTATTTTATTTAGCATTTTACACCTCCCACCGCCAATCTGACCTGCTGTGTTTGCTGAATATTCAGCAAACATCAGTTACATTGTCTGTGACTGTTTCAGGGATTTACTCAAGGGAACATGGAGGGGGTAAAAAACATTTATTTTTATTTTTTATTTTCTTAAATAAGTAATTATAGCTATTGCAACCTTGCAAAGTAGAAATGATTACATATTGTTGAATGTTATTTTTCCATGATAGTCTCCCAATAAACTTCCTTAGTTTGGTGTAAAAAATTTCCTTATGTGTCAAAACACTGTGCAAATATCTCTAATATGTCAGTTAAACCGGTGGCCACGGACCTTACCAGTCACATGTACTCGTGTAATCTTTTTATTAATGTGTTGAAAAACAACACTAAAATAAGACTCAAACAAACAGATCATTTTTTTTTACTACGCTTGGGAATGTGTGAAGTCCCTCAGCAGGTTCTAATCTGGTCACCAGTAACCTTTAGTGATAATGCTGTATGTCATTACATAATCGAACCAAGAAACATGCCTTGGAGTGAGAGACCCCATCTCAGACTACAAAATGGAATTCCGTTTGGTGTCCAAGAAAGCCTCAGACCACATACTGTCAGACCCAAGCCAAGCAGAATATCCCAGGGCACTCTATTTTTAGGCCTACCTCATCACAAGTGTCTGGAGATCCACTGTCTTCCAAGTACTTTTCAATTATATTCATCTTGCCTTCAACTGCAGCCTTGAGAAACGCTTCGGGACTGACCGGTCCTGTCTAAAGTGCAAGCAGTGACATATAAAATAGAAGTGTCCATACGTAGACAACATAACAAAAAGTCCATGTATATACTCATTCATATTATTCTAATGGCATTTTATTTTAATGGATTTCTGCTTAGCATTTTCTCCAATCCGAGTTCAGTTATACATACACAGATCTAAACAAAATAAGCAAGACTATAGTGCATATTTTCAGTTTTTTTATATCTAATACCATGTTCTGTGGCCTAATAAGGGCCCTACATCAACCACATAACCATAATTTTAGTAAGTCAGAACTATACGTTTTTCATAATTCAAACTCTAAGAAAAAGGCATTTAAATTGGGGTTTTAGATTTTATAGGCCAAATTTTAAAGTAAAATCAGATTTGCCCAGCCAGTACACAGAAGATTAAGTAAAGAGTGACCATAGGCAGCCACCTAGGGTCCAGGAGGTAGATAGGTGTCCCAGAAGCATGAATTTGCTTGGCCCCATTTATCATCTGTATGGTTTGCACTCAACTGTTTCCAGAAATGTTTTATTCTTTTATTCAGATTAACCCTACACATACATGTTTAAAGTCCCTCAATTTGCTACAATCTCCAAAGGTTATTCCTTAATCAAACTCTTCCAGTAATGTAATAAATTCTCCGATAACATGATGTGTATGTACAATGCTGCATGAATTATTAGCTACATTTATAGATATTGCAGCACTAATGTCACAGTAATTTAAATACATGCAAAATAAGCAACTAAACGTTTTTTTCGTTCTTTGACGATAAAGGCACTTACAATTTCCTCTGGTTCGGGCTCGGGCTCTGAAACTATTATCTGAGACTTTCTCTTCTTCCTCTCTTGTCTCTTCTTGCGGATTTCAATGAGATTTTGGATCCCACCGACATCTATGATTTCATTTCTTAGATCCACAGAAGTCTTCCGTACCCGTTCATCACCCTGTGGATATACACAGTGCTTGCAACAGTTCATTTCTACCAAGAAAATATAACATGAATCTGAGCTAAGAGATCTCTGTTGGTTAACGTGCCAACCAAACTGAATATTCTATTCCTGGAAGGGCATACTTAGGCTTTCATTCTTTTGGGATCAATGAAATTAGTCAATTTTATCTGGGTAATGGTAACATGTATTTATTTGATGTCAATTTAGATAAGTTTTTTTGCATCCTTTTGGGAAGTAAAGGCTGTACCAAGAATGTATTGTGACAGCTATCGTAGCAGATAATACACCTCACTTACCCTTCTGCTGTGCATATTTCTTAATAAACCCCCTTCGCTCCCAACCCTGTGCATACACAGGCTAAATTTAAACATATAGGTCATGCAGTTTATGAGTTTTATCCCTTTAAATTAGTAATTTGTTTTCAAGAATTACATTACCCTTGCAATAGAGACATTATCAGAAATAGAAACTAAATAACATAATTTTTAACCCCTTTTAACCCTTAACCCATTGTAATCTATATACAAGATTTTAATTTGTTCTCCTTTGGTTAGCAATTTGTTACAATGTGTTTCAAATATTCATTAGTTGTTTTACTGTATTTTTGTATTTTATGTAGCAATAACTTATTAATTAGAGGGTTAAATGGTCCAAAAAAAAAGGCTTCTGTATATTCCCATAATCATGCACAAAGTCAAAGGGCGAGTAAGAACAGAATTGTTTTATTTTTTTATTTTCTGTTTTAGACGTTGGCCATCAAAAAAAAAAAAAAAAAAAGTAATTAGTCATTTTACCTTGAGATTTGCAAGGTTTCTATTCACCGGTGTCTTGTGTTTCTCATCTATTAAATGATCAGAATCTATTTCGATCACTCCTATTTTCCGAAAGCGAGGTTTCATTATCTGTATCATAAAACAATTCAATGTGTAAAAAATCTGTAACAATGCAAAAAACATCTGCAGGAATCAGCATTACTACTATCCTATCCTGTATTTAACAAAAGTCATTTGTGTAAGTAATTATATTTAACTAAAGTTGGCCAATACCTGATTTATCAATGGATATTTGTTCATTGAATAACTGCATTTAAACATCTATATATTGACTCGGCCGTATAGCATGTAGCGCATATGCACCAAAAAATAATATTGAGAATCAATTTACATGTCATATTTTCTTTGATTGTCCCTTGTATTTGTTTCAGGACTTGAGCACAAATCTCTTTCAACTGTATCAAACAAATAGAACACCTGTTAATTCATGAAGACCAACCTGGAGAGTTTCGCTAACATATCGATTCGTTCGTCCATAGATTGACAAGCATTTTCATTTGAATACCTTTTGTTTAGGGCTCTCAGTTTTGTTATTTAGAATAAATGGAAATCTTGCTATCTACGTATGTAATGAAACTTTGCTCAGTGAATACAAAGCGCAAATATATTTTCAAACAACTCTATTAAAAGACTAAATATTGTTAATATATTCGATCTTCAGACTAGAAACATAACAATTAATCCACCAATTTAAAACAGAGAATAATATTTTTTTTTAAATCCTTCATTAGATAATAATAGTATTGTGTATTTTTTATAAAGCTCCATAAAGCACTGTACAATGGGGACACAATACATTTAGTAAATAGACAATCAAATTTAGACATAACAGAGCAAGAGTTAGCAAGGTCACTTTAAGTGAGTTGGCAGTATAGTCTGCAGCCGAATATTCTCAAGAGCTCACTGTTTGAAGGATGATTTAACACTGTTCTCATTTATTGTGCAAATTTCATATTTATTTATTTATAATATATTTTACAGATACATGGATCTCTCTTTATAGATATCAATAAGTGGCTATAGATGTACATACAGGATTACTTTAAATGACCGCTAAAGGCACCCAGATCACTTCATCTCAATGAATTAGTCTGGGTGCAGTGGTCCTTTAGTTTTAACATTGTATGTAAAACATTATAGTTTTGTAGAACCTAGGGATAGACAAAAACACTTTTCACTAACATAATTTTAGTCCTATTCAGTCCATGAACTATTACAGAAATTTCATAACCTGATTTCCTAAGTTAGAGAACATTTTTAGCACAAATACGTTTAATCAAATAAACCTTAACTATGCTGCACATTTGGGGTTTTTCTCTATAGCTAAACATTTTTTAGCTATGGGTAGCAGGAGCTTAAAGCTGTTGATGGATAGTTCTCCAAAAGCCAAGAATTTACAAAGTCATGAATTTCTAGAATAATTTAATGTGTTAAGTCCATGCAACTGATTATTACAGCTTGCTACATTATTACAAAATGTGACTCACCTCGTTTGCATTTTCGATTTCCAACTTCTGGTCAATAAGTTCTGTGGCCCATTTCACTTCGTCCTCCATTGTCAAGATTTTATTCCAATGTTAGACCCCCCAACGCAAAATCAGCTCTTCCAGGATCGATTGCAAGAAAAATTGCTGGGAGGAATAAAAAAATATATATTTTCTTTAAAAAAATTTTTTATTGCTATCTTAGATCTTTTTTTTTCTCAAATTTTAACCTCAAGCTATTTTTGAAATTCTTTGCTCTGTGGAAGAACTTGTTGCCCACTATTTATTTACAAAAGAAAAAAAATGGCAATCATGAGTCTTCAGGATTCTAATCTGTCCATCTCAGCTTCAACTGACAGAGAACTTTATAGGGAGCAGGCTGGGACAGCTCCTCCCCTTTCCCTTTGAGAAGATTGAAGACCCTCATTCCAAACCAACAGGTGTAGTTTCCTGCACATGACCTGGGATCTTTTACCATGAGCTCACCCTGTCACATTATGTCATGTCTGTCTATCTCTGACCTTATGTCACCTTAGCAGCCTACCCTTCAAAATTGTAACGCGTTAACTTCTCAAGTACTGTATTGGAATTGAAAGAAATGCTGTGTCTTGTCTTACAGGTGCTTTAAAACCTACGGCAATGTTTAACCCTTTCATGTCAAACTGTTTGTACACAGAGTTATCCACTAAACTGGAATTTGCCGAGGATATTGACCAGGAAAAGGAAATTTTAAGCCACAATTGGCGGTTGAAAAAATTTAGAATTTTTGCATAATTTATTTTCTGAAGGAAACTATATAACTATTTCTATATAAACCGTGTGATAACTAAAACAACACAAAAAAAGCGGTCAGCCAACATTCTAAGCCAATCATCACCACCCCCTTGGCTGATCATGCTAATACGTCCTCTTTAGCCCGAGCAACATAGAGGGGAGTGGGCTGATAACGGCTAGTATTTAGCAAAAAAATAAGTGTGCAAAAATGGTTTGAACAATGAATGGATGGATGGTGTCACGGGATTCTTAAAATTCTAAGAGGAAGCAGTTCGTTACAGTGCCTACAGCGTCCCTTTAAGTGAATAACCCAGGTTATTACATGTTTGGAAAATTACGCCACATATGTAAATGGAAGTTGTCAAAAATGGCTCTGAGTATGTATGGAAATGATTCTGTAGCTTTAGCTCACACTTTTCCCTTGAATTAATTAAATTAAAGGAACATTATATTGTTAGGAATACAAAACTGTATTCCGAACACTATAGTGTCTCTCTGAAACCCTCCCCCCCCCCAACCTCATTCGTGTCATCCTCCCACCCCCGCAACAATAAACCCTTCCTACATTTACCTGATTCCAGCACCGATGTCACATGGCTTTGGGTTGAGTTTCTCCTCCACCAATGTCAGACAATCAGAGAAACCTAGTGTGCATGTATGGCAAGTGCCACGCTCGCATTTGGTCTTCCCCATAGGAAAGCATTGCATCAATGTTATCCTATGGGGGATTTCGTCATGCTGGACGTCCTCATGCAACTCTGTAAAACTGCAGGAAGCGCTTCTAGTGGCTGCCTAGTAGGCAGTTTCTCTAAAACTACAATGTTTGCAGGTGCAGGGCAAAGGGGGCAGGAACACTGCACCAGACCACTTCATTGAGATAAAGTGGTCTGGGTGCCTATGGTGTCCTTTTAACATACTAATGAATTTTGTGCACATTGAAGTACATCTCTCCCCCACAAACCTATAGGAGATTAGGAGAGCAGATATTGTCTCAGAAAACATAGCCAGTTCCTGTCTGATAGTGTTATCACTGTAGATTAGTGCTAAAATAGGGACATTTAAATATAAGAAGTAAGTATTGTTTATATGTACTTTAATGCATTATCACTAAACCACACTGAAAAAAAACGTTCAGTTACAAACAACCTGGATTTTCCGGTATATTATTTCTATCTTATTTACCAATTGTACAGCTCTACAGAATATGGCAGAGCTATATAAATAATTAAAAAGTGTATGTATTCCCTATCATAAAAATATTTGAAACTCAGACTTCATAATCAGACTTATTGGGAGTGTGTTACGAGGAATATTTTATTGACTGCTGAAAAGTTAAAGTGAGACGCTGCCTCTAATTAAAGCAGACATCTCGTGTTTATAATATACAGTCATCACCTCTGCGTTCTGTGTTTGTTGTTATCAATATGTAATTTGGGTTTAAAACTAATTAAGTTATGACAAACACTACAGCTGTGTGAGATTTGCAAACAGTGTAAAATAATTGTTTCAAAGAGGAACAAAGCCTACATTTATTTTTGGATATCTGGTGCTGGTAGGAGGACAGATATGATTGAGGATTTTAGATTTTACTCGCTACCCATATATTTAACTCTCTTCAAATCTCCAGTTCTCATACATTTTTTACCTCTGCAATGAATCACTCTCTTTACCTTTACTCAATTACCACTCATTCCGTTTTACTTCTAAGTTAATTAGGTAAAATAAGGAGCACAAATTCAAGTTCACAAAGTCATTGGTTACAATTATTCTATCTCTAAAATATTATGCTTGACGTTAAATAAATAAGGTGTAATATATCCTACATACTTTATATGAATACTTGTTATATTGGCTTCTTTCTCCTACTGAAAAATATTGACTTAATAAATAAAATTAATAAATCATTGGAGATTTGTGAGTTTTCTCCCTCAGCCATTCTATGCTCATTCGCACCTACTACAGCGGAAGAGGTTTCTGCTCTGCTCCGGTCCTCCCGCCCCACTACCTGTTCCGTTGATCCTATTTCCTCATATATCATCCCCATTCTGTCTCCCTCTCTTGTTTTTCCTCTCACTAAAATCTTCAATCTCTCTCTCTCCTCTGGCACATTTACTTTACCCTTCAAACTTGCAACCGTAACTCCGATTCTGAAAAAGCCCAAGCTTGACCCCAACTCCCCATCCAACTACCGCCCTATCTCGCTCATGCCATTTGCCTCCAAGAACCTTGAGAGAGTTGTGTACGCCAGATTGACAGACTTTCTCGAATCCAACTCTCTGCTTGACCCCCTTCAGACTGGATTCCGTGCTCGTCACTCTGTCAAAACGGCTGTGACCAAAGTATCCAACGACATAATTGCTGCTAAATCTCATGGCCATTATTCTATCCTGATTCTCCTTGATCTCTCTGCTGCTTTTGATACTGTTGCTCATCAACAGCTTCTTCTCATTCTCCATAATTTTGGTCTACGGGAAAATACTCTCTCCTGGTGCTCCTCCTATCTCTCCCAGTGCTCTTTCAGTGTTTCTTTCTCTGGCTCTGCCTTTTCTCCCCAACCCCTCTCTGTCGGCATTCCCTAAGGTTCAGTCCATGTTCCCCCTCTGTTCTCTATCTATCCTTTGGTAAACTCATCAGCTCCTTTGGCTTCCAATATCATTTCTATGCAGATGAAATGCAAATCTACCTGTCCTCTCCTGATCTCTCTCCGCCCATCTTGACCAGTGTCTCTGACTGCCTCTCTACGATTTCCAACTGGATGGCTGCTCACTTTCTTAAACTCAACCTGTCCAAAACAGAACTTCTGGTCTTTCCTTCCTCAAGTGTTGCTACTCCCATGTCTGTCTCCATCCAAGTCAACGGTGCTACTATCATCTTTACCTACTGTCTAGGTGTTCTCTTTGACTCCAATTTTTCCTTCACCCCTCATGTCCAGTCTATCGTAAAATCCTGTCACTGCCATCTAAAAATATAGCGCACATTCGCCCCTATTTAACGCTGGATGTGGCTAAGGTGCTGGTCCATGCTGTTGTTCTCTCTTGCCTTAACTACTGCAATCCCCTTCTCAGTGGTCTTACGTGCTCCCAGATTGCACCGCTGCAATCTATAAGAAATGCGGCGGCAAGGCTCATTTTCCTGTCAGCTTGCACCTCATACGCCTCTCCCCTCTGTCAGTGCCTACATTGGCTTCCAGTAAGATATGGGACTCGATTTAGGATTCTGGTGCTTGTTTACAAGTTCCTTCATCATGCTGCTCCAACCTACCAATCCTCCCTAATACACAAGTACGTCCCATCAAGGGAAAAGCAAGACACATTACTGGGAGTATTATTGCTGTGGAGCTCTGGTATCAGTCTGTGTATCACATGCTTGTATGAGGAGAGCCACCCACACAGAGATTTACAAAATAAGGCTATGCAAATAATCTTGTGTGGTGTCCTCTTCTATCATGAGGTAGCTGAGGACAATCAAAGCTGCATAAAGTGACATGCTGATGAGTTGTATCAATAACGAAACAGATGTTCATGAGTGGTTCACTGGCTTTGCTCCTCTTCCTGAGTTTTGTTTCAAAGCTGTTGTATGCAGCAGACACATACTCCAAGGAATCCATGTATAACATGGAATTATGAGGCAAAAATGTGGTTCTTTGTTGGGCTCATTTGCATACGCCTATCCAGAATACCTTGCAGTAGGGAGAGCACTGTTAAAGTGAGATTTATGTGGGAAAAGCAAGTCTTATGGCTTGACTGGAGTGTGTATTTGTGTTTAGCAATATATTAACTATCCACTTACTACAGGTGGAACGGGTTTTCATCCACACTTTTTTCCCCACCACACCTATATGGTATGTACAGACTAATTTATTGTAGTTTAAAGACACAGACACATTAGTGTGAGTATTGCTGTGGAGCTCTGTGATACACTCAGACACATTACTGGGAGTATTATTGCTGGGGAGCTCTGTTATACACTCAGACACATTACTGGGAGTATTATTGCTGTGGAGCTCTGTTATATACTCAGACATACCAACAACATTGGGCTCCTAGAAAAGAGGGACATTTGGATAGAAAAGAGGGACAGAGGGATTGGAACAAATTATGGAGAACTGAAACTTTCACACAAGCTGAAGGCATTGGCTGACGGGTATCAGGAATCCTCTACTGATTTTAAACCACTGGGGAACTGCCCAAATAATGTGTTAGCGCTATATCCGCTACAATAAGCTGTACTATTTATATTCTTTGGAATGTCCCTTTAAAAATTGCATTTTAAAATGTGTAAAAGGGCTTCTTGGCTGTCGCTATGAGATGAAGGGACTTCTAAAATTGTAATAACAACCTTAATGTCTTGTATTTTGGATCAGATGATCTGTGTTTACAGAGAAGACCTTTTGAAAACAGTACCGAGTGTCCCATACACATGACAATAAAATCTATAATAGACAAATGTGCTGTAACCCAATGTTACTAAGAACATGCTTCGAATTCTCCAGCCCGTGCTCCATAATTCAAAACTTAAAGAGCTATGTCCGTCTAAACACTCATTGGAAGTTATACAATTCTTTAAGCGCTCCCACTGTAAAGT